AGGAGCTGCCTGTGGCTCCAGCCCCCTCAGCTTCCCTGAGCCTCAGTTCCCGCTGGTTTTTCCAGCCAGAAGTTATGGGGATTCTCTTCCTGGCACTGGAACCCTGAGCGGGGCACCTGGTGTGGGACAGGGACCCCTCAGTCCTCAGGAAGGACCTTCCCAGCCAAGGTCTCCTCCTGATTTTTATCTGCCACATGTTGGTGTGGGACCAGCCCGTCTGCCTCCGCCCCTCCTACCAGTCTGGATGTGGCTGCTGCTTTAATTCCGTAGTTGTATGACTTCCATTCAGCTCGATTTCAGGCAGTTTTGAATAATGGTTGTTCTGTAGTTTAGTTGTAACTTTGATGTGGTTGTGGGGGGACACGATACCGCGTTTACCTGCGCCGCCATCTTGACCGGCTGAACTTGCTTTTTAATTCTAGTAGTTTCGTGTGTGGATTCCTTATCATTTTTCTATATACAAGATTATGTTACCAACAAGTAGAGATGTTTTACTTCTTCCTTTCCAATCTGGGTGCCTTTTATTTCATTTTCTTGCCCAACTGTTCTGGTTAGAACCTCTAGTGCAATGTTGAATAAAAGTGATAAAAACAGACATCCTTGTCTTGTTTTTGATCTTAGGGGTAAAGCTTTCAGTCTTTCACCATTAAGTATGATGTTAGCTGTTTGTTTGTTTTTGTAGATGGCCTTCATCAGGTTGATTAAGTTTCCTTTTAGTCCTAGTTTATTGCATGTTTTTACCAAGTAAATGTATTATCTAGTTCAGAAAATTCGTGTTAAAATAATGTTCTCGTTTACTGAAGATTCAAAAATACAAAGTTACATACCAAAAGAAAAGCTTGGTTGTCCACCCAGGCATTGGGGAAGATGCTCTTGTGAAGCCCCAGTGCACATGTAAAACCTGAGGGCCAGGAAGCCATTTGGGAGAAGGATGCATTGGTCTGTGGTCCAGTACCTCATTTTGTTAAACAAGTCAGCCATGCTAAATCAGCTAGAGATCTATCTGATCTTAGGAGAAGGTCAGCCAGCACAGTGGTTAACAGTGCAGAATTCAAGTCAACCAACCTTACTGAATCCTGCTAACCATTGTGGATGCCTCTTTCTTCATCTGAAATTGGGATGAAAGTTAAATAAGTTGGTATATGACTGTACCCAGTCCAGTACCTGACAGACATTCCACATGGTTCAGCTGTTATGAGAGGTAGGCAAATTACCCAAAACCAACTGGCATTAGGTCTTCAAGAAAGGAAATTTCAGTGTCTCTCCTGAGTCATGTTCCTTCAGTTCTCAGTTCCACTCAGGGTGAGTGGCCATCAATTAGTACCCTTAAGTTTCAAGAACTGGTTGAACGACATCTGTATATTCAATATGCTTCCTGCACCAGAACAAAGACATTTCTATCCAATAAATTAGGCAAATTATTTCAGACTTAAAGGTTAAGTAAGCATTTAATTACCAATATAATTTCTCAAACCTGCAGAAAATCTATGGGGGAATAGAGAAGAGGAAGTAAAAGTTATATTATTTTGGTTTGTTTTGTTTGTTTGTTTTTCCCTGCCCTGTGAGGAGGTGGGGTGGGGTGGAAAGTGGATAATGTTCCAAGACTCCTAGCGGTGGGATGGGTGAGTTTAGTCCACAAAGGCCTACTTCAGCCATTATGTAGAGAAAATGCTGGGAACTTGCACTAAACAGATAAATAGATAACTAAATAAGGATGTTTGTGATACTTAGCAGTGGTAGCAAGCCACAGCTCCCACATAGTCATGCTATCACAAGAGTAAACAACTGGTGCTCTGGAGTGTATTCATCATGTTGGATGATTTTGCCCAACTGTAAGTTAATGCAAGAGTTCTGAGCATGTTTAAGGTAGCATAGGCTAAACTATGATGTTCACTAGGTGTATTAAATGCCTTTTCAACTTATATTTTCAATTTATGATGGGCTTATCCAGAGGTGAGTAACCCACAGTAAGGGCAGGAGCACCTGTGCAGTAGATGTTAAAGGGGCTCGGAGGCCCAGCCTGAAATCCTGGCCGTCACATCTAAATTATACATTTGAGGGTAAAGGTGCTATCCTTTAAAGGACAAGAGTGAAGCAAGGAGGCGCACAGAGAATACAGCTCTACCTTTCCAGAGTGGTGTGGAAGGGTCAGCCAAGGATGATGTGAGAGATCAGAACAGGAGGGGATTAGGGAATGAAGGTGCTAAAATAATTACTGACTGAATAATTACACACTCTGGGACTTGCTTCAAAAGAATGGGAAACCTCCCTCCCTCCTGCTGCACCTGTGGGTGTTCATTATCTCCGTCTATTTCTGTGGGTAGGAAATCTCTATAATAAAAAAGTTCAGAGACAGAATGTAGAAGCAGAGGGACAAGGGCTGTCTCCCATAGGAGAATGTGCTACTGTGAAGAATGGGGAGGTAGTACAGCATGCCGGCGGGAAGGTCCTACCTTCCTCCTGAGCCTCCCTACTTAACTACAGACAGGGAACACACAAAGAGGAGGCCTCAGCCCTCAAGGCCCCCAATGGGAAAAAAGTCACTAAGTGAAACAAGGAAATGACCCAAAGAGCTGGAATCAGCTACCTGATTAGTGAAATGTAAATCATAGTTGCTGTTGGGACACAAGCAAGAAGGAGTCACCAATTGTTCGTCAAAACAATAAATACACCTGAAATCCGAGTGCACCACGACCTGCCAGTTAACCTGAGGACCGTCCCTGCTCCTGGCACGCGGTTCTTAAGACTCCAGGAAGCTGTCCATGTCCATTGGTTATGCATACATGCATATAAGTTCTGTGGTTTATCTCTTCCCACCCCCCCCCCAACCCCTCTTCTGAGGGATGTCAGACTGTGCCCTACTTCCATGTTTCTGGGTCTACCGTATTCCTCAGACTGTTATGTTCATTATATTCCTTCTGTATATAAGTGAGAACTTATATGCATGTATGCATAACCAATGGACATGAACAACAAAGCCGGAGACGGGGCGGAGGGGGGAAATGGGGAGGAGGGTGTCAATGGGGTAAAAAAGGAGAAACATCTGTAACAACAACAAAAATAATAATAAAAAATAAAAATAAAATAATAATTTACACAGATTCAATAGTAGAGTAGGTAAAGCCAAGAAGCAAACCATTGATTTGGAATCTAAGGAAGCAAAAAACACCCAATCAGAACAGCAAAAAGAAAAAAGAATCCAAAAAAATGAGGATAGTGTAAGAAGCCTCTGGGACAACGTCAAGCGTGCCAACATTCACATCTTGGGGGTGCCAGAAGGAGAAGAGTGAGAACAAGAAATGGAGAACCTATTTGAAACAATAATGGCAGAAAACTTTCCTAACTTAGTGAGGGAAACAGACATACAAGTCCAGGAAGCACAGAGTCCCAAACAAGATGAACCCCAAGAGGCCCACACCAAGACACATCATCATCAAAATGCAAAAAGTTCAAGACTAAGAGAGAATCTTAAAAGCAGCAAGAGAAAAGCAGATAATTACCTACAAGGGAGTTCCCATAAGACTGTCAGCTGATTTCTCAAAAGAAACTTTGTAGGCCAGAAGGGAGTGACAAGAAATATTCAGAGTGATGAAAAGCAAGAACCTACACCCAAGATGACTCTATCCTGCAAAGCTGTGATTTAGAATTGATGGCCATATAAAGAGTTTCCCAGAAAAGAAAAAGTTAAAGGAGTTCATCACCACCAAGCCATTATTATATGAAGTGATGAAGGGTCTTTTTGAAGAAAAAGATAAAATATATGAACAAACAAAATGGCAATGAATACATATCTATCGACAATGGAAACAAAATGAACAGGCAGAACAGAAACATTCTCATAGATACAGAGAACATTTTGTTGGTTGCCAGATGGGAGGGGGTTGGGGGAATGGGTGAAAAAGGTGAAGGGATTAAGAAGAACAAATTGGTTGCTAGACTGACAAACCTCAAAGAGAAGGTGGTTGCGGGGTGGGAAGAAATAAACCAAAGGACTTATATGCATAACCAATGGACACAGACAACAGTGTGGGAAAAGGCAGGAGGGGGGCGGGAGTGGGGAGGAGGGGGTCAATGGGGGAAAATGAGGAACATCTGTAATAACATTCAACAATAAAGATAAAAAAGAAAACAAAAAAATAAAATAAAGAAATTTAAAAACTAAAAAAAAAAAAGACTCCAGGAAGCCCCTCACACAAGGTCTCCTGTAAAAAGGACAGTCCTACCTTGTGCGGGGAGGGGTGGGGCGGGGCTCCCGCCTTGCAGCAAAGGGCTGGGAACCACCACAGGGCCACATCGAGCTTGATTTCAGATTTAACCAGACTGTTCCATCATTTGGAACTCAAAGGCACGATGTGATCCTCGTCTTCATGTCCAGTTTACAGGCCGCCTTGTACTCAACACTCAAATTTTAGTTTGCTAATTCTTCAAGTCCCCCAAGAACTAGCCTTCAGTGGCTTATTCTAAAATGGAAAAAGGGGGGGTTCGAAAATAAAAGCTGCTTGTGAGCCATCTCAGCGGATTGGAACGCAGCCTTGGGGGGACGCGGGGGGACAGGGGCTGCCCCGCAGCCTTAGCCTCGGTGTGTACGCGGCGCACTGACCGCCCACGCGCCGCTCTGAAGAGCATTCGAACAGCCACGCCCACTGGACATTCCTGCATTTTGCAACCCCGGTTCCATCTGGAGCTTTAAAGTCCGCAGTCTCAATGGAAGAATTTTAAGCCCTGTTCGCCGAGGATGGGGACAGGTGAAAAAGGTCTAGGTTAGTCCTGTACCACGGAAAAGTCTAAGGATTAAGAGTAGCAAGAAGTCTTGGGGCTGCAGGTGGGACCTCAGGGGGCCGTGTCCACGAAGCGGACGAGTGGACATGTCCCTCCAGATCTTTCCCTTCAAAATGCGCCCCAAGTGAGGTTAACGTCGCACCCATCTGGAGCAGAGAGCTCATGAGGAACCGCGTGCGCCCCAGGCCGCCCCGCCAACCCCGCACCCCCGCTGGCCTCACCTGCCAGGCGGCCGAATTCGCGCGCCCGCAGCTCGCGCAGGCTGCGCGGGCCGTAGCCATAGGCTAGTGGCTGCTCGCTGGAGCCCCGGAAACGCTCGAAGGCCAGCAGCTCGACCTCCCGCTGCGCCATCCCGCCGGCCATGACCCAGGCCTGCTCACCGCGCTGTCCGCGCCGGCAGAGTCCGGGGCAAGGCTCCCCACGAGGACTCCGCCCCGGCACTCCCGGGCCGCACCTCCGGGCCCGGCACTGGCACCCGGTCCCGCGGCCGAAGGGCGGCGCATCTGGGAACGGGCCGGGCTCGCCTGGGCCGCGCTGACTCACGGAGTTTCACTTCTTTCCTGCCTTTTTCCCATCTGGAGGCCGCAGGAGAGAATGCCCGTTTTTGTTCTCTTCGAACAGCTTCCCAGTGGAGCCCCCGGAGATGCCCAGGGACACTTGGTATGCTAAGTTCTCCTTTATCTATGGTCCCACGGGGAAGCGGGTGGAAGAAGCAACAAATTGCATTTTCCTGCTTGGGCTCCTCTGGCAATCCTCCCGCCTGCCTCTCCCCGGCCCGAGCTCCTCAGGGGTCCTGGGACCACCACTCTCCTTGACGAGACCCTAGTGTGCGGGGCAGGGCGTTTGCAAGGACACTTCGCAGGTGGCGCTCCCCAGAGGAGCGCGTGCTCAGCATTTCTGAGAATGCGGCTGAGCAAGGAAAGGGTAGAGGAGAGAAAAGATTGGAGATTTGCGAGGTCGGTTGGTCAAGTTTCGGCGGCTGTGCACAGTCCGAACCCGGTAGTTAGGAGGCGACCGGGACAGGAGGGCCTGTTCTGCCCTGCCCTCACGCCTACATCCGGAATGCCTGGGGACTCTGTCCCCGCACACCAATGCGTCAAGTATGAAGGGGCAGGCCAAACCCACGTTCGGGAAGCGTTGGGGCGAACTCTGGGGTGGGCGGACAGATGCACGAAATGGGGCCCAGGTATGAAGTAGGGGCCCCTCAGGTGCTATCCTAGGTTTGGGTCCCATCTCGGAGGGTGGAGTGAAAGGAGACCAGGTACTGGGGGTCCTGGAGAGGTGCACAGTGTGGAACCAGGTGGGGGAAGTGGGCCAACGTGCTGACGTTCCCTAAGGGATTCAGATGTGGGCCAGGTGGGGACCCAGGAGTGGACCATTGGCTTTCGAAGCATACCACGGTGGGAAGAAGTGGGAAGGACGCCCGTGTCAAAACGCCCGTGTCAAAATCTCAGCGCGAAAGCTGCAGCCTGGCCCTCGGTGGCCCAGTGCGAAGTTCCGCACGCGCGGTGGAATAAATGATGTGAGGATGCGTGCAGCCGACTCCCGAGGCGGTCCTCTGCCTGTATGAAGAATGTCCGGAGGGTTCTGCCATCGTGAGAGCCTTGGAGGGTTGTGCACAGCCCTCCCGCTTCTAGCCTAGCACCCCACCCCTCGTACAAGGTCTCAAAAAGGGTGCTTTGGGGGCTATAGTACTGGAGCTGGTACCTGGGCATCCCCGTGCCTCTGCAGGCTCTGCCACAGACCATTCCTGCTTCTCTGGTCACTGCCTAATCCCCAGGCCTTTCCCAACCCCTCCTGGATACCTCCTGACCCCCTCCCACCCCTCCTGGATACCTTCTGACCATACTTCCAGCAGGAACCTTGGGCTCTGATGCCACCTTGGCCCTATCCACTTCACTTACTCCTGTAAAGTGACTTCGGCAGCAGTAACAATAACAAGCTAGTGTTATAGAGCCGTCCCTGTGTACCAGGCACTGCACTGGACACGTGTACACTTTTACCTGTACTAACGATTTAGCGATTAAATAAGCAGATATATGAGGTGGTTCAGAAGCTGAGGCAGAGACAGACAGAATAACTTGCTCAATGGCACACAGAAGAAAATGGACACACTAGTACCTGGGAAGTCAGTCTACAGAGCCCAACCAGATGTGTTTCAGCAACCTCTCTGGTGTCACTGTGGTTCTCAGGGCCTTAGTGTCCCCATCTCTAAATTGGGAGTGTCAGGGATAGCTCCCACCAGGAACATTACTGTGTGTGTGCTCCTAACCCCTCATTTTAATGGCCTAATTTCCAGTGAGGCTCTTCTAGGCCAGGCTTTTCCAGTATTCCATGAATTACCTGGAACTCTACTAAAATGTAGATTCTGATATTTTTTTCTTGTTAATCCTTACTCGAGGATTTTTCCATTGATTTTTAGAGAGAAACGTCGATGCAAGAGAGACACATGGATAGGCTACCCACCCCCCCCATGACCCGACCAGGGCCCAAACCTAAAACCTAGGTACGTGTCCAACTGGAATCGAACCCAAGACCCTTTGGTCCCCAGGTCAAGCCAGATTCTGTTTAAGTGTGACGTGGGCCCTGAGGTTCTGTGTTTCTAACTAGCCTGGGTGATGCAGACTCTAGGGTCCATGAACTGCTCCTGGTGAGGGCCTAGATTATTTGCCTGGGAATATAAGGAGTACCTCTCCTGGAGGTGTTCTGTGACCAAGTGACAAATCTCAAATCCACAGAGGTGCTACTTTAGGACAAGCTTGCCTAGTGAACAATCTGAAAGAGCCAAGTCAGAATTTTTTTTTAATTGTGGTAAAAATAATTGCCCTGGCCGGTTTGGCTCAGCAGTTAGAGCGTCGGCCTGTAGTCCAGAGAGGCCCGGGTTCACTTCCCTCTAAGGGCACGTACCTCGATTGCAGTTTGTCCCTGGCCCCAGTTGGGGTCGTGTGGGTGGCAACCACTGGACCTCTCTCACATCAATGTTTCTCTCTCTCTCTTCCTCCCTCTCTCCCTCCCGCTCTATCTGAAGATGAATGCAAAAATATCCTCGGCTGAGGGTAAAAAAAAATTGTGGTAAAATATACATATCATAAAATTTAATATCTTAGCCATTTTTAAGTGCACAGAGTTCAGTAGTGTTAGGTACATTCACATCGTTGTAAAGCCAATCTCCAGAACTTGCAAAACTGAAATCCTATACCTATTAACAACTCTTCATTTTTCCCTCCCCTGGTCTCTGGCAACCACCATTCTATTTTCTGTCCCTATAAATGTGGCTACTCTGGGTACCTCTTATAAGTGAAACATGCTATATTTATCTTTTTGTAACTGCCTTATTTCACTTAGCATAATGCCTTCTTGGTTTATCCATGCTGTGGCATATGACAGGATTTTTCCTTTTCAAGGCTGAATAATATTCCATTTTATGTATATACCACATTTTATTGATCCATTCATCCACTGATGAATGTTGGGAGATTACTTCTGCCTCTTGGTCATTGTGAATAATGTCGGCATGATATAGGTGTACAAATATCTGTCCGTTCTTTTGGATATATATCTAGAAATGAGATTGCTGGATTATATAGTAATTGTTTTTAATTTTTGTGGAACTGCTGTACTGTTTTCTATAGCTGCATCATTTTACATTCCCAAGAAAAGTGTACAATACCAAATTCTCCAAATTCTCTCCAACTTTTACTGGTTTTGGTTGATAGTACCTATCCCACTGGATGTGAGGTGGCATCTCACTGTACTTTTGATTTTCATTTCCCTAATGATTAGTGGTGTTGAGCATCTTTTCCTGTGCTTATAGGCCATTGAACATCTTTGGAGAAATGTCTGTTCAAGTTCTTTGCACATTTTTTCAGCTGACTTTTTTAAAAAATTGTTAAATTGTATGAGTTCTTTATGTATTCTGTATAGTAACCTCTCATCAGATGTATAGATTTTCAATATTCTCCCATTCTATAGGTTGCCTTTCTGCTTTTATTCTTTGATGACAGTACAAAACTTTTGAAGGTCATTAAAAATCACTGAACTACCATTCAGTCAAGAAATAGCTTTAAGTCTTCTGCTCTGCCTAGAGTACTGTATGCTCAGAAGGATGTGAAGATGTTGTGCCAACAGCCATACAGGAAAATGGACTACTGAACATCCAGCCACAAGGCCATGTGGGCTGAGTGTCCTACCACTGCTTCACGACGCAGGTAAGTAATGCAGCAGGAAGGAAGGGAGCTCCTTCCAACCAGGGAGTCCTGGAAGGTACCCCAAAGGAGAAATCCTTTGACCTGGGCCAAAGCAGTGAGCCTGTGAAAAAGGGGAGAGTAGTGGATGTAGGGGGGGACCAGGAGACTCTGCCTCTAATGGGCACCAAAATTCTCTGGCCTCTCCTGCCAGAAAGCCTGTCAGAAATCAGATTGCTCGCTCTCACCCTGCCTAAAGTGGAACCTCCAGGACCCATTGATCAATGTCTTACTTGTGTTCATCACCCAATGAGCTCCAGGGTCCTGTGCTAAAGGACTGCCACTGGCTAGTCTCACCTGGTCTAGCTGCTGGGCCTGGGACTCAAAGGAGCCTCAGCTGGTCCATGCTGAGATCCCAGGCAACCAGCTTCTGCACCCACAGTTTACAGCTTTGTAGGGAAACAGCTCTTCATCTCCTACTTACATCCCTGTCCTACCTGAGAACCATGAAAACTATATGCTTAGTTCAGCCAGTGTAGCTCAATTGGTTGTTGTTCCATGCACCAGGAGGTCCCTGGTTTGATTCCCCAGTCAGAGCACATGCCCAATTGTGTGGGCTCAATCCCCAATGGGGGATGTGCAGGAGGCACCCAATCAATGTTTCTATCTGTCTTCTCTCTGAAATAAATAAAAACTTATTTACAAAAAAAAAAGAAAAAAGAAAACCTATGTGCCTAGGGGCCAGATTGGGCAGACAAGAGACAGCCCCGATTTTCTATTTCACATCCCTCACCCTTGGTGAGGCTTTGCCCCTGGTCCAGCTCACTATCCTGGTTCCGTAGTCAGGATGATGTGTCCCCTAGCAATGGGCTCCATTTGAGAATCTCGCTACACATAAAGACATTCATTCATGTATTCTTTCATTCATTCACTCCCTTGCTGAAAGTTCAGTAAGTGCCTCTGAGCTAGGCTGTGGTGGTCCAGGAAGAAGGTGGGGGAGCTTTGGGGGCAGGGTTTGAAAGGCTTTAAGTCAGGCTAAGGGACTGGAATTTTATTCTGAAGATTTTAAAGCCAGGAGCTGATTTGGGTAGAACCATCTAATGGCCATGACCAGGTTGGATGGAGTCCAGAGAAGTGAAGGTGTGGAAACCAGCTACAACTGCTGGTAACTGTCCGGCCTTGAATCACTGAAGATGAAAACAAGCTTTGTCAGGGGCATTCAGTGTTCACTGGCAGCTGCTCCCTGCTAGGAACACGGTAGGTGCTGGGAAGACAACGGTCCTCAAGGCAGCCTCTGGGCCTGAAAAGCACCCAGGACACAAAGGAGATGAGCCCACAGTCAGATCACCCCTCCACATTGCAGAGTGCTGGAGAAGGGGCCTCTCAGCAAAGGTTGAAGCTGAGGGCGTGAGAGCCTTTCCCACCTGGGACTCCAGAGGGTCCTGGAATGAGAAGGTGGGAGAGGGAGTGAGGGTAGCACTCACATACAAAAGCCTGGAGGTACAAAAGGCTCAGAAAATTCCAGAAGCAGGACCTTTACTGCAGCTGGAGCACAGGCCGTGGTTGTGCAGGAATGAGTGGGGACAGGGAGTGAGGGGAGAGTCCAACTGCAGTGCAGGAAGATAGTGGGGGTCCACCAGGGCTGCTGCGTCAGCACTGCATCTGACACCCGAGGAGGGGAATGGGCGTGGGGAAGCTGCAGCAGCCCTGTCCACCAGACACTGGGCAGGAGTTCTGGTGAGGAGTGATGAGGGCCTGGCCAGAGGCCCAGATGGTGCAGAAGTGATGAAATTCAGGGACAAAGGGGACGGGGGGAGGACTGCCTCAGGGAGACTTGGAGCTATCAGATTGGGTGACTGGGTGGATACGGGGAGGTGGGGGCTTAGGCATAGGGAGACAGTGTGAAGCTCAGTGCAGGATGTCTAAGTGGAGATTCGGGCTCAGGGCTTAGGAAGGAGTGTCGGGATTGGAGACACAATTTATGGAAGGGATCATCCCAGGAGCTCTGGAATGTTCAGGGAGAAGGCAGAGCCCTTGGGATAGTAACATTTAAGAGGCACCTGCTTTCTGGCTGGTGTGGCTCAGTGTACTGAGTGTCCTTCCATGGACTGAGAGGGCCTGGTTCGATTCCCAGGCAGGGTATATGCCCAGGTTGCAGTCTTGATCCCCAATATTTCTCTCTTTCCCTTCCTCTCTAAAAAAAGATCAATAAAGACATTATTAGCCTGGCCAGTGTGGCTCAGTGGTTGAGCGTTGACCCATGCACCAAGAGGTCGCTGGTTCTACTCCCAGTCAGGGCACATGCCCAGGTTGTGGACCAAATCCCTGTGGGGGGCATGCAGGAGGCAGCCAATCGATGTTCTCTCTCATTGATGTTTCTCTCTCCCTCTCCCTCTCCCTCTAAAATCAATAAAGAAAAAAATTTTTTTAATCTTTAAAAAAAACACTGAGGAAAAAAAAAGTAGCATCTGCCTCCATGCCACTGATTGATGAGAAGGTAGAGGTGGGACAAGACCCAGAGGAAGGTGCCTTGGCAGTACCTAAGGCTGAAGGGCTAATCAGATTATTGAATTTGCTGAGTAGGTGATATGCAGTTAGCTCGGTGGGGATGGGAGCTCCATTAATGGCTAAGTCTTAAATGGGAGGAATGGTAGAGGTTTTTCCACTGGCTTAAAATCCCAGGCCTCGTGATCATGGAGTTAATGGGGGCTGCAATTATGATGAAGTAATTGGGATAGGGGGTGTTCAGAGGAAACTGAATTTGGATTGGATAATGAAATTAATTTAGTACTTCCTGCTAGTGAAATGCATACCTCCCTAACAATGAGAATCTGCTGATCTAAATACTCTGGTACCTAAGAAAACAGAAGACCTGCTCGGCAGGAAGTAAGGAGAGAGACAAGCAATAGAGCAGGTTTCTCTCCAAAGCCTACATAAAATATCTGGTAGCAACAACTTGAAAGCAGTGGAAAGAAAGATCAGAAACCCCAAGAAACTCCCTCCCCTACAGTGACAAGAGACCTTTTCTGTGAATAGAAGCTAAAAGGGCATCTCGGAATCACAAGCTTGGGAACAAGGCTCCATTATATCTAAACCCATAATGTTCAAAACAACAAAACCCCACCAGTACAAGGCAGACCACAAGAGAGGTGGGTGGACCCAGAACAGGGATCTTTCTGAGGCAGTTTTGCCGGGGGATCGACTTCTCCCAGTGTTCATTCAGGGGAAGGTCCACAGGGTCTGGACACCCCCTTCTTGGTCCCTTCTGTTTTGACTCCTTCCTCCTGCTCTTTGTCCCGTACCCCTTTATGCCACCAAGATCCGGAAATTACTCTATTTACTGACTGGTGGATTACACTGGAGAATGCTTCCTCCGCCAGCCAGCCGTCTATGTTGTCAAATTTATCCTTGAATTCACCAAATATTTGACAATGCACTGTGCTAGATGCTGTGGAGAACAAGAAAGCAAATCTGATGCCCAGATGTTGAGGCTGTAGCAGGCCTGATAGTGAGTGGGCTTTCGTGGGTTGCCCATCTGACTTTGCTTTGGAAAAACACCCTATGTAGAGCAGCCATGTGGTCCTAATGGGACCCACCCTGACTCCAACTCCAGAAGAGGCATCTCCTGGCTCTGGCTACACCAGATGGGCACTCAATGTGTGGTTTTCTCCTGCTCACTGTGGGTATTCAGGATGTTCAGGTCAGAGTAAAGCTAGGGACTTTAACGTTTAACAGTTTGTCCTCTTTGATATGAACAAGTTGGTCTGTCGCCTCAGGGGCTGCTTTCATCCGAAAGAAGGCAGCTTAGAAGAAAGCTGACACAGTGGGAGGGCAGAGCTGAGAGGATTAGAGAAAGGGAAACTACTTATCAAATTACACCTGAACTCTGTCCTACCACTGGATTTTTTTCAGTTATGTGAACCAATAATTCCCATATCATTTTTGTTGTTGTTAATCCTCACTCGAGGATATTTTTCCATTGATTTTTAGATACAGTGGAAGGGAGGAAGGGAGGGAGAGAGCACTGATGTGAGAGACACACTGATTGGTTACCTCCCGCATAACCCCAACTGGGGCTGGGGATCAAACCTGCAACCCAGGTACATGCCCTTCACGGGAAATTGAACCTGAGACTCTTCAGTCCACGTGCCAATGTTCTAACAGTTGAGCCAAAATGGCCAGGGTTCCCTAAATCATTTTGAGACAAACTCTTATCACAAAAAGCATCTAATCGACATAACTTAAGACATACATAAACAAAAGATAGGAATGACAAATGCCATAAAACAAAATGAGAATGAAATACTATGGAATTCAGAGAAAGGAAAGAATATTTGAAAAGGGGATTAACAAAGGCCCTATGCAGAAGCAACATGGGCTGAGCTTTAATTGTAATAGTAAAAATGACCAATTTGGGTATCTTATATATAGCCAGGCCCTGGGCTAGTATTTCTCATGCATTGGCTCATTTAATTCTCAAAACAACCCTACAAGGTGGTTATTTCTTACAAAATTAGACTAACATTTATTCTTTCTTCCAGAATAAAGCACTTTAATTCTCAGTTGAGCACATGACCACCTGCAATTAAAATTTCATTTCCCAGCTTCTCTTGAGATATGGCCACAGAGATTAAGCATTGCTGTTTAGACTTCCAAGAGGTTTCCTTAAAGTTAGGGGCAAGCTTTTCCTTATGCCTTCCTCCTTTCTGCTGGCTAGAATACACAGATCATGGCAGGAGGCCAGCAGCCATTCTGGATAGTGGGGAAGCCACACACTGTCAGCAGACAGCAAAGAAAAGAGCCTGAGTCCCCTGGTCACACTGAGAAGTTCCCCTGAACATCCTAGACTGCCTACCTGATTCCTATTGATAGAGAAAACATCTATCTTGTACACACCAGAAAGAATATTATGTATTCTAATCTGACTGAACCACTAATATTATCTCCATTTACAGAGATGAGGGGTAAAACTTACCCTCAGTTATAGCCAGTGTGAGCCAGGATTCAAACGCATTTCTGATTCCTTAAGTCCAGGTTCCAACCCTACCCGGACTGCTTTGAGAAATACATTGATTTGCACAAAAGTGGGCAGAAAGCCTTGCATTCTTCTTACAGACAACACAAGATTCTCTATGATGGTCAGGATTTTTAATTTAAAAGAGAGAGATTCTGTCCTTTTACTTCATTCCAGAATTTGCAGTCTCCCTCTAATTCCCAATCTCCCTTTGGAATCAATAACCAACACTGCTTCCCCTGAGGCTATTGGGAAGCTGGTGATTTGGTCTCTTGCTGTCCAAGGTAAACATATACTTAGAACAACAGCCCAATAACCTCTCCTACTTCTAGGAAAGTTTTATAAGTTAGAAGACAGGGACTTCTGACATACAACTGTTTAGGCTGGTGCACAGCATCAATCTGAACTTTGTGCTGTGACCCAAGCCGTGAAATGAGCTATCAGGGGCAATGGGGGAAGGGCAGATTAGAGACTCTGAAACATTCCTCAGCTCCTCTGGAGCAAAGTTCCAGAACTGCTTTTTTGCTTTAGGTATTACAAATTACTCAATATGGTTCAAAGGGTGTTCTTTCAGTGGATTACAATCTTTGTGCGTAAAATTACAATGTACGTGTATAAATTACAATGCAGACAGCCCGAGCGTGCAGCTAGTCCTCTGAATGCTTACTGAACTGAATGACCCAGGTGATTATTGAGGACGGTGCTGCAGGACAACTTGGGAAAACTGTCCATCTACAAACACGGCTAAGAAAACAATCATCATGAAGTCAGCCGCTCCAGGACGAGGCCTGCTTTCAGGGAAACTTTGGGGGTTGAGTTTTATGCTTGAAAAGGCTCGAAAAGACTAAGCTCACTGAATCTGCTCTGGAATCCAGCATGCATGGGATCTGAACAAATCCCTGTGCGCCAGTGGGGTTAAAGACTCAGCTCCTTCAGTTAATAAGCAAGGAAGTAGTAGTTCCGAGCGTTCTGGCTTCTAAGGTTGGGAAGCTCAGATGTTCACTGCCTTGGTGCATGCATGCACACGCCCCTGAGAAACAAGGTTATACAGACCCAGTCATCTAGAACTGCATGTATGGATAGCCACTAGCCTCATGCGGCTACTAAACACTTGAAATGTGACTAGTCAGAACTGAGATGGGCTCTCAATGTAAGATGCACCTTATACTGTATAATATGTAATCAATAATCTTTTATATTTATATGTTGAAATGATACTATTTTGGATATATGAGTTAAAACAAATGTGGAATTAAAATAAATTTTCCCTGATTTTTTTTGTTTACTTTTATTATGGGGTGTCTAGAAATTTTTAAATTACATCCATAGCTCAAATTATATTTGTATTGTACTAAGAAATACGAGACAGCCCAGCCAGAATGACTCGGTTGATTGAGCATCATCCTGTGCACTGAAAGGTTGCTGATTCAATTCCCAGTCAGGGCACATGCCTGGGTTACAGGTTCAATCCCTGGTTGGGGCACATACTGAAGGCAACGGATCAATCTTTCTCTCTCACGTCAGTGGTTCCCCACCCTCTGCCCCTGTCTCTCTAAGCATGTCCTCGGGTGAGGACTAAAAAAAATAAAATTAAAATTAAAAAGAAATATTAGCCCTGGCCGGTTTGGCTCAGCGGTTAGAGCGTCGGCCTGCGGTCCGGAGAGACCCGGGTTCGGTTCCCGCTAAGGGCATGTACCTCGGTTGCAGTTTGTCCCCGGCCCTGGTTGGTCGTGCGGGTGGCAGCCACTCGATGTGTCCCTTTCACATCGATGTTTCCCTCTCTCTCTCTTCCTCTCTCTCCCTCCCACTCTGTCTGTACAAAAAATGGAAAAATGTCCTCGGATGAGGATTAAAAAAAAAAAAAAAAAAAAAAAAGAAATATTAGCCCTAGCTAGTTTCAGTGGTTAGAGCATTGGCCTGCAGACCCAAGAGTCATGGGTTTGATTCCCGCCAAGGGCACATACCTTGGTTGCAGTTTGTCCTCAGCCCTGGTCGGGTCATGTGACAGGCAGCCAGTCAATGTGTCTCTCTCACATTGATGTTTCTCTCTCTCCCTCCCTATATCCCTCCCTGCCTCCCACTCTACCTGAATATAAATGGAAACATATCCTTAGGTGAGGATTAAAAAAAAAAAATACTAGCCCTGGCCAGTTTGGCTAAGTGGTCAGAGTGTTGACCTGGGGCTCTGGCTGGTTTTGCTCAGCGGTTAGAGCATTGGCCCATGGACCAGAAAGTCCCGGGTTTGGTTCCCACTAAGGGTACATATCTCGGTTGCAGTTTGTCCCCAGCCCCAGTTGGGGTTGTGTGGGTGGCAGCCACTCGATGTGTCTCTCTCATGTCGATGTTTCCCTTTCTCTTCCTCTCTCTCTCCCTCCATCTCTGTCTGAAGATAGATGCAAAAATGTCCTTGGGTGAGGATAAAAATAAATAAATAAAGGAGCTTGTTGGCCAGGGGACCAAAGAATCTCAAGTTCAATTCCCGGTCAAGGGCACATACCTGGGTTGCGGGTTCAATTCCCAGCCCCTGTTGTTGGGAGGCAACCATCTGATGTGTCTCTCTCACATCAATGTTTCTCTCTCTTTCACTCTCTCTTTCTCCCCCCCACTCTATCTAAAAAAAAAAAAATCAATGAAAAAATATTTTTGAGCGAGGATTAATAATAATAATAAAATACTAGATAGTGTTTGTCTAGAAACCTCCATTTAGACAAAATATAGCTCTTCTGGAAGCAAGACATCATGTCAGATAATGGCATAAACTCCTCACCTACAATCTTTCAGCCTATTTATTGTGTACAGTATTCATTTAATGCCAATTTGCCAGATGACTCCATGTGCCAAGAGGGTCAGGGCACACCTCCAATCTCATACCAGTAGTATCTCTCACACCCCCTCTTAACATCTCTCAACCCAACTCCCAATTCTTATGCCCACCGCCCAAACCTTAGCTGGCATACCAACATTCTGCTTCTAGCACCCTCTTCCCTCTGCTCCTATCACTCACACTCCCTGGGAGACATCCTTTACTCTCATAACTCATTTGTGACTTCATTTAAAATCATATGATTCAGAACTCACTTTTCAGCTCCTACATCTATCAGATTAAATGTTCAGATATTCTGCTTTAAGTCAAACCCAAAAAGAATAATCTACATACTTTTAAAAGAATGAAAGAAATGGCCGACTGCAGTTCAAAATCCCACCCTGGCTGGTTTGACTCAGAGGTTAGAGTGTCAGTCTGTGGAGCAAAGGGTTGTGGGTTCGATTTCTGGTCAAGGGCATGTATCTAGGTTGCAGGTTCAATCCCTAGCCCTAGTAAGGGTCATGAAGGAGGCAACCAATCGATGTCTCTAACATCAATGTTTCTCTCTCTCTCCCTCCCTCCCTTCCACTCTATCTAAAAATCAATGGAAAAATATCCTTGCGTGAGGATTAACAAAAAAAAAACAAAAAACACAAACTCCTGTCCAGCTGGTGTGGCTCAGTGGTTGAGCATCGACCCATGCACCAAGAGGTCGCTGGTTTGATTCCTGGTCAGGGCACATGCCCAGGTTGTGGGCGTGATCCCCAGTGGAGGGAATGCAGGAGGCAGCCAATCAATGTTCTCTCTCATCGATGTTTCCATCTCTCTTCTCCCTCTCACTTCTTCTCTCTCTAAAACCAATAAAGGAAAAAATAAATTAAAACAAAACAAAACAAAAAAACTCCCAACCACCTGCCAAATTCCTAGAATGGTTGGTGTGTACTGGGAAGAAGAGTCAAGGAAGGGGTCAAAGCCACACTTTGTGTGGTCAGTTTATTTACAAAAACTGTTTAAATAAAAATTGAGTAATCTGGCTTTTATCTCTCTTTATTTTCTATCTCCTCCCTCTGAAGAGGTAATAAATAATGAAATGTTCCAAAGAAGGGCACATGAAAAGAGCAGGCCCGAATAACACACAATCAGGCAAGTTCGGTCATGAAGAAAGAAGAGGTTCTTACCTGGAACATACAGATACAGGTCTGAATCCCTGAAAGCATAGGCAAGGTTCTGAGGGTGTCTGATATAGAACAATTTTGAATAAAGAGTCTGAAACTTTCATCAGATTTCAAAGGGTCTCTGACCCAAATTAATACTACTATAGGACTTACAAATGAAACGCAATGAAATTATGAAGTAAAGACAGATTATCTATTTACATGATAAATAAGACACCACTGATTATATGCTTGTAATTATTAAGTCCATTACAAGGCACCTCTGTTAACTTTGTGTATCTTCACAGTATGATCTTCGCCACAACTTGCAAAATGTAACCACTCAGTGCCTTCTGCCTCCTTCTGTTCAGTTTTCCCATTGCAATTCCTCCAGCATAATTTTTTGATAGCAAGTGTATGGCTTTGGCTAAAACACAAATAGAAAAAGCATTAAATGAACATATGGTATAACTATAAAATACTTTACTGGGTGCTTACCTACATGTTAATTTAATTAGTATACTCTTACTATTTTTTTTTTTTTTATCCTCACCCGAGGACATTTTTTTTAAATATTTTGTTCAGATAGAGTGGGAGGGAGAGAGAGAGAGAAACATCGACGTGAAAGGGACACATTTGAGTGGTTGCCACCCACACAACCCAACCAGGGCCGGGGACAAACTGCAACCGAGGTACATGCCCTTAGCGGGAACCGAACCCGGGTCTTTCGGGACCGCAGGCTGATGCTCTAACCGCTGAGCCAAACCGGCCAGGGCTAATTAGTATACTCTTACTATTAATGTTAACATAAATGAAAATCAAAACCTAAAATCCACAATGTACAGGTTTTAAAATACTATTACTAATATTTCAACAATTTTATCCTAACCTTTAAAACATCTTTTACTTAAAACTGTCAATATCTAATTTACTGACCAAGGATCCCACCAAAAAGAGCAAGAAATAAACAATGAATTTCCATCAAATTTTGTTTGACCAGTGGAATTCATGACATGGCTATTAAAATCAGCCTTTCAGATAACTACTAAATGTGTTTCTTTAAGAATTCCAACTCACCCTGGCCGGTTTGGCTCAGCGGTTAGAGCATCCGCCTGCGGTCCGGAGAGACCCGGGTTCGGTTCCTGCTAAGGTCATGTACCTTGGTTGCAGTTTGTCCCCGGCCCTGGTTGGTCGTGCGGGTGGCAGCCACTCGATGTGTCCCTTTCACATCGATGTTTCCCTCTCTCTCTGTTCCTCTCTCTCCCTCCCACTCTGTACAAAAAATGGAAAAATGTCCTCGGGTGAGGATAAAAAAAAAAAAGAATTCCAACTCTGCAACATATTCTAGATGTTTTGACATACCTATGACATGGATGGACTCTTACTCACATTTTTACTGCCGGGTAAGGAAAGACAGTGAAAGATTTAATAAACTGTCCAGTGAAGAACCTTGGTCTCCAATGTGATCTTCAACTGCATGACCTTGAGCAAGATGCTCATATTAAGGTCTATCTCCACCCCCAAAGCAGACCTACAATGCTCCCATAGATTATTAAAATCGCTATGAAAACACAATATCTTTTGCAAATTTAACCTGCAAACCAAAAAAGAATAAAGTGAAAGACTTGGATTTTAAGGCAGTAAACACTGAAAATAATGCCACAGCATACAAGTTAGACTTTCAAATGCGAGTTCCTCTCAAGTTTAAAAGTAGGACCAAAGTTTAACCTTGAAGTATGAAACACATTTGAAAATCAGTACACCAGAATCTATGCAACAAATGACTGTGAGCCCTTGCGAATGGCCCCTCTGGAGATTACACACATTTCCACAGTGCTGCTGTGCCTCAATGCTTCCCAAAATTCTTCTATAGGAAATGCCTCCACAGAATCATATTATGCAGGCTACGACTTGAGTACTATCAATGACAGCTCATCTTTGTGTGAGGATAAATTTGATTACTGAAAACAGTTAAGTCATTTGGAGATGAGCTTTTTAAAAAGCCATCAAGCCCTAGCCGGTTTGGCTCAGTGGTTGGAGCGTCCGCCCGCAGACCAGAGAGTCCAGGGTTCAGTTCCCGCTAAGGGCATGTACCTTGGTTGCAGTTGGTCCCCTGCCCAGGTTGGGGTTGTGTGGGTGGCAACCACTTGATGTGTCTTTCTCATATCAACATTTCTCTCTCTCTTCTTCCCTTTCTCCCTCCCACTCTATCTGAAGATAAATGCAAAAATGTCCTCGGGTGAGGATTTAAAAAAAAAAGCCATCAAAACGAGTAAAACTATAAAAGGTACTGTAATTAGTCTTCTTGCATCTAGTAAGCTAGTTCTGAATGCAGTTCCTAAAGAGAAGTTCCAAAAATGATTTGAAATAGTTTTTTGATTAGACATTACTGAAACAACTATATATATAGTATATTGCTTCCCAGGAGAGTTACTCTGTACTTATTTGGCTATGAAAGCTTGAAGATGGGAGGGTTTCTTATCTTTTCTTTTTTAATTTTTTAATAGTATTCTTTAAATCTAGCATGTTAATACATCACACTTAGAACATAGGAAGTGGGGGGAACAAACCTAAAATGAAATGTTTGCTTATCAATTACCTTTGCATCTCATTACTAGCAAAAAGTTTCATTTGAAAGGTACTTGAAATTTGGTAACCGGAACATTAGCAATCCAAATAATATAATGTGTTAAGTCAGGATTAGTTCTTATAAATCCAAAATCACCATGCTGGCTTTTTTTTTTTTTTTTTTTTTATCCTCACCCGAGGGCATTTTTCCATTTTTTGTTCAGACAGAGCGGGAGGGAGAGAGAGAGAGAGAGAAACATCGATGTGAAGGGACACATCGAGTGGCTGCCACCCGCACGACCAACCAGGGCCAGGGACAAACTGCAACCGACGTACATGCCCTTAGCGGGAACCGAACCCAGGTCTCTCTGTACCGCAGGCCGACGCTCTAACCGCTGAGCCAAACCGGCCAGGGCGTGGCTTTTTTTTAAATCTTAAAATAAAAAACTCAAATTCTGTACAGGTCACCTGGCTGTGCTTTCTAAGGGACTTCCTGCCAGTGTCCCACATTCAGGCCATGGAAGTGGTCTAGCAAAGGCAGAGACAGCATTATGGAAAAGAAAAGGGAGGGGAGGCCAGGAAGAGAGAAATTTCAAATGCCTAGAACAGAATTTCATTGGAATACTTCCCTCTTCAGTAAGCCAACAGCATGAACTATTTCAACTGCTAAACCCAGCATCAGAGAGGCAGGAGAGAAGCCATGAGGGCAGCAGCAATAAAGGTAGATTTCATTCTAACAAATACAATTATAATGAGCATTAACACACAAGTTCCCCAGGATGAAATATGGTGTAAGAGGCGTGCCCACAAGTCTCTCTCCTTCAGACCAACCACCTCATCATGATACTGTCATTTTGAATTGTTTTTAAAATTATATTCTGAACATTCAGATACATAAAAGCTGAAGAATCCTAAAAAATCTCACACAGAATGTTAATGACCTTTCTAAGCAGTTAGATGGTTTAAAAGAATAAAATGGGTTAAAAAATAGAGTAAGAAATGATGCCCACTGTCTAGGCAGGTGAAAGTGGGAGGATGTTGTAAGAGCAGGTATCCAGGCCCGCTCATGTGCAAAGGCCCGTGTCCAAGATGTGAGGGTCGGGGACAGATTACTATGCTTAACAGCCAGCCAGCCACAGGCTTTGAGGGGCACTGACAGTTTGCTCCACTGAGGAACCTGAGCTGAAGTGTTCAAACAACACCAAAATACAATCAATGATATTTCCAAAAATCACCAACATTTTGAATTAATTTTTTTATCAAACTCTAAAACATCATTATGAAAATCACTTTTCTCAAATGTGTTATCTGTAAAGGTAATATTAAGCAAACAAGCAATTTGGTCAAGCAAACTTTGAAAAACCAAGTGCAACATAGTAACAAATACCAATTTCAAGAGATTATACCACAGAACACAGGGGTACCACTTAGTGGTGAGCACCATAAATACAGATTTGAGTCCTTCTCTATGAAAATGTGGCATAAAATTTGCTGCTAAAGATTTCATGATTTCTATCTAGTATGATGGAAGCAAAAATAGTAAAAAAAATACCTTTGACTTGTTTCTATACAGTGGGTCCAGTCATTTACTTCTGGAACTTGATCAGTCTTTTTCCAGGTGTATAAACAAATCTTTCCACACTCTAACCCTACTGCAACAACATATCTGTTTTTAAGGGAGGGAGGAAGGCAATTATTAACTTAGCATGAATTTCTGTTCTCTCCATTATCACTCTGAAGTAGCTCTTCACATTGTTCCCAACTGCCCCATGCTTACAAAGGCCTCTGTTTAAAGCACCAGCCCAAGCCCAGAATACAGTGCACTGCTGTACTGTGCCCTCAAGAGCGCCCACAGTTTTACCTCTGTCCTCCACTGGCAAAGCCCAAGAACTAACATTTCCCTGACTGGCTATAGGGCCCCCATCCTGCTGAAGACACTTATTACACAGGAAGCACCACATTCCTGAATCTGGTGTAATAAGAACCTTTTTCCACACTCCCAATCTCCTTTCCATCACTTAGAATATCATCAAGTTCTATCCATTTAAAAAAATTTTTTTCTTTCTTTTTTTAAATCTTAATTGTTGAGAGTATTACAAACGTTCCTCGTTTTTCCCCCAATGACCCCCTCCTCCCCACTCCCGCCCCCCTCCCGCCTTTTCCCACACTATTGTCTGTGTCCATTGGTTATTCATATAGGTTCTTTGGTTTATTTCTTGCCACCCTCCAACCCCTTTCCCTTTGAGGTTTGTCAGTCTAGCAATGAATTTGTACTTCTTAATAGCTTCACTTTTTTTACCCATTCCCCCAATCCCCCTGCCATCTGGCAACCAACAAAATGTTCTCTGTTTCTATGAGAATGTTTCTATTCTGCCTGTTCATTTTGTTTGTAGATTCCATTGTCAATACATAAGTATTCATTACCATTTTGTTTGTTCATATATTTTATCTTTTTCTTCAAAAAAACACTTCATCACTTCATATAATAACAGTTTGGTGGTGATGAACTCCTTTAACTTTTTCTTGTCTGGGAAACTCTTTATATGGCCATCGATTCTAAATCACAGCTTTGCAGGATAGAGTCATCTTGGGTGTAGATTCTTGCTTTTCATCACTCTGAATGTTTCTTGCCACTCCGTTCTGGCCTGCAAAGTTTCTTTTGAGAAATCAGCTGACAGCCTTATGGGAACTCCCTTGTAGGTAACTAACTGCTTTTCTCTTGCTGCTTTTAAGATTCTCTCTTTGTCTTGAACCTTTTGCATTTTGATGATGTGTCTTGGTGTGGGCCTCTTGGGTTCATCTTTTTTTTTTTTTTTTTTTTTTTTATCCTCACCCGAGGTTTCCATTTTTTGTATAGATAGAGTGGGAGGGAGAGAGAGGAAGGGAGAGAGAGAGAGAAACATCGACGTGAAGGGACACATCGAGTGGCTGCCACCCGCACGACCAACCAGGGCCGGGGACAAACTGCAACCGAAGTATGTGCCCTTAGCGGGAACCAAACCCGGGTCTCTCCGGACCGCAGGCCGACGCTCTAACCGCTGAGCCAAACTGGCCGGGGCGGGGTTCATCTTGTTTGGGACTCTCTGTGCTTCCTGGACTTGTATGTCTGTTTCTTTCACCAAGTTAGGAAAGTTTTCTGCCATTATTGTTTCAAACAGGTTTTCAATTTCTTGTTCTCTCTCCTCTCCTTCTGGCACCCCCAAGATGCGAATGTTGGCACGCTTGAAGTTGTCCCAGAGGCTCCTTACATTATCCTCATTTTATTGGATTCTTTTTTCTTTTTGCTGTTCTGATTGGGCGTTTTTTGCTTCCTTATATTCCAAAACAATGGTTTGGTTCTTGGATTTACGTACTCTACTACTGAATCTGTATAAATTATTCTTTATTTCAGTTAATGCCTCCTTCATTTCTGACTGTGCATCCATCATTTCTGACTGATCCTTTTATATGCTCTTGAGGCCCTCACTAAGTTCATTGAGCATCCTTATAAGCAGTATTTTGAACTCTGCATCTGTTAGGTTGCTTATCTCCAATTACGTTAGTTCTTTTCTTGGGATTTTGTTCTGTACTTTCATTTGGAACCTGTTTCTTTGTCTCCTCATTTTGGCTGCCTCCCTGTGTTTGTTTCTGTGTATTACTTAACAAGAGGTATGGGGCTAGCTGAGACCAGATGCTGCTTGTTTGAAAGATTTTAGGAAAAACCTGAAGCAGGATCCAAGACAGGCCAATCCTATGGTTAAGCAACTGGCAACAGCTTGGGTGGGCCTGAAAGTTGGGTGGGGCGGGGCCTCAGGGAATCACCAGGGTGGGGCTACCAGTATGAGCCAGGTTGCTGGAGTCCCAGATATGGAGACTGTCTGCCGCCCCAGGGAAGGGCTCACCAAAGGAACAAAGGCCTCTGACAGCACATTTGTCCCAGAAGAAGCCCCCTCTCCAGCCCTCGCTCCAGTGCCAAACAGCTCAGTTCTTCCCTGTATGTCTCTTGCTCCCCTTGAGCTGCCTCCCCTCTGAGCTTAGAGGGAGAGAGTCTGATAAGTCCGTGCATGGGCCCTTTATGGAGCTGCCTGGGGCTCCAGCTGCGTCAGCTTCCCTGAGCCTCAGTTCCCGCTAGTTTTTCCAGCCAGAAGTTATGGGGATTCCTGGCACTGGAACCCTGAGTGGGGCGTCTGGTGTGGGACGGGGACCCCTCAGTCCTCAGAGAGGACCTTCCCAGCGGAGGTCTCCTCCTGATTTTTATCCGCCGCGCGTGGGTGTGGGACCAGCCTGTCCGCCTCCGCCCCTCCTACCAGTCTCGATGCAGCTGCTTTAATTCCGTAGTTGTAGGGCTTCCATTCAGCTTGATTTCAGGCGGTTTTGAATGATGGTTGTTCTGTAGTTTAGTTGTAACTTTGATGTGGTTGTGGGAGGACGCGAGACTGCATTTACCTAGGCCGCCATCTTGACCGGAAATCCGGTAATAGTTTTTTAATGTCCTATTTTTTTGTCCTTTCAGCATACACTTCCTGGCCCCTTGAAGTCATGCAGGGCCATCCACTTAAAAATTCTTATGAAAAACATGAATACTATGAAAAAAAATAGCAGCTCAGAAGCTAAAAGAACACATGAATGAAAGTGTAGCCCTGGCCGGTTTGGCTCAACGGTTAGTGCGTCGGCCTGTGGTCCCGAGAGACCCAGGTTCGGTTCTTGCTGAGGGTACGTGCCTTGGTTGCAGTTTGTCCCCGGCCCTGGTTGGGGTCGTATGGGTGGCAGCCCCTCGATGTGTCCCTTTCACGTTGATGTATCTCTCTCTCTCTCTCTCCCCCTCCCACTCTATCTGAATAAAATATCAAAAAATGTCCTCAGATGAGGATAAAAAAAAAAAAAGTAAGTGTAAGAGGGCCACATATTGAGAAACCAAGTGGACTTTTTAAAGAAAACATACAAGGATGCCCCACACAGATACTAACCGTCGGGAAAGGTTAAGCACTGGGCAGACGCTGACGGCTGTCACAGACCCACCCACGTCCAGGACGGAGGAGCAGGGGCCGATGCTGTGCTCGATGGAGTCATCGCTGGAGTCACACTCACCCCAGACAACCACCTAAAACAGACAGATCAAACTCTGTAAAGCTTTCTCTTTGCAAGGTTTCCAGCAGTGTATTAGAATTTCAATGACACAGATAATGCAAAATATTTGCTCTGGCAGTCAAAATAATTCAGTATTTCCACTGCATTCCAGGACTTAAGAGCACTTTAAGCATCACAGAGAGAAACCACAGGGTAGCAGACACAAATTGCTGAGACCTCAACTCCATCCAAAGATGGACTGTCCCTGCCAGGGGGTGTCCTCACTGAGGGGCCGAAGAACTTACCAGAAAATGTATGGGGACCAATCAAGTCCCTGGCTCTTCCTCTACATCACCCACTGCTCAGGGGATCAGCTCAGCCATCAGGAGGCCCTAACCTTGAGAATATCCTAAGATACCAGGCTTCCCTGAAAGCTTACAACTCAAGGGGGTGTGACTGGTCACAAAGAAATGGAGAAGGAAGTGAAGCAGATAATAATTGCAAAATGCAGGTCAAAGCAAGATTCCAAGTAGAAGGCTCTGCCCAAGCAAGTGGAAGAGCATTTCTGAGTACACGTAACAGATAATGCTTTGCCTGTTTCATCAGCTCTGACCTATCCCTGAGAGCCACAGCTGGGCCACCTGTTACAGAGTGTGACTGTGAAAGGCAGAAGCAGCTCTGCTTCCTCAGCAGCTAGCAGAGCGTAGGCAAATAAGCACCAGGAAGCATTAAATAGGCCAATGAACAGAAGTAAAGATCTGAGGGAAAAGCACCTTAGGGGCTGACATTTCAGTGTCTCACTGAGTGACAACATGCCCACGCTGGCCCTCCACTTCAGTAATTTGTACCATGACTAGGACTGGACAGGGCAGGGAAAAGAAAAAGAACATCAACTGCCTCACCACCTCTGGTCTTCAGGCACTGCAGACAAAGGAAATAAAGAGTACGAAAACAGAGGAAAGACCAGAAGAAGCCAGGTGAACATTTTCCAGGGAACAAGGGCGAAGGTCGTGGTCAAGAACCTATACTGCTGGCTAACTTGCTCTGTTTTTTTTAAAGCTTGGATTACACACACACACACACACACTCACACACACACACGCCCCACTCTCAACACTAAATGAAAAGATAATAATCATTCATTATATAAAAAAATTTCACTCATAAAAGTATGAAATAGAAAAGAAGAAAATATTTTCCCCCTTTTGTTCCCTTGCCCTATTGCTGCACTCCTGCTTTCTGAGTCTTCATCTATTGCATTTACTACTTTTCTCCCACTGGGGCCATCTGATGCAGGTCACGTGTCGGAAAGGTCTTCCTATATTTGAGATTTCAGAGACATGTACTTATTGCATTGTACAAGGAAGAAAATACTATTTTATGTATACATATGAAAAACACAGAGGAAATACATAAATTCGGTTTTAAAAGTTGTATCAGAAAGTCAGAATTATGTGGTTTCTATCCAAACATACCCATAATATTATTTTACATTTGAAAAACTAGTAAATTTTTTTTAAAATTACCTTTTTGTCTCGACTTCCAGTGAAGAAAAACTTGCTATCAGGACTCCAATCACAAGACCAAATAATCCTACTGTGCACAGCAGTGACTTTGTTGGTGAAGGCAAAGAGACTGAAAATTGGATCTGAAAGAAACACAGATGCACTACTCACAAAGCAGAGAAAGCTGGCTTTTTGCCTGTTAAAAAGCTATGTTTAAGTGCCATATACATCATGTAATTTAGTATTCAATTTACATATGCTGACTTTTGCAACAGACCAAGGCGAGGCAGCTGACCCCTTACCAGAAGGCTAGGGGAATAGTTACTTTTCTAGTAGGAAATTATTTTATACCGACTAGTCACTCTCTAGTGACTGACGAAAAACATCTTCCAGGCATAAATGTTTGATTTATGCCTATGAAAGAAGCCTGAAGCAATATAACCTTACTCAGGAAGTAGCCAGATTTGCATATTAAGCTATGAAAAAAAGATTCATGTACCCTTAAATAATGTTTAAAAATACCACCCAAACTTGAAAAAAAATATTTTCCCTTGTAAGATTTAAATGTAAGGTGACTTCTAGCCCTTGTATGGACTAAACCTAAAACATGTAACTGCTTATGAGGAGGGAAGAGGAAGGTATCTATTAATCTATAATCTGTAAAGATATACAGAAAATTAATGGATATGTTACTAGTATCATTTTAACTTTTTAAAAAGTAAAGGTTGCATGTTAGGCAATCACTAGTTAATTGTAAGAGAAATCAGTCTTTTCTAACACATACTCCCCCAAGTATGTGTCACAGTTACTGGTATTCTCTAAAAGACAAGAAACTAAGGAACTAGAAATATCATAAGATTAAACTGCATGCAGGTTACATCAATGGAAAAATTAAAAGGAGTAAACAACCCAGAGATACTTTAAACACTCTCTAGACTTTACCCAAAGAAACTAGGGGAATAGGAATAGCCTCTGCAGAAACAACACAAAGCTTTTTTTCTTTTTCAGTTTATGTCAGGCTCAGCACCGAATGCTAACGCGTGTTAACATCTTGCCTAGGGGTCACGTTATTTACGGATGGAGGCCTAAAACACCTTCCTAAGTTCCATTATTCAATTGTATCTTCATTATTCCTGTCCTACAAATGCCTAGCTTAAAATAGGCCATCTATTTGGTTTTACAGTGGCACTCTAGAAACATTTGCAAAATCTAAATTCTGTACATACATATTTTTGTTTCTTTAACTGATATGTCTGAACACATGCTGTCCTGACAATATAATCACAAGGAAGTCAACCCAAGGATCACCTGCATTCAGATCTTATAAGGAAGGTGGAGTCTTCCTCAATTGTAACAGAATTTTGAAAGACGGCACAACAGTAAAACTCTTGCCCTTCACCTGTTACCATTTTTCTTCTTTTCCCCCAACAGTTGCTCAAGTGAACAAAATAGATATAACGGTCTGACTACTAATCTTCCCAATCAGAAACTGTTTTTACCTAGCTCAGGTGAGATTGTGTCCTGCCTTTTCCATAATGACCAGGTCCGATCTCTGGAAACAGCTAGTAGGAACTTATCATTAGGAGAGAAGGCCATCTGTGTGACAGTCAGGCTGTGGAAAACTAAATTCTGCACCTGTTTCCAAGATGTAGTGTTCCAAAGAATGATGGCTGCATGCTCTTTCTTAGCTGCCTAGAGGAGAGAGATAAAATAATAGTTTAAAGACATTCACCTCTAGTCAATATGGAGTACCAGGGATCAGATTTATTTTCTCATGTGAAAAGAACTAAAAATGCAGCCCAGCCCATGTGGCTCAATGGTTGAGCGTCGACCCATGCACCAAGAGGTCACAGGTATGACTCCTGGTCAGGGCACGTGCCCAGGTTGTAGACTTGATTCCCAGTGCGGGGGGGTACAGGAGGCAGCCAATTAATATTCTCTCTCATCAATGTTTCTATCTCTCTCTCCCTCTCTCTTTCTAAAAGCAATAAAAAAGAAAAATTTTTTTAAATTCTCACCTGAGGATATTTTTCTATTTTTCTTCAGATAAAGCAGGAGGGAGGGAGAGCAAGAGAAACATCAACATGAGACGGACACATCAACTGGTTGCCTCCTGCACAACCCCAACCAGGGCCGGGGACGAACCACAACCAAGGTACATGCCCTTGACCAGAATAGAACTCATGACTCATTAGTCCACAGTCTGACGCTCTAACCACTGAGCAGAACTGGCCAGGGCAAAAGAAAAATATTTTTAAAAAGCAAAAAACTAGCCCAGCTGATGTGGCTTAGTAGATTGAGTGTCATTCCATGGACTGAGAGGTCCTGATTCAATTCCTGGTCAGGGCAAATGCCCAGATTGTGGGCTCGATCCCCAATGTGGGGCATGCAAGAGACGGACAATTGATGTTTCTCTCTCACATGGATGTTTCTATCTCTCTCTCCCTCTCTATCTAAAAAAATCAATAAAAACATAATTTAAAAAAACAAACTAAAAATCCAGACAAAGTACATGATAACAATGGCACTCCAAAGCTGAGATATCTGGAAACAAAGAACACTGAATCACAGTTTCAATTCCAGTCAAGGGCATGTACCTCAGTTGCAGTTTGACCCCTGGCCCTGGTTGGGGTTGTAGGGGAGGCAACCAATCAATATGTCTCTCTCATATCGATATTTCTCTCTCTCTCTCCCTCCCTTCCTTCCTCCCACTCTATCTGAAAATCAATGGAAAAATAGCCTCGGATAAGGATTAAAAAAAGGGCAATAGATTTAAAGACATTTCATCAAAGAAGACTATATGTAAACGAAAAATTAGCACATGAAAAATGTTCAATATTGTTATTCATTAAGGAAATGCAAATTAGAACCACAATGCAATATTATACACCTATCAGAATGGTTAAAAAGACTGACCATACCAAGTGTCAGTGTGGGTGTGGAGCAACTAGAGTTCTAATATACTAGTTGCAACAACTTTGGAAAATACTTAGGCAGTTCCTCACAAACTTAAATATACATCTACCACATCATCTAGCAACATTCCACTGTTAGGTATTTAATCAAAAAAAAAAATGAAAATATGCCCTGGCCAGATTTGCTCAGCAGTAGAGCATTGGCCCTCGGACCAAAGATCCAATCAAAGGCACATACCTTGGTTTTGAGTTCGATCCCTGGCCCCAGTCTGGATCATGAGGGAGGCAACCAGTCAATGTGTCTCTCTCACTCACATCATTGTTTCCCTTTCTCTCTCTCCCTCCCTCTCTCTCTGACTCTAAAAAAAAAGGAAAAATATCCTCGGGTGAGGATTAAAAAAAAAAAAAAAATGAAAACATATGTCCATGCAACTTGTACGCAGATACTCATAACTACTTTCTGGGCAAAAGCCAAAAAGTTTGTAAACAATTCAGATGTCCATTAAAAAGTGACTGGATCATCCTGACCACATGGATCAGTTGGTTGGAGTGTCATCCAGTACACCCAGTCAAGGCACACACGTAGGTTGCAGGTTTGATACACAGTTGGACACGTACAGGAGGCAACCAATTGATATTTCTCTCTCACATCAATGTTTTTCTCTCTCTCTGAAATCAGTAAAATCATATCCATGGGTGAAAATTAAAAAACTCACCCTGGCCGGTTTGGTTCAGCAATTAGAGCATCGGCCCGCAGTCCAGAGAGGCCCGGGTTCGGTTTCCACTAGGCGCACGTACCTCAGTTGCAGTTTGTCCCCGGCCCGGCTGGGGTTGTGTGGGTGGTAACCAGTCGATGTGTGTGTGTGTCTCTCTCTCTCTCTCTTCCTTCCTGTCTCTCTCCCACTCTATGTGAAGATAAATGCAAAAATGTCTTCGGGTAAGGATAAAAAAAAAAAACTAAAAAGTGAATGCATCAACAAATGTGATATATCTATAAAAGGGAAAACTACTCAGCAACAAAAAGAATGAACTACTGATACATGCAACATGGATGAATCCCAGATCATTATGCTGAATGGGAAAAGCCAGATCCCCAAAAAATAGTACATACTGTATGATTCCATTTATAGAAAATTTTACAAAATGCAAAATATTCTATCATGACAAAAAGTGTATCAGTGGTTTCTTAGGAATGGGGCTGGAAAAAGGAATTACTATGGGACAGATAAAATTTTGGAGATTAATGGACATATACATTATCTTTTTTTTTTTATCCTCACCCGAGGACATTTTTCCATTTTTTGTTCAGATAGAGCGGGAGGGAGAGAGAGGAAGAGAGAGAGAGAGAGAAACATCGATGTGAAAGGACACATCGAGTGGCTGCCACCCGCACGACCAACCAGGGCCAGGGGGGACAAACTGCAACCGAGGTACGTGCCCTTAGCGGGAACCGAACCCGGGTCTCTCCGGACCGCAGGCCGATGCTCTAACCACTGAGCCAAACCGGCCAGGGCTACATTATCTTGATTGTGGTGATTTTCACAGGTATAAATAAACATTTGCCAAAACTTATTAAATTGTTCACTTTCAACATGCAACTTACAGAACACTAATGACATCTAAATGAAGCTGTTAAACACGTTAGTTTAAAATAAAGATGCATCTATTCATTTGCTTTACCAGTCAAAACAAAATGTCAGCTGGCACCTTCTAGTCAAGAAGCCCAGCTACCCTGAAGTTGGTGCCTGGAGGATAAAGCTACTTGATGTTTCCATGGCTCCTTCTATTGAGTAGATGAGTTTATACCAACATTCAGATTTAAATTTCCCAAGCCACATTATCAACCATACCTCTTTTGCACTGTTTATTGAAATATAAAACACACAGAAAAATAACACAAATTTAAAAAACAAAAGTCAGTTGCACGTGCTTACTACAAGTTAGCCAACCTGAAAAGGAAAAAATAATTATATGACTGACAGTGCCCAAAGCTAAGAACAAATTAGCTGCTCAGTAAAAGCACAGCTATTCCTACTCCTAAGCCCCATTCTTAGCCACAGGCCCCTGTAACAGAAGGAAGTACTCTCAGTACCACCCTCACAGACAAGAACACAAGCAAGGGGGGGTGGAGCAGGAGGGCACAGAGGTATCTCTTATGATGCCTCTCAAAAAGCCACAGCAGAGCAGGGACAGTAGACCATCCAGATTGGCAGCTCTCATCATGCTTAAAATAAGTAAATACATTTTAGAAAATTTAGAGGAATGTGTAGGTCTCAGATCCTCCAGACAATCCTCCATGAATATTATTTCACTCCACAACATATGGATAAATACTGAACAGGGAGTTCAAGATCAGTCTCCTAGGCAAATGTCTCTATTCTGTAGTTTCATCCTGGTGGCTAACTGAGCAGGCCACCACCCTTCCTCACCCTGACATGGGCGGAGGGACTCACTCGGGTTGTTACCAAGAATGTCCTCGAGAAACCATCAGATGGAGTGCCCTCTGAGTTTCATCTTCTCATTCCCCTGTGTCTCCAAGATTCCAATTATTGAAAATGTGTCATATTTGTAGGACTCATTTTAAGATACGTGATTAAGTAATTTTTGAGTAGGAGCATAAATCAGTTTGAATCAAATACTTAGGAATAACAATGTGCAGCTGAAATAGATTTAAAATGCAACTGCAAGCTTTTGATGAAACAGAAAGAAAAAGGGACTGACACCTTGGCCACTGTGGTTCAGTGGTTAAGCATCCCACACACCAAAAGGCTGCTGGTTTGATTCCCAGTCAGGGCACGTGCCCAGATTGCGGGCTCAATCCCTAGTAGGGGGTTGATGTTTCTCTCTCTAAAAATCAATAAAAACATATTTAAAAGCAGAAAAAGAAAATGAGAAAGCAAGATTCAGAAAGAGCACGTACCACCCTGGCTGGTTCGGCTCAGCTGTTAGAGCGTCAGCCCACAGACCAGAGAGACCCGGGTTTGATTCCTGCTAAGGGCACATACCTCGGTTGCAGTTTGCCCCTGGCCCTGGTTGGGGTCGTGTGGGTGGCAACCAGTCGATGTGTCTCTCACATTGATGTTTGTCTCTCCCTCTCTTCCCTCTCTCCCTCCCACTCTATCTGAAGATAAATGCAAAAATGTCCTCAGGTGAGGATAAAAAAAAAAGAAAGAGCAGGTACCAGTGGCCATTCACACAGGGTTCTGATTAAATTACTACCAAACTTGTAGAAGCTGAATGACTCAAATAACCTGTGACCAAGTAGAATAAAGAAGTAAAATTCCCTACCTTACAAGCTGAGGCAAGCAGAGTCTTTGAATTGTTACAAGCAACACAAAATAATTCGTAACCATGTCCATATCTAAAATTTAAAATGAGAAAATGCATGACCTCTGTATTAGTAAATATCCTCATGCAGCAAAAATTTAAAATGTGGAAAGAATAACATCAAACTCTCTAGCTAACATATAGTTCTTTTAGGGAACATTAAATTTCTGTCTAGGCAAACATTTGGGGGAAAAACAGAGAGACTAGAGAAAAATGCCAGCTTCCTAGAAGTAATACAACTTATTCAAACAATTAGATTAAAATACAAGTTTTCACCCCAGCCAGCAAGTACAATAAACAATAAATCATGGAAAGGTTTTGACTGGGAACCACTAAAGGAAAAAAACAAAAATAACAAATCTTAAAAGCCTTTTTTTAAAAAGAAAACATATATATATATATATATATATATATATATATATATATATATATAATGTTATGCTTCTCTACTACAAAAATTAAGACCAATAAACCTAGTCAATATAAGATATAGTAATATAAAAATCTATGTGAAATTTGATTCTCATCCTTTATGATGGCCACTAAAAGATCTTTAGAGCAGGGTGGGAAATGTAGGTAAGAGGAAAGCCAAGGAGAAAAATCAAGTTGGGGTTGGGGGATGGGTCACAAGTTATGACAGAATTTGACTACACTGCGAACAGTTTAACTTACAGTTTTTGAACTTCAGGCCATAAAGTATTCTGCAGAAGTTGATCCTCAGTGGGAGGTTCTACAATACATTTACAGCACTGCAATTATTTTTACTATTTCCAAGCAAATAAAAAAGCAAATGCTAGAGCACTTATTATTTAAGTCAGCAGTGGCAAATATGAGTACTAATGATTCTACTAAATCATCTTTTTGTCATTTCTTACCAGTAAGTATGGAGGGTTGAAAGGCCATCTGGTGACACTCAAAACCTGTACTAGTTAACAGCTCTTCCTCAACAGAAGGCTGAGACGCCATATCTCCTAGTTTAAAAGAAACACATAAGATCATGAATGTAGTCACCATCTTTATGTTTCCTATACATGTTCCAATATTAAGGCCACCATTTGGGAAGCAGTGGTACTTCAAAGTCATGTAATTCAAAGCCATATCCATGTGATTCCAAAGCCATGGGTATTTCTACAACTCCAGTGTTTCCTAATGTCTCCTAGGAGCACTAGTCAATTCCACAAGGATTCCTCCCTCTTTCTTTGACCTAACATTTCCCAAACTTTTAAAACAATGGAACATTCTTTCGGCTACCCATATTAGCATCTGTGGTCGTAGTGCTCCATGACACACTCTGAAAGCTGTACCTATTTCAGGGTCTGCATACACAGAGTACTTATCACAAAATATGTGATAAAGAAGATAGATGCACGTATTGTGATTTTAAAAACATATTGGCTGTAATGAATATTAAGCATGTATTATACAAGTGTGTAAGTAGGTTTTACGTTCCACTATGAGTTCAATAACTTTGGAGGCCAAAGCCTTACCCTGAAATACAGCTTTATTTGATAATCCCAAAGCAGGGACAGTAGCTCCTTCTGGAAGATCACCGTCTTGCTAGAATAAAAAATATGAAAGGTACTGTTACCTCAGTCACTACAAAAATGTCATGCTCATAAACACTGAGTAGTTTAAAGATCACCTTTGTGTGGATATCTGCCCACTCCTCCGTTTCCTGAACCAATAGATGCAATGCTAGGCAATCACCCTCCAACCGAAAGTCTTCAGCTAACAACCCCTAACCCTCTACCCAATCCAGAAAGTTGGGCATCCTCTCACCCATGAACTCATCAAACCTAACAGCAGCTCACTGGGTTTCAGGGTCTGATAGGGAATGCACTGGGCTGGCTTCTAGCAAAGAGTGAGCTGAAAATGGAAGTCCAGAACTCTACTTCCAAGAGTCTCACAGGCACAGCCCTAATGATACTCATGCAAACACAGGCATTTCCCAGAAAGGTAATCACAGTATTTTCATTAAACATATTTAAATACTCAAATATTGCCCAGCTGGTGTGGCTCAGTGGATTGAGCGTTGTCTCATGGACTGAGAGGTCTGGGTTCGTTTCCCGGTCAAAGCACATGCCCGTATTGCAGGCTTGATCCCCAGTGAGGGACATGCAGGAGGCAGCCAATCAATTTTTCTCTCCCACTCTCACATTGATGTTTCTAGCTCTCTCTCTCCCTTCCTCTCGCTCTAAAAAAAATCAATAAAAATATACTAAAAAAAACCTCAAATATCTAAATTTTTTTTTACAGAGTGTCATCTGAAATGCCAATGATCTGCTTGACCTCTGAAATTTATATCAATCAAATTCTCCTATAAAACTATGCTAACCATCAAAACCAGCACTGTGATGATATACAGTATTCATATCTTAATTTAACATCTAAATTTTTTAGTGTCTTAGGCTATTGTGTTATAAAACTTCTGGTTTTAATATTTAAATATTTAATATTTAAATTACGGCACCACAGTACATACACGTTTGTCAAGCCAATAAAATGATTTGACTTACTTTCTACCCATATATTCCATTTACAGTCTTAAGCAAAATTTTTTAAAATTTAAATGAAGTGACTAGATTTAGTTAAAACATTTAGACAGATACTCACATTACAAAGCACATGATTCAGTGATTGGCCCGTAATGGCACAAAAATTTTCCACAAAATTCCGAGGTGCAGAAAATACTCGAAGAACCTTTTCATCTGCTCCCGATACAAACTGAAATCGATTAATCATTGCCAAACATTTCAGGTCATATCCATGTATCTGAGGCCGTGCAATTTCATGCCAAGTCACCTGAGTATTAAAATAGGATAAACAAAATTAAACATAACATTTCAAAAACCTAATTCTTTTCAACAAGTAAAATATCAGACTCAAAATCACTGATTAGACCACGAAGATATGACTATGAGGCAGATTCATCCATGTTGTCTTAATCAATGTTCAATTCTTTTCATTGCTGAGTAGTATTTCCTTACATGGATACCACTACTGGTTGATCTATTCACCTCCCAAGAAGACACTTTTACTGTTGTCTTTTACTGAAAACATAGTCATGAACATTTGTGTATAAGTCTTTGCATGGATATAAGCTTCTATTTCTTTTGGGTAAATACTACCTGTAAGTAGAATGGCTGTATGTTATGGGAAATGTATATTCAAATGTTTAAGAAACTGCGCAAGTATTTTCCAAAGCACTGTATACATTTAATAGCAGTATATGAGAGTTCCAGTTATGCACTCCCTCATCAACTTGGTCTAATCAGTCTTTTAACTTGAATCATTCCAATAGGTGTGTAATGGTATTTCATTGTAGCTTTAATTTGTATTTCCCTAATGACTAATGGTGTTGAGAATATTTTCCTGTTCTCGTTTTCTAGCCATATCTCTTCCTTGGAGAAATATCTGTTCAAATCTTTTGTCCATTTATTTTTACTAGATTGTCTCCCTATTACTGAGTTTGAAAAAGTTTTATATATTTTTGGATATAAACCTTTTCAGATATGTAAATACCTTCTACCAGTTTGGGACTTGTCTTCTCATTTTTCTGATGGTGTTTTTCAAACATTAAAATTTTACATTTTTGTTAAGTCCAATATCTTTATTTTTTTTTTTTTATGAATCATGAATAGACAACTAAGCTAAATCAGTAATAAGTCACCAAGACCAACAGAAAGTCACTCCAAATCATTTGCCTTGTTTTTCACTTGACTACAATATTACTTCCCATGTTCTCAACTCCATTTAATTTTTAAGGGATATATTTATATATTTTTTTTTATTTTAAATCTTTATTGTTGTATGTATTAAGATGTTCCTCATTTTTCCCCCATTGACCTCCTCCTCTCCACTCCCGCCCCCCTCCCGCCTTTTCCCACACTATTGTCTATATCCATTGGTTATGCATATAGGTTCTTTGGTTTATTTCATGCCACCCCCCAACCCCTTTCCCTTTGAGGTTTGTCAGCCTAGCAATGAATTTGTACTTCTTAATCCCTTCACCTTTTTCACCCATTCCCCCAACCCCCTCCCATCTGGCAACCAACAAAATGTTCTCTGTATCTATGAGAATGTTTCTGTTCTGCCTGTTCATTTTGTTTGTAGATTCCATTGTCAATACATATGTATTCATTGCCATTTTGTTTGTTCATATATTTTATCTTTTTCTTCAAAAAGACCCTTCATCACTTCATATAATAACGGTTTGGTGGTGATGAACTCCTTTAACTTTTTCTTGTCTGGGAAACTCTTTATATGGCCATCGATTCTAAATCACAGCTTTGCAGGATAGAGTCATCTTGGGTGTAGGTTCTTGCTTTTCATCACTCTGAATATTTCTTGCCACTCCCTTCTGGCCTGCAAAGTTTCTTTTGAGAAATCAACTGACAGCCTTATGGGAACTCCCTTGTAGGTAACTAACTGCTTTTCTCTTGCTGCTTTTAAGATTCTCTCTTTGTCTTGAACCTTTTGCATTTTGATGATGATGTGTCTTGGTGTAGGCCCTCTTGGGACTCTGTGCTTCCTGGACTTGTATGTGTGTTTCCTTCACCAAGTTAAGAAAATTTTCTGCCATTATTGTTTCAAACAGGTTTTCAATTCCTTGTTCTCTATCTTCTCCTTCCGGCACCCCCAAGATGCGAATGTTGGCACTCTTGAAGTTGTCCCAGAGGCTCCTTACACTATCCTCTTTTTTGGATTCTTTTTTCTTTTTGCTGTTCTGATTGGGCTTTTTTTGCTTCCTTATATTCCAAATCAATGGTTTGCTTCTTGGATTTACGTACTCTACTATTGAATCTGTGTAAATTATTCTTTATTTCAGTTAATGCCTCCTTCATTTCTGACTGTGCATCCATCATTTCTGACTGGTCCTTTTTTATGCTCTTGAGGCCCTCACTAAGTTTACTGAGCATCCTTATTAGCAGTATTTTGAACTCTGCATCTGTTAGGTTGCTTATCTCCATTTCGCTTAGTTCTTTTCTTGGGGTTTTGTTCTGTTCTTTCATTTGGAACCTGTTTCTTTGTCTTCTCATTTTGGCTGCCTCCCTGTGTTTGTTTCTGTGTATTACTTAACAAGAGGTATAGGGCTAGCTGAGACCAGATGCTGCTTGTTTGAAAGAATTTAGGAAAAACCTGAAGCAGGATCCAAGACAGGCCAATCCTATGGTTAAGCAACTGGCAACAGCTTGGGTGGGCCTGAAAGCTGGGTGGGGCGGGGCCCCAGGGAATCACCAGAGTGGGGCTACCAGTGTGAGCCAGATTGCTGGAGTCCCAGATATGGCGACTGTCTGCCGCCCCAGGGAAGGGCTCACCAAAGGAACTAAGGCCTCTGACAGCACGTTTGTCCCAGAGAAAGCCCCCTCTCTAGCCCTTGCTCCAGTGCCAAACAGCTCAGTTCTTCCCTGTATGTCTCTGGTGCCCCCCAAGCTACCTCCCCTCCAAGTTTAGAGGGAGAGAGACCGATAAGTGCGTGTGCAGGCCCTTTAAGGAGCTGCCTGGGGCTCCAGCCGCCTCAGCTTCCCTGAGCCTCAGTTCCCGCTGGTTTTTCCAGCCAGAAGTTATGGGGATTCTCTTCCTGGCACTGGAACCCTGAGCGGGGCGTCTGGTGTGGGACGGGGACCCCTCAGTCCTCAGAGAGGACCTTCCCAGCCGAGGTGTCCTCCTGATTTTTATCCGCTGCACGTGGGTGTGGGACCAGCCCATGTACCTCCGCTCCTCCTATCGGTCTCGATGCAGCTTCTTTAATTCCGTAGTTGTAGGACTTCCACTCAGCTTGATTTCAGGTGGTTTTGAATGATGGTTGTTCTGTAGTTTAGTTGTAACTTTGATGTGGTTGTGGGAGGATGCGATACCGCGTTTACCTACGCTGCCATCTTGACCCTCAATTCTATTAATTTAAATCTACCACATGCTACTGAAGTAATGTCAGTGGCAAATTTCATTAGTTCTTATGGACTGACCCACAATTGTGTTCCGTGAGTTTTTGTCAGAAACTGAAGCTGAGCATACTGATTTTCTCTATGGCACAGCACAGTTCAATGGCTTATCAGTAGCTCACAGCTAAAACAGCTCTCAGCTGCTGTCCGTGGGCCACCCTCTAGTGCCTCCACAGTTCCTGCCAGGCTTAATTTGTTATCTTCTTTCCGTCCCTAGTTATAAGGTTTCTCTCCGGTTTTTCAGTTGGTTTTTCCCAATGATTTGTCTTTATTTTTGTTGTAATTCTGGTTTGGTACTGGGAGACAGTCTGTGTAGCTTCCATACACTCTGCCACCTTTTTTTCCTCCCTGCTCTGTGTCCTTGCTACCACTTGTTACTGTCAGTTTTTCTTTTTTTATCCTCATCCGAGGACATTTTTCCATTTTTTGTTCAGATAGAGTGGGAGGGAGAGAGAGAGAGAGAAACATCGATGTGAAAAGGACACATCGAGTGGCTGCCACCTGCACGACCAACCAGGGCCGGGGACAAACTGCAACCAAGGCACGCACCCCTAGTGAGAACCGAACCTGGGTATCTCTGGACCGCAGGCCGACACTCTAACCACTGAGCCAAACTGGCCAGGGCACTGTCAGTTTTTCTTATTTCAACCTTTCTACAGGGTGTGTAGCAACATCTCAGCATGGATTTAATTTGCATTTCCCTAATAGCTAATGATGTTGCCCCACTTTTTACATACTCATGGGTATTTTTTAAAGTGGATCAGTCAAGCCCTGGCTGGTTTTGCTCAGCGGTTAGAGCGTCAGCCCGTGAACCAAAGAGTCCTGGCTTTGATTCCGGCCAAGGGCACGTACCTTGGTTGTGGTTTGTCCCCAGCCTTGGTTGGGGTCATGCGGGAGGCAACCAGTCAGTGTGTCTCTCTCACATCAATGTTTCTCTCTCTCCCTCTCTCTCCCCACCTCGCATTCTATCTGAAGATAAACAGAAAAATATCCTTGGGTGAGGAATAAAAAAAAAAGATAAACCGCCCTGGCTGGTTTGGCTCAGCGGTTGGAGCATCGGCCTGCGGTACAGAGAGACCCTGGTTCAGTTCCCGCTAAGGGCACGTACCACAGTTGCAGTTTGTCCCCGGCCCTGGTTGGTCATGCGGGTGGCGGCCACTTGATGTGTCCCTTCACATCGATGTTTCTCTCTCTCTTCCTCTCTCTCCCTCCTGCTCTATCTGATCAAAAAATGGAAAGATGTCCTCGGGTGAGGATTAAAAAAAAAAAAAAGATAAACCTTTAAAAAAATAAATAAATAAAGTGGATCAGTCAAGCATGATGACATTTTACCTGTGATTGGTCTTTTCTATTCCATGGAGCAAAAAGTCGAGTTGTCTGGTCAGTACCAACAGTGATGATAAATTCTCCTTCTGGATCCCACATTAGGTCTTGGACACCATCAAAGTGTCCTGAAATGACAATCTCTGGAGTCCACTCTCTCTGTAATGAAGATGCTCATGACATATCAAAACAATCAAAAATGCCACCACACAAAATAAACTCTGATAGTGCCTCAGCCCTCAGGTCTTATCCTGGAAAAGACTGAAGCCGCTAAGCAAGGTGTAAAGCTAAATAAACAAGATCAGATCTTAAAATAATAGAATCTGTTTTCCAGTCAAGCAGTTCAGAACTTAAAACATTCAAATATGTCCTGTGTCCTCTAAAGCTGTAATACTGGGAAATTCCCCTTCATTCATTATTTACTGAATGCCTCCTAGAGGCCAGATAATACTTAACCTTTCTGTGCCTAAATTAACTCTTCTGTAAAATTACCTAATTCATAGAATCATTATGAGGACTAAATGAGTTTATATTTGTAAAGCACACACAACAATGCCAGCACATACTAGGTACTATGTGAGTATTTACTTGTTAAATTAAATAAGGAGCCCTGGCTGATTTGGCTCAGCAGTTGGAACATTGGCCCGCAGACCAGGGAGTCTCGGGTTCGATTTCAGTCAAGGAAATGTACCTCAGTTGCAGTTCGGTCTCTGACCTTGGTCAGGGTCATGCAGGAGACAATCAGTCAATGTGTCTCTCTCACAGTGATATTTCTCTTTCTCCCCCCCCCCCCCATCTGAAGACAAATGGGAAAATATCCTTGGGTGAGAATTAAAAAAAAAAAAATTAAATAAGGAAAGAATACTGTGTAAAATGAGTTAGTAGATTCTGAGTGTATGCCTCAATGGATTCCTTTACTAAGAAAAAGAAATTACAAACATAGAAGACAGAAGGGTGAATCAAATTTAGCTGATCCACTTACTGGGGGAGCCTGCAACAGCCACAATATAAATAAGCAACGACAATGAAATACAGAAAATGTCATATACCTGGTCCACAAAACATTTTTTTTTTTGTAATCCTCACCTGAGGATATTTTCCCACTGAATTTTAGACAAAGTAGAAGGGAGGGAGGGAGACAGAGAGAAACATCGATGTGAGAGACACACACTAATTGGTTGCTTCCCACATGATCCCGACCGAGGCTGGGGATCGAACCCACAAACGAGGTACGTGCCCTTGACTGGGACTAAAACCCGAGACTCGTTGGTCCTAAGGTCAATGCTCTAACTGCTAAACCAAACCAGCCAAGGCAACATCTTTTTTTTTAAAACCCTCACCCGAGGATATGATTTTATTGATTTTAGAGAGGAAAAGAGAGAGATAAACATTGACGTGAGAGAGAAACATCAATTGGATGCCGCCAGTATGTGCCCTGACCAGAGATCAAACCTGAAACTCCGGTATGTGCCCTAACCTGGAATCAAACCCCAAACCTTTTGGTGTATGGGATGATGCCCCAATCAACTGAGCCACCTAGCCAGGGCCACAGAGCATCTTTTTATACAACCTCAAGTAGCGTTAAAACTTGTCTTAAGAGGAAAATTTAATTTATGTAAATACCTAAAAGGTCATTCAAAGCCAAGTCTGATGAATGGGGTCAGTGATTAACCTAAGCTATATTATTTTCTGGTCAAAAAAATAAAAGGACTATGACAAAGATGCTATCAGTTTCCTCTGGGACATAAAACTGATTCTAAAGTAAGCACTAACAGGAGTTTCCAAAAAGTTCTGAACAAAGGGCAGCACTTGTGGACTATTAGTACATACAGTCTTCCACTCTAAGTCCTAAAGAGCAGTATTTGTTTAAATATCATTCTTGATTATAACAAATGTACCTCTTTCGTTTGGGATCTTGACAGTACAGAAGGTTGTGAGTGTTTGGGGACAGGGATATATGGGAACTTTTCGAGCTTTCTGTTCAATTTTAATTTGAACCTAAAACTTCTCCAAGAAATAAAGTCAATTAAAAAAAAAATCACCCTCCCAATGGCCGATGTGCTCAGTTAGACTGTTGGCCCATGCACCAAAGGGTCATGGGTTGGATTCCCAGTTAAGGGCACAGGTTCAATCCCAGCCCTGGCCAGGGCACATGCAGGAGACAACCAATCAATGTGTCTCTCTCACACTGATGACTCTCTCTCTCTCTCTCTCTCTCTCTCTCTCTCCTTCCCCCCTCTCTCTCCACCCCACCTCGTTCCCTCCCTTCTACTCTCTCTAAAAATCAATGAAAAAAAATATCCTCTAGTGAAGATTAACAACAACAAAAAAATCACCCTCAGTACTTGTAAGTGGCTATTATAAATTTGAAGCCAAATTATAAGCACAAGTACAGTGAAACTGTCTCCTGGTTTTATTATTTTTTTTATTTATTTATTTATTTTTAATCCTCATCCAAGGACATTTTTCCATTTTTTGCACAGACAGAGTGGGAGGGAGAGAGAGGAAGAGAGAGAGAGGGGGAAACATCGATGTGAAAGGGACACATCGAGTGGCTGCCACCCGCACGACCAACCAGGGCCGGGGACAAACTGCAACCAAGGTACATGCCCTTAGCGGGAACCGAACCCGGGCCTCTCCGGACTGCAGGCGGACGCTCTAACTGCTGAGCCAAACCGGCCAGGGCTGTCTCCTGGTTTTAGTTTCCCCTTACTCGTGATGCTTTTTTCTATGAAGGCTCTCAAAGATCGCCTAAAATATAGCTCAAAGGAGCTCTGAGTTAAGAATGAAAATAAATTTATTCCTGAAAATATTTCTTATTTAAAATTGCCATAGCTGATGATTTCCTAGTTCACTTAATAGTAAAAACAATCATGAAAGTCAACTACAAATAGAAGACACATGGGAAAGAGCAAGTCATGTAATGAGAAGTCAAATCCTCATAGGTAACACACCTATTACAAAGCCCACAAATTAAAGTTTATGCAAATCCATGAATTTTTACTTTATAAAGGAAGCCATCAGATGCACATGCAGACTCTGCTGACTCATATTTCACTCAATATTCTTATTTCTTTCATTAAAATACACAGTATTCCGTACATGCCAAGCCCTGTTTTGTTTTTTTAAAATATGTTTTTATTGATTTTCGAGAGAGAGAGGAAGGGGGAGAGAGAGAAAAACATCGATGTGAGGGAGAAACATCGATTGGCTGCCTCCTGCATGCCCCCTACTGGGCATCGAGTCCAAAACCCAGGCATGTGCCCTGACCAGGAATCGAACTGGGACCTCTCAGTCCATGGGACGATGCTCAGTCCACTGAACCACATCAGCAGAGCAGGCCCTGTTTTTGTTTTGTTTTGTTTTTTAATCCTCACCTGAGGATATTTTTACATTTTTTGTTCAGATAGAGTGGCAGGGAGAGAGAGGAAGAGAGAGAGAAACATCGATGTGAAAGGGACACATCGAGTGGTTGCCACCCGCACAACCCATCCAGGGCTGGGGACAAACTGCAACCGAGGAACGTGCCCTTAGCGGAAACCGAGCCCGGGTCTCTCCAGACCACAGGCCAACGCTCTAACCGCTGAGCAAAACTGGCCAGGGTGGCCCTGTTTTTTTATACTGTACAAACATTAACTCATGTAGGCATCATAAAAATCTTATCAGTAGATGCTATTACTATCCACATGTTATAAATGAGAAACTTGAGACAGACCTTAGGTAATGTCCTCAAGGATGCACAGCTGGTAAGTAAATGCTGGGGAAGAATCTGAACCCAGGATGTCTAGCTCCAAGGCCTGTGATTTATTATTATTATTATTTTAAAGATTGTTTAGAGAGAGGAAGGGAGAAGGAGAAAAAGGGAGAAACATTGATGTGAGAGTAAAACATTGATCGGCTACCTCCTAGGGATCGAGCCCACAACCTAGGCATATGCCTGACTGGGAATTGGCAACCTTTTGCTGCATGGGATGATGCCCAACAAACTGAGCCACAATGGCAATAGCAAGGCCTGTGCTCTTAGTCACCATATTCCTGCTATTTCATTTCTCCAAACCCAAGCAGCAGATAAGAAGCAAATTAGAAAGTAAAAGATGCAATAATGTTAAGCATGATTGGAGAAAAAAGATTAACCTGTCTTTGAAAAGAGACCAAAAATTATAAGAAAAAGCTAAAAGGGCCCAATATTTGGAGGGCTATGTACAATTACAGATTAATGGGCCCTGAGAGCATCAATATATTCCATCACAAAATAGCAGGTATTCACAATATCCTTTTGTCAGTCATTTGTTCGATAATTTTCTATGGAGTACCTAAGCCATTCAACAAGAAAATATCAAACTATGTTACTTTAAGACAGAGAAGTTATACATTTTAGAGAAAAACTCCCATAAAATAAAAGTTTATAAGCTTAAAGGAAAACCTTAAAATTTATATAACTTAAAGTTTACTTCTGGAGAAAATTTACGTATGTGCAAATTTCAATACCACAACAATGCTAGAGAAATGAATATTTTTATTCTTAGATAAGCATGAGTTTCTTACCTAGTCAACTATAGTATGTTTACAAAAAGAAGTGATAGCATTTTAACTTAAATGCCTCTATGTTTCTGTAGAGTGTTATAAGTAAAACAACTGTTAACCTAGATTTCATTTAGGGTTCACGCCACTCGATCAGAAATGCTTTATTTAAAAGTGCTTTTCTAGACCTCCTGGTGCTTACCCCAGGCTGTGTTCTTACACTGACTGTACAGAAAGAGGAGGCAGAGTAAACCCACCCCATATACACCTCAGCCTGGGCCCTTTGCCTGGTTTGTACTGTGAATGGAGGACATGGAGTCAAGGAGAATAAAAAAATGCATAAATAAATAAAAGTGCTTTCCTTACTGGGTTAGCTGCATTCTGTTTCCAAAGGTGCAATGCTCCATGGAAAGCATGAGCAATGATCAGAGAGCCATCTTCATTGAACTGGCAATCATAAAATCCCAGAGTATTTCCACCAACTTCCCCTACTCGAACCTATGAATAACAGACAGAAAACAATTCATAATCAACAGAAACCACTGATTGCAGAGATTATGTTCTTACCCATTTAACGTATACAAACAGTGAACATCTGCAGCTCTAAAAATACAGAAATGGGAATTATTCAGTTTCTAAACCCAGTTTTCTATTCCTTAAATATCCACATTTTTACCTGTTCTAGCCAAACTCCTGACTCTTCATCTGGAGCCCAGAGAATCATGGTTTTATCCATTGAAGCAGACAATAATCTCATTGGCTGCTGTAGAACACCATCTACAAAATATAAACTAATTTATTTAGGTTTTCAACAGGCATCATGTTTGTAGATTACCAGAAGAAAACAACATGAATACCGCAAAAACGTTCACTTCAGCAATGCAACAGCAAAACTTTGGAAACAACACAAATATCTACCATAAGTCCAGGTAAACAAATTGTGGTATATTTAGACAACAGGATAGTAAACTGCCATAAAAATAAACAAACTAGAGCTACATGGATCAACATGGATACAACTCCAAATGTTTAGCATGTTAAGCTAGAAAGGCAAGTTGTAAGAGGATAAGTATGTACTGATATCATCTCAATAGCTGTAAAACTATTGTTTATGGCTACATAAATGTGTAGTTTAAGTATAAAAACATGCACGGGAATACTGATGTCCTGAATTCAGTACTGTAGTTGCCTTTAGGGAAGGATGGAGGTACAAGGGGTCAGGAAATAATACAAAGGCATCCTCAATATCTATAATATCTAATTGTTTTAACTGTAGCATATATGGAATAATATAATAAAAGCTGAACGGTGGTTACCTGAACATTAATTACTGATATTCTCTATTTTTGTCTTGGAGATAGGGTTGTGGGGAAAATTATGATCTGTGCTTTACTCAGCTCTACACCCAGCACCAGCATGGACATGCACACAACCATCACTCCATAAATGAAGGGTAAGGGCAAAAGGAGGAGGGGACTCTTATTTTTTCATAAATCATGTGTGTCAGTATTACCAACTTTGTATTGCCAACCAGTGAAGTTTGCCTGGAAAGTCAATTTCTCTTAACGCCCACAAAGACTAGTCTGAAACTTTTCAGAAGAAAAGTTAATAAGGGTGAAGCAATTTCAGCATCATGGCAGGAATCATCCTTTTTCCTATTCAGAAGCATAATTTTCAATGGAATTGAGTGTCCAATATTATACTTTGTCAACCTAAAAATGTCTTACATTTGGGATTTCTAATCACCTCAAAAATATCCTCCATTTTATTTGGTCAGCTTAAAATTCTGGAGGTGAGATTTAACTGAAATGAGGGATATGTTATGTGATTCTTCTCCTACCTTTGTAAAATGAAGGCTGCCAATGAACTGCATTCACCCAGTTTTCATGACCAGCCAGCACGGTCTCCAGAGTAACCGAGAATGCTATTTTAATACCTGTAACAAAAGCAATGAAGAAGCATTGTTTCCTCAAAGCTCTTCTAAGAAGAACATTTTCATAACCAACTCAGTTGTACATTTATGCCCAGAAAAAAATCAGAACAAAACTTGAGTTATTAGAACCAACAAAAAGAACATGCATTCTAAATTTCATTAACTTCACCCACTGTTTAAAATTGCAAGAGGAAAAAAGTTCTTAAGATAGATAAATCTTTCTAACTTTGTCTCTACCCGGTCATAAATAAGTATCAATGGATATGCTCTATTTTTAATATTTCTGGGAGTTATGTTACACTACAGTTTACAAGTAAAACCAGACATGCCAGCCTCCTAGCTATGCTCACTCATTATCACAGTATAATAACCTAAAATACTATTTTTTAAAAATTAAGATAAATGTAGAAGTAAAAAGAAGTCAAATCAGTATTGTGACCTTTCAAACAAAATTGTTCATTAAAATATCACAAAAAAATTCAAGTTTGAAAATAGCTACTCATTGTATGCTGGTTATAGTAGTTCTTTGTGCCCTCCCCTTCCCCAAACACAACTGTTACCAAAATCTCAACTCTTAAGGGCTTATAACCAAGAAGAGTAATAACAAAGAAGATAATTCCTGGAGGAACAGCGCTCACTGAGAACTAACTTTACAATTTATATACACAACCAAAAATACCTTCTTCAAAAAATAAACAAACAAAAATAACTTCCTCAAATACAATATTTCAACAGGATCAATACCCCATGCAGGGATATTGTTCTGACGCCAGACAGTAAGAAAATTAGAATTATATATACTATTCAAATGTAAGGATTTTAGCTTGTCTTGTAGAATATCTTCCAACAAAGGTATAGATAATTCACATTATTTCTTTAGATCTTCCTATGCTAAAGTTACAAACTTAGTAACATTATACAAATTAATTTATTGACTAAACATTTTTAAATATTTTCAGCTATTTTTAAAAGTCTCACTAATATGGTTAAGAAGAAAAATAAGTTTCATATATGAACAATGACTCATCATTACATAAAAATAAAAAAAAAAATAAGAAATACATAGAATCAAGTTTCATGTAGGGCTCTGATATTTCTGAAAAACTAACCTTCACATAGGTATATAGCAAAACATAAATGAATCGGCTGGGAAACCTAATTACTATGACACCAAATATTTTCATTATTACTCACTTTCATTTTCTACAGTAAAAGTGTTTGCCTTCAGTCTTATATTATCATCATCCTGAGTTTCTAATGATGTTGATTTTATATACAGCCTCCATACTCGTATCAGGCAATCTTGTGAACAGCTTGCTAGGAAAAGATCTTTACCTGATTAAAAAACAAAAATTATTATTTTTGCAACATTATATTCTTAAATTTAGGTATAAGATTTCTTCCTCTATAATATGCCCATTTCTAGATTTCCTGAAAAAATTAGACTTTGCTTCCCTATCCTTCATTCATTTGAACTGCATTCAGTTTTACTAACATAGACAAATATACACACAATGCTAACAAATGGTTGTAGCATGTTGTATTCTTATATACACTCTACTAAGTCAACAAAGAACTTTTTAAGAATGTCGCCATGTGGAATAGTTAGCACATGTTCTCTTTTAAACATTAACATGTTTCATCTTCTACCACTCCAATTAATAGAAAGGATAAGTATCCTCTTTTCTAATTGGGACAATAGAAAAATATTATACACAAAGAAAATTTTGAAATAAAACACAGGAGGCTGCTTTCTTGGAAGTTATCACATACTTGTCCCCATCATATATACATTAGGAAAATTTCATACTGACCAAAGGCTGCCCATTCCACGCCTCTTATCCAATCCTCATGTCCACAGAGAGAAAGCACTTTCTGAAACTAGTAAGATAAAAAGAATTGAGCTTGGTGTAAGAATTAAATATTTTTATGTATATCACTGATTTCATTTGGACTCAGCCAGTCCTACTGCATCTCTTTTTTTAAAAACTAGTAACACTGTGTGATTAGACATAAGATAGAGGTCTCATGAAAAAATCTCATAATCACCTAAATCATCTAACTGAGCAATCCTGAGCAGATAATGTAGTATCTGTAGACCTCAAATACTCTAAATGATTACAAAATACAATGCTATATGCTATGATATACCATAGATAAAAGTTTGGTAGTTGGATATTTACAACCATTTTAAACTGTCTTATGGAATGCAAAGAAATAAGTATCTTCATTATTAAATAAAAGAGCCTAGAATTAACCAACCCCCTTTCTAGAAATTCCCTCCCCTAGTTTAACCACTCAAAATGTACATGAGGCTCAGAAGAACAAATAAACACTACCAGGGAGTGTTTTTCACTGTAGGGATGCTACACTTTATTTAAAATTTTATGGACAAAACGCTACCACAGTAACTTCTTTTTCTCTTTCCCCCACCTAATGACCTGTTTTTCCCTAACAACTCGACCTGGTAATCAAGGCAGAAGTTACTTGGTGTTCAGAGAGAGGGAAACCATCTAACAGAGAACTGTAAAATAAATATTCCCATTAGATTATTTTGGTTTAGATGAGAACAGTCCTAAAATGCTATAGTCTGGAAATAGTCTGTATTAAGAAATGTAATTAAGCAGAAGCTAATGTCAGACTCTTAATAAGCATCGTTAATTACCTGATCATTCTGTTGAACAAATAAGTGGATTTTGCAGTCATCATCGCCACATGCTAATATTGGTACTGTGGGGAAAAAAGAGGCTTCACTGTTAAGTATTTCATCAGATGTTATGATTATCACCTATGCTGGATTCTAAGCTCTAAATAAAGCACTCTGACTTCTATTTCTCACATCGCTGAACAAATAAATTGAAAGTGCTCAATAAAAGTCTACAGCAATAAAGTGAACACTCTACAATGCTCTATTAAATGGTTACTTGGCAATGAATGACTACTGAATAAATGAGAGTCCTTTTCTCCATTATGTGAATTTTATGACAGGAGCAGTGAAAAGAGAAGCTCAAGAGTAGTTGAGAGCATTTCATTGTCAGCCAGAAGACTAATATGAAAAGTTAGTAAAACTAAATAATAAAATGGAAGGGCCTCTACCAGCCTGGCATCATGGTTACTGCACAAAGATGTAATGGTATGGTTGTTACTTTGAGGGCCTTAAATTTTACTTAAGAATTTAATAGTAAAACAAAATTCCTGAAGCAATAGAGAACCAAATAAAAGAGCATGTAATTGAATATGTGATTAAAAAGCTAGGAAAGGTATAACTGTAAAACTGGTTTTCTTTAATAGCACAAAAAATTAATTCACATTACCAAGGAGTAGTCCTAATGACTGTGGAGCAAAATAAAATAGGAACTCTTTTTCTAAAGAAACACCTTCCTACCAGTGGATTTTTCTATTTTCTCACTTTAAATCCACTAAAAAGAAATAAAATAAAAACTCCAGTCATGTGGCCTCAGTGTATGTAGGAAGAAATTAAATTCTATGTTATGAAACCAGAATGTGGACTTCCTCCTCCAAGGGAGCTCCTCACACAAAGTGGAAGCTTCACATGAACCCATGAAGTTACAGCTCCTTCCCTAAAAGACAAAGAGGCTGACGGTTTCTAGACCCCGCCTCTCTCCACCTGGCTTGTCCTCCAGGTTACTGAGGAGGCAAAGAGACAGACTGACTCACACTGCCCATCCTCTTTGTGAAGGATAATCAAAGAGAGGTACAGATTAGTGTCATAGCAAAAGAGAAAATTTTCTGCTTGGAGATTTTAAGTGGTCTTAGGCAAAAATGGCATCATGCAGGATGTAAAAAGACTGTCCTCTTTTAAGAAATGCTCACAAGGTCCATTTCAGTACTTTTCCAAGTTATCTCAGAACTTTACCTTCTAAAGAGTTAGACAATTTTCCCAAATTAGATCTACATACATTGGCAATACATTCAATAAATAGCAGTTATCAATCCTGATTACATATTCAGCCATTTAAAATTTCAACAGCTACCAAAATTCCTAATAGCCTGGCTTAATCTTATGTTCTATACACAGATCATTTTACTACTAAAAACAAAAGGACATTATAGCTAGTGTCTCAACCTGTTTCATGAAAACATTTAAATACAAAATTGAGATCCAATATTTCCTTCAGGTTCTGGCCATATAGAGATAAAAAAAATATATATTGCTCGCTTATTTATTTATTTATTTATTTATTTATTTATTCTTCTTTATTGATTTTAGAGAGAGAGAAAGGGAGAGGGAGAGAGATACAGAAACATCAATGAGAGAGAACATCAACTGGCTGCCTCCTGCATGCCCCTGACTGGGGATTTGGCCCACAATCTGGGCATGTGCCCTGACTGGGAATCGAACCAGCGACCTCTTGGTACATGGGTCAACGCTCAACCACTGAGCCATACCAGCCAGGCTATATTGCTCTCTTAATATGAACTTAAAAGGATACTCACCATCGATATTAGGCAAAAAAGATAAGCAGAGAGCCAGAGTGAATCCATTTCCAAAACTCAAGGTCTGAAGGCATGTTACTAAAAAATAATGAAAAATACCATGAACAACTAACTCTTAGCTTACTTACCTAGAGAGATTGGGTAGCATTATCACATTAGCAGGGAATGAGAAGTCAATCCTGAGCCCCCAATGACCAGGTGAACTTAAATGGTCAATGTTTAACAAAGTTACAGAGAACAAAATTACTTACATGAAAAGACTAGAGGAAATTTACAGTAACAAATTGTTTGGTACAAGGAATTTTGAAAAAGTGCAAAAAAACACAAACATTTAGATTAGAATTATAACATTTTTAAAGCTGCTTGAAAGACAAAAAAAATGTACGTCTGTTCTGGTTGTCACTCGTTTGATAATTACTATTTCATTGGTTTGGATTATAAGGGCTCTAAACATACCTTCTGAACCCTCTTTAGACCATACTCGAACAGTGGAGTCCGAAGCTGCAGAAACTATCAGTGCACATAATGCAACATCTGATGCCCTCCTCTGATAAACAGCATGCACTGCATAAACAGGTCCTTCGTGGCCGTGGAGATGCACCGCTTTTAGAAGCTGAATAAAAAAAATGACAAAAACATTACAATAAAAAAAGGAATTTTTGGTTTCACCTTTATCTAACTGAAATCACAGGATTAATGGTACTGTTAAAATGTATGATTCAGAAATAGGTCCTTTCAGTTGAAAAGAATATAAACTTTCGAGAAGTCTGACCATATTAATGACACATAAAATGTGCATAACCTTGACACAGCAACATCACATCCAGCTATCTACTCTGAGGTGCTAACAGCAATAGTGCAACAAATAATGAAAGACAAAAACAGAAGCCCTGGCCAGTTTGGCTCAGCGGTTAGAGCGTCAGCCTGCAGGCCAGAGACATGGGTTCGGTTCCCGCTAAGGGTGCATACCTTGGTTGCGGTTTGTCCCTGGCCCTGGTTGGTCATGCAGGTGGCAGCCACTCGATGTGTCCCTTTCACATCAATGTTTCTCTCTCTCTCTCCCTCCCACTCTATCTGAACATAAAATGGAAAAATGTCCTCAGGTGAGGATAAAAAAAAAAAAAAGACAAATGCAGAAGAATATTCGTCATACACACATCTTATTTGAATTTTTTTTGTTTTTTTTTTAGTGGTACATGCCCCTAGCGGAAACCGAACCCAGGACTCTCTGGTCCGCAGGCTGACGCTCAACCACTGAGCCAAATTGGCCAGGGCTTATTTGAGGTTTTTTTGGTGGAGGATGCGGGCATTAATCACACACTCTTTATAATAGTAAAAGAATCAACCAAAAATATTAGTAACTAATTAAATTATTGTAGATACACTATAGACAATAAAAACGATAATATAGCCCTGGCCGGTTTGGCTCAGCGGTTAGAGCATCAGCCTGCCGTCCTGAGAGACCCGGGTTCGGTTCCCGCTAAGGGCATGTACCTCGGTTGCAGTTTGTCCCTGGCCCTGGTCGGTTGTGCGGGTGGCAGCCACTCGATGTGTTCCTTTCACATCGATGTTTCTCTCTCTCTCTCTGTTCCTCTCTCTCCCTCCCACTCTACCGGAACAAAAACTGGAAAAAAAAAATGTCCTCGGGTGAGGATAAAAAAAAAACAAAAAACGATAATATAGATAAATGTATACTCATTACTATGGAAAGATGTCCATGACATTGATATTTTTGAAGTACATAGGTCAGCTTTGTGGAATGGTCCTTTTTATCAGTCTGTCTCAATTTTAGTGATGTTAATCTTGATATCTTAGTAAAGGTAGCGTCTGCCGGGTTTCTTCACTGTGAAGTTTTAGGGGATGAAACTATATGACATTATACTTTGGGACTGAGTAAATATTCTACTCTCCATCAAACTACTACTTAGTATTTTTAGCATCCCCACATGATACCTGCCTGGATCAAACATAGCTGCAAATTGAAAAAATGGCAAACTAGGAACCCATTTGCTTATCAAGTTTACATGCTTATCATGTGAAATTCTTGACTGTGGCATCAATTGTGTGAGATTCCACCACTTCCTTTGAGAGGTATCTCCCACAAATTGTCTTCTGAAATAGAGGTGTCCTTTAAGTGTCTCCTCAGCTGCTTCCCAATTACTCAGGCAGAACTCTGCCACTCCAGAAGGTAATTAATGGTTATGTATAAGGGTCTGTACACTAACTTCCTTTCATCACTAACCTTTGGCTTCTCTGAGAAACATTTTTAAAAGTTCAAATATAGTATGTATAATTGTACATACATAACTAGAGATTTGAGACAATGTTCATCAGAATGTTAATTCTGTTGAGATTTTTGTATAGTTTTTTCCTTCTTTATACTTTTCTATATTTAAACTTTTTTATATGAGTCTGTATCATTATGCCTTAAAAAATTAAATCTACTGAAAATACTTCACATCTTTAAGCAGGGTTATATTTCAATCATCACAGAATTTCAAAAACTCAAACAAAAGAAATCACTCAAGTTCACCAGCTTTTTAAAAAACCGGTGCTCGCCCTGGCCGGTTTGGCTCAGCGGTTAGAGCGTCCACCTGCGGTCCGGAGAGACCCGGGTTCGGTTCCCGCTAAGGGCATGTACCTCGGTTGCAGTTTGTCCCCGGCCCTGGTTGGTCGTGCGGGTGGCAGCCACTCGATGTGTCCCTTTCACATCGATGTTTCCCTCTCTCTCTTTTCCTCTCTCTCCCTCCCACTCTATCTGTACAAAAAATGGAAAAATGTCCTCAGGTGAGGATTAAAAAAAATAAAAAATAAAAATAAATAAATAAAAAACCGGTGCTCACTGTTCAAAGACTGGAACTTCTCATTATACCAACTTAGAATTATTTCCTGTTATCAGAAGTCAAGGTGTGCATGAAAATACATATGGAAAAGAACCTTTAAGCCTCTAGGTTACAAGATGTGGTCCCTTCCCGGAAAATCTCTTATTCTCTCCTCCGGCCCCTCCTCCCAAGCTGTCTGCTGTCTGCCATCAGATACTTGCTTAGCCTGTAGTCCTCCCCATTGAGAGAAGCGTGGAGCAGCACGAAGAGTCTTGCCAAGTCTTACCTCAGGTCTCAAAAATGAGTGCTAAAATTGTTCTCCCTGGATTCCTCTGCAAAATCATTCCAAGCGGGAGTTAAGTTTGCTACATATCCCTTTGCTCTCATTCAAATCCAGGTGATTTCAAAATCCCCACCTCCAGGCCTTTGGAGGACAAGTCTGGTTGCCTGGCCAGCAATTCAAATGATGTGTCTACAACTGAAATCCACATCTTCCCTCCTACTCGCCTATTTTCCTTTGTAGAAGCACCTTTCTCAAGGGGCCCGAAGACACAATCCCACCATTTTTTATAACTCCTCTAACCACCAGCTCCCCACTCCTTTGATAACTATGTAGTCAGTATCAAAATCATTTTTCCTTCAAAAATATATCCCATATCCCTTGTAAGGTCAGCGGGCTCCAGGGAGTCCATGACCGGGAAATGGACAGCCAGAGGAGAAATCGAAACCTAACTCAGATCGCCCCGCCTTACCCGGATGTGGCTGAGGGACACTCCTGGTCCCTTCCCAGCCAATCTACATATGTCACACCCGATTCTTTCCAGCAGCTAGCCAATCACCTGACCCCACACCTAATCACCCCACCCAGGTCCCTAACGTCCCTGCAAATATTCCCCTGGCCCCGGCCACATGGAACCAGTGAACCTCCCCCTGAATGCTTCGTTCCAATAAAACTCTCTTGTCCGCTTTTGCGGCTCCGTTTCTCTTTCTTCCTCAGCAAAATACCTTACATCCCTTCCTCCACATTTTTTCCTATTTTAATTTGTTCCGAGGCTGTGAGATTAATCTTATGATATTCATACTCCTCTTCTTAGAAATCATCAATGACTTCCAAATGCCTGCTAATAAAAAACAAACTCTTAAAGCAAGTGTTCAAATTCCCATAGGAGACTGTCTCCTATTCTGCTTCTCTAGTATTACTGCCCATAATATTATCTAGAAACATTTCCAAAACTGTGTTCCTTATAGTTACAAGGGATACTGGGAGATTTAAAATGGGGGGCGGGGGGGGAGTTCAGACTTGAAACAAGTTTGGGAAATGCAAGGTAAACGAAGATAACCATCAAAGGATTTCCAGTCAAGATGGCTACTTGTAGGTAACCCCAGTACTCACCTTCTCCCACAACATCAATACTACAACTAAACTACAGAACAGCCATCATTCAAAACCGCCTGTAAACAAGCAGAATAGAAGTCCTACAACTACAAAATTAAAGAAGCCACATTGAAACAGGTAGGAGGGGTGGAGGCACGGTCGGGCTGGTCCCACACCCACTGTGTAGCTGATAAAAATCAGGAGGCTATCTCAGCTGTGAAGGTCCCCCAAGAGAAGGTAGGGGTCCCTGTCCCACACCAGGCCCCCTAGCTCAGGGTTCCAGTACCAGGAAGATAAGTCCCCACAACTTCTGGCTGTAAAAACCAGCAGAAACAGGCTAAGGGAGGCTGAGGCTACTGGAGCCCCAAGCAGTTCCTCTTAAAGGGCACACACACACACACAAAGACATACTCAGACTCATGCCCTCTGGGCTTCAGGGTGCGGGAGGCAGCTTGAAAGGCACCAGAGACATACAAGGAAGAACTGAGTTGTTTGGCATAGGGGCGACAGCAGTAGGGCAGCTTTCTCCCAGACAGCCATGCTGCCAGAGGCCATTGTTCCCACGCTGGGCAGGCTGACAGCCACAATATCTGGGATTCCAGCAACCTGACTCATACTGTTTGCTCTGCCCTGGTGATTCCCTGAGCCCTCCCCACCCAACGTTCAGGCCCACCCAAGCTGTTTGCAGTGCCTTTACCACAGGAATGGCCTATCTTGGCTCCTGTTTCAGGCGTTCCTAAATTCTATCATGAAAGCAGCATCTAGCCTCAGCAAGTCCCAGTCCTAGCACTAGCAGCAGCCAGACTTGGTTCACAACCTGGCTTTACCTCGGTACCTCCAAGCCCAGCACAAGAAGCAGCCATCTGCAGATCGCTTTGTAGCTTATGCCTGGTGGCACCACATAGAACACAGACAGTGGCTGACCTTGCCCCAAAGCCAGCACACCCAGCAGACAGCTTCAGACCACAGCGAAGCACCACCACCCAACCACCTCCACAAGCAACACACTTAAGGAGTGAACTCAGTGGGTACCAGAGCCCTGCTGAAGTAAGTCTTGCTCTGTGTGGTGGGCCCTGCACCATTGATCCTCCAAGGTAGTCAGAGGTCAGTGGTCAGTGGGCACAGCCAGTCCTTGCAGCTGATCAGCCTGAGTAAATCCCTCCCACCGACGTGCCAACAGCAATCAAGACTCAATTACAACAGAAAGGTGTACAGTCCACACGAGGGGTAAAACTTGAGGACACAGCTTGGGTGATCAGGGAGGCCACTGGACCCTACAGGACACCTACTACAATAGGCCACCCTTTGAAGCCTAGGACACATAGCAACTCTACCTAATACACAGAAACAAACACAAGGAGGCAGGCAAAATGAGGAGACAAAGAAACATGTCCCAAATGAAAGAATAGAAAAAACTCCAGGAAAAGAACTAAATGAAACAGAGATAAGCAATCTAACAGATGCAGAGTTCCAAACATGGATTATAAGGTGCCCAATAAACTTAGTGAGGGTCTCAAGAGCATTAAAAAAGACCAGTCGGTAATGAAGGAAGCAGAGTTAGAAATGAAAGAGGCACTAACTGAAATAAAAAATAATTTACAGGGGAATCAATAGTAGAGCAAGTAAAGCCAAGAAACAAACCATCAATTTGGAATATAAGGAAGCAAAAACACGCAATCAGAAGAGCAAAAAAGAAAAAAGAATCCAAAAAAAATTAAGAAGCCTCCGGGACAACTTCAAGCATACCAACATTCACATCACGGGGGTGCCAGAGAGAAAAGAAAGAGAGCAAGAAATTGAAAACCTACTTGAAAAAAAATGATAGATAACTTCCCTAACCTGGTGAAGGAAGCAGATATACAAGTCTAGGAAACACAGAAGGTCCCAAAGAAAATGAACCCCAAGAGGCCAACACCAAGACACATCATCATCAAAATACAAAAGGTTCAAGACAAAGAGAATGTTAAAAGGAGCAAGAGAAAAACAGTTAGTTACCTACAAGGGAGCTCCCATAGACTGTTAGTTGATTTCTCAAAATAAACTATGTAGGCCAGAAAGGAGGACAAGAGATATACAAAGTGATGAAAAGCAAGAACCTACAACCAAGATTATTCTGTCCTGCAAAGCTATCATTTAGAATTGATGGACATATAAAGAGTTTCCCAGACAAGAAAAAGCTAAAGGTGTCCATCACCACCAAAACAGTATTATATGAAATGTTGAAGGGTCTTTTTGAGGAAAAAGAAGATAAAAAATATGAACAATTAAATGGCAATAAATACTTATCTATCAACAACTGAATCTACAAACAAAATGAATAAGCAGAACAGAAACAGACTCACAGATGGAGACTACTTTTTGTTGGTTGCCAGATGGGAGGGGGTTGGGAAAATGGGTGAAAAAGGTGAAGGGATTAAGAAGTACAATTGGGCCCTGGCCAGTTTGGCTCAGTGGTTAGAGCGTTGGCCTGCGGTCTGGAGAGACCCGGGTTCAGTTCCCGCTAAGGGCACGTACCTCGGTTGCAGTTTGTCCCCGGCCCTGATTGGTCGTGCGGGTGGCAGCCACTCGATGTGTCCCTTTCACATCGATGTTTCTCTCTCTCTCTCTCTTCCTCTCTCTCCCCCCCGCTCTATCTGTACAAAAAATGGAAAAATGTCCTCGGGTGAGGATAAAAAAAAATAAATAAATAAAAATAAAAAATAAAAATTAAAAAAAAAAAAAAAAAAAAAAGAAGTACAATTGGTTGTTAGACTGACAAACCTCAAAGGGAAGGGGGAGGGGGCATAGGAAAAGATAAACCAAAGAACTTATATGCATATATGTATAACCAATGGACACAGAAAATAGTATAGGGTAGGCAGGAGGGGGGCAGGAGCAGGGAAGAGGGGATCAGTAGCGTAAAAAGGAGGGACATCTATAATACATTCAACAATAAAGGTAAGTTAAAAAAAAGAATAAGCAGGTTCATTCATGTCAGAACTTTTCAGAGTCCTCACTATGCTTATATGCACTGGGATTCCCTAGTACAGGTACAGGATATGCAGTGTTTCCCAAACTTCACTGGTCACAGATTCCTTTTTTTCATGGAACTTCTTAAGAGACAAATAATTCTCTGAACACACTTTAAAAAGCCCTGCCCTAAGGACATCTTAGGCTTTATTTAAAACTGAATACTCCTAGGAATAAACTTAACCAAAGAAATAAAGGACCTATTCACATAAAACTACAGGTTATTGAAAAAAGAAATAGAGGAAGATATAAAAAAATGGAAGCACATACCTTGTTCATGGATTGGAAGAATTAACATCATTAAAATGTCCATACTTCCCAAAGCAATCTATAGATTCAATGCAATCCCCATCAAAATACCAACGACACACTTCACAGAAATAGAACAAATACTTCAAAAGTTCATATGGAACAATAGCCACACCAATATTGAAAAAGAACAAAGTTGGAGGGATCACATTACCAGATTTCAGGTTATACTACAAAGCCACTGTAATCAAAACAGCCTGGTACTGGCACAAGAACCAGCATATAGATCAATGGAAAAGAACAGAGAACTCAGAAATGGACCCAAGAAAATATGCTCAATTAATATTTGACAAAGAGGGCAAGAGCATACAGTGGAGTAAAACAGCCTCTTTAATAAATGGTGTTGGGGAAATTGGACAGCTACATGCAAAAAAATGAAACTAGATCATCAAATTACACCATACACAAAAATAAACTCAAAATGGATAAAAGACTTAAATGTGACTCGTGAATCCATAAAAATCCTAGAAGAAAATATAGGCAACAAAATTTCAGACATCATACGCAGCAGAATTTTCACCGCTACATCACCTAAGGCTACAGAAACAAAGGAGAAGATGAACACATGAGACTACATCAAACTAAAAAGCTTCTGCACAGCAAAAGATACAATCATCAAAATGAAAAGGCAACCCACTGTATGGGAGAGCATCACTGCCAATGATACATCAGATAAGGGATTAATTTCCAATATATGTAGAGTGCTTATACAGCTCAACAAAAGGAAGACAAAAAACCCAATTAATAAATGGGCAGAGGAGCTGAATAGACACCTCTCCAAACAGGACATGCAAATGGCTAAGAGACATAGGAAGAAATGCTCAACATCACTAATCATCAGAGAGATGCAAATTAAAATAACAATGAGGTATCACCTCACACCTGTCAGAATGGTTGCCATCAACAAATCATCAAACCACAAGTGTTGGCGAGGTTATGGAGAAAAGGGGACTCTAGTACACTGCTGGTGGGAATGCAGACTGGTGCAGCCACTATGGAAAACAATATGGTGTTACCTCAAAAAATTAAAAATTTAACTGCCATTTGACACAGTGATTCCACTTCTATGAATATACCCTAAGACGCCTGAAACACCAATCAGAAAGAATATATGCACCCCCATGTTCATAGCAGCACTATTTACAATAGCTAAGATCTGGAAACAGCCCAAATCTCCATCAGTAAACGAATGGATAAAAAAGCTGTGGTACATATACACAATGGAGTACTATGCAGCTGTAAGAAAGAAAATATCACCCTGGCCGGTTTGGCTCAGCGGTTAGAGCGTCGGCCTGCGGTACGGAGAGACCCGGGTTCAGTTCGCGCAAAGGGCACGTATTTCGGTTGCAGTTTGTCCCAGGCCCTGGTTGGTCGTGCAGGTGGCAGCCACTCGATGTGTCCCTTCACGTTGATGTTTCTCTCTCTCTCTCCCTTCCTCTCTTTCCCTCCCACTCTATCTGTACAAAAAATGGAAAAATATCCTCGGGTGAGGATAAAACAATAAAAAATAAAAAAAAGAAAGAAAAGATCTCTTATCCTTTGAGACGACATGGAGGGACCTAGAGAGTATTATCCTAAGCAAAACAAGCCAACTAGAGAAAGGCAAATATCACATGATCTCACTTATTTGTGGAATATAATGAACATAACAGTCTGAGGAACAGGGTAGTCCCAGAGACACGGAAGTGGGGTACAGACTCACAATCCCCAGAAGAGAGGGTAAGGGGGAGATAAACCACAGAACCTATATGCATGTATGCATGAACAATAAATGTGGACAACAAAGCTGGGGACAGAGTGGGGAGGGAGAGGAAGGGGAGTATCAGTGGAGGAAAGAGGAAAAACATCTGTAACAAAAATAAATTAATTAATTAATTTAAAAAAACAAACTGGATATTCCTGGACAGGTGATTTCCATTCTCACCTGAGTTTTTTATTCATGTTATTTTTCCTAACAAGAATCTTTACCCCTTTAACTCCTCCCAAGGAAATCATCTCACACTTTAAGATCCAACTCAAAGGCCACCTCTTAGACCTCCTCCGAATTCACTGCACCGTGGTTGGGGACAGCAAGTTAGAGCACCTACCCAGGAGCCACAGTTGGAAATTTATTCAAGTACATTTTGCCTTCACACTACGTATATGATTCATGAATAGGATTCTTCCTCATCTACATCTTCTTTGGCAGATGTTCATACCTACTACACTAACTTTTCACTTTTAATATTTTTTTACAACTAGAAGAAACCTATATATCCATCAATAGAGGTCTTTCCATACCCAGCATTGCATATTATATCACTCAGAATTACATAAATCTATATCTACAGGGCAACAGCTATCCTATGAACACAGCCGCATTAATTTTGGCTATCACTGAAAACAGATCAAACAGCCGATGCAAGAGCAGCTCGAAAATTATTCAATAATAGAAAATTCACAGAAATGAGTGATGCCTATGAAATGTGGGAGCAAACATTAGAGGGGAGGGTACAGGGCCTGTGAAGTACAGAAAATACAGGATCTGGATTACTGATGAGCAAGAATGAGGCAACTTCATAAAGAACATAGTAGAAATGAGGAAAAAAAGAAAATAAGATATAACACTCATTTCTTATAACTATGAACATGTTTACCCACCTGATTATTCTCTATTTCCCAGTGAATCACTTGATTATCAGATCCTCCAGAAACTAATTCAGTAGAAGGAGCTGAAAAAAATTATATCTTAGTAAATATTTTTGTTCTTTTTTATACCAGCTATTTTTAAAAATTTCAGCTATAGAAAAGATTTAAGAAAACTCGTATACCATTTACTTAGATTTACCTACTGTTAACATTTTGACATATTTGCCTAATAGCTTGTTCTTTCTCTGTATGTACAGGGTGGGGTAAAAGTGGATTTACAGTTGTGAGTATGCGAAGCACAGAGTTTATTCTTGTACTATTATTTACTAATTACTGTATTATTTTCCATACAAACAACTATAAACCTACCCTGTATATTAACAGACCTCCTTTTTGTTTTTGACATACTTAAAAATAAGTTGCAGACATCAGGACCTCTGATCCTCTAACACTTTACTATGGATCTCCTAAGAACTGGAAGGTTCCCCTATAGTACCACAATATAATTATCACATTCAAGAACTTTAACACTGACACAAAATCTTTATGTAATATACGGCTCATATTAAAATTTCCCCAAATTGTCCCAGTAAAGTCTTTTATAACTTTTCTAAAATTCAGAATCTAAGAACCACATATTGCATATTTAGTTGTCATCCTTCTTCAGTCTCCTTTAATATAGAATAGTTTCCCTGTCCCTCTTTTTTTGTGTGTGATAATGAGCATCCCAGCCAGTTGTTTTGCAGAATGTTCCTCAATTTAGATTTTTAAAAAGGGAGAAAGAATGCGTAATTTTGGCTTGGATTTTCCACTTATTTGTTTCTTCTGGCCTATTTGCTAGACATTTAGGGGAAGTAGCTGGGAGACTGTCTAAAAAACATTAGATAAGAACTCAGAAGTCCCAGGTTCCTGTCCTAACCCTGCTGTCAGCCAGCTGTGATCCTGGCATTTAATTTCTTCATACGTCACAGAAATTAAGCCATGTATCTAACTATGTGGTTTTGAACATTTTTATAAGGTACTTGATATGTGGGTTAGAAAGAATAACTACCCCGGGCCAGTTTGGCTCAGCGGTTGGAGCGTCGGCCTGCGGACCGGAGGGTCCCAGGTTCGGTTCCCACTGGGGGCAAGTACCAGAAAAATAAAAAAGAAAGAATAACTAAATTTTCTGGTGGTAGAGCCCTATTCTTAGAGAAAATCAATCCTAATAGTTACAGATTAGTGATACACAAGCAATTCAGTTTATTAACCTCACTTTTAAAAGGAAGATAAAATATACAAGCCCAAATTATTATTTTATAACAAATCCCTATACTGAGATTCAAATAGTCTTTGATGTCATCTGGTGGCAATTAATAAAAATTACAACTGTGTTTAGTATCTGCACTAATAGACATTTTTCCTACTATTTAATGGTTTTTACTGACTTAATGTGACTAATACTGAATTATTAACTGAAATAACTAGCTTATTCAACTTTTTTTTTTTTTTAATGTCACAGATAAAAGCATAGCAGCGTCTCACTAATTCAAAAAATTCTGCACTTGTGCCTGGCTCAGAATGCTCCTAATAAATGTTTATGAAATAAAAAATAAAATTATTTCAGAGTCCAGTAGGTATATTTAAGACATTTGAGAAAATTCCATAGGATTTTAGAAACACCATCTAAAAGCAGTATGTTATGATCTCACTTATATACGGAATATAATGAACATAACAGTCTGAGGAATACAGTAGACCCAGACACATGGAAGTAGGGCACAGACTGACATCTCTCAGAAGAGGGGATGGGGCGTGGGGGGGTGGGAAGAGATAAACCACAGAACTTATATGCATGTATGCATGACCAATGGACATGGACAACTAAGCCGGGGACAGGGTGGAGGGGGGTGGGGTGGGGGGTGCCAATGGGGTAAAAAGGTAAAATATCTGTAACAAAAAAATAAATAAATAAATAAAATTCAAAAAAAATAAAAAATAAAAAAAAAAATAAAAGCAGTATGTTAGCCCTGGCCCGTTTGGCTCAGCGGTTAGAGCATCGGCCTGCGGTCTGGAGAGAGCCCGGGTTTGGTTCCCCCTAAGGGCATGTACCTCGGTTGCAGTTTGTCCCCGGCCCTGGTTGGTTGTGCGGGTGGCAGCCACTCGATGTGTCTCTTTCACGTCGATGTTTCTCTCTCTCTCTCTCTCCCTCCCACTCTATCTGTACCAAAAAATGGAAAAATGTCCTCGGGTGAGGATAAAAAAAATAAATAAATAAAAAAAATAAATAAAAATAAAAGCAGTATGTTAATTAAACAGCAAATTTCAAATTGTTTGGTCTCAAGACTGCTTTGTGCTCTTAAAAATGTTTGAGGACCCCATAAAGCCTTTGTTTATATGGACTGACTATATGTACCAACATTAAACACATTAGAAATTTAAAATGAGAAATTTGAAAACTACTAGCTCGTCAGTTTACTTAAAAATCATAAACTCCATTACATATTAACAAAAATAACATTTTTATGAGGAAAAACCCCATATTTTCTAAAACAAAAAAATTAATGAGACACACTGTTTTACGTTTTTTAAAATCTCTTTACCATCTAACTTTATTAGAATACAGCTGGATTTTCACATCCGTTTCTGTATCTAATCTGTTGCGATGTCACACATCACGTAGCTGCTAAAAAGTGCCACTGTACAACTGTGACAGAATGAGAACGAAAACTGAATAACATTTTGATATTATTCTGAAAATAATTTTGACCTCACAGGTGTCACTAACCTCAAAGGGTCCCTGATCCAGTCCAAGTCTTTATTTTTCAGATGTTACTAAGGTACAATCTGGGGTAAACAAATACATGCAATATTCTACCTCAAAAAGCAATAGCTTGTCTGTGGCAGAAACAGCCTTACGAGTCAAATCTTCAGAACCCTAGCCTGGGCCCCAACATTGGCCCTGCTTACAGGCTTTTAAGCAGAAGCTATAGGGGTGGTGGGTCTTGTGACAACTGGAAGCTGCCTCTACCTCTTCCTAAGCACTACTGTGTTACCCGAGCTTCAATTGCTATAAAGTAAAAGTACAAGCCAGATGTTTCATTGGGCATACCGTTTTTTTTTCTATTTTCCAAGTGTATAATATCAGATAAGCTAATGATAAATTATGAGAAATGAAGAAAGAAAAATGACTAATCATACTTTAACAATTCTGATCAGCTTTAACAATCAGATGTATACTTACAGCCATCCTGTTTACAAATCCACTGTATGCAATTGACTCGAGCAGTGTGACCATTCAGGTTGGTAATGACAACCCTTTTCTTCAATGAAGAAAATACCAGTTAGTAAATTAGCATCTATTCTACAGAGGAATTAATAAAGTAATAAAAATCAGGTTTCAGTGTGTCTGATGCTAAAAAGTTCAGGATTACTTCAGAAAGAATCACTTTTCTTAATTTATAAACTTTTAACCATGGCTTAAACCATCTGTTCACTCTACTCACCACTCCATATTCCCAGTGTCCTATGCTGTCATCACACTAAGTTCTCAGGTCTTTATCTGCCTTGCTCTTGCTCACCACCCCACCCCCTTCCCACCTCTGTCCTATTCATCTGGGGAGCTCGTCTTGACACCCCAGACTAGATTAGGAACCTCTTCCTGGTGCTCTCACAGGTCTTGGGGGCCTTACTTCTACCAAGCTTGCATCAATTTGAGGGTTTTGTTGGAAAAATAAACAAACCTTCAGTAGAGGAATTTGTGAATAATAACTATAAATCCATGGCTCACTTTGCATGTCGTGGCTAATCACATGCTGAGTTTCTTTTTTTTTTTTTTTATCCTCACCCGTGGACATTTTTCCATTTTTTTGTTCAGATAGAGCGGGAGGGAGGGAGAGAGAAACGTAAACGTGAAAGAGACACATCGAGTAGTTGCCACCTGCACGACCCAACCAGGGCTGGGGATAAACTGCACCTGAGGTACATGCCCTTCACGGGAATTGAACCCGGGTCTCTCTGGACCACAGACTGACACTCTAACCGCTGAGCCAAACCGGCCAGAGCTGGGTTCTTTTTTTAAATCCTCACTTGAGGATATGTTGTTGTTGTTGTTTTTTATTTTAGAGGAGGAGGAAAAGAATGAGAAAGAAAAACATCGATGTGAGATGTGAGAAAGAAACATCAATCAGTTGCCTCCCATACGAGGCCCTGACCTAGCATCAAACCTGCAACCCAGGTACGTGCCCTGACCAGGAATCAAACCTGAAATCTTTCGGTGTACAGTGTACAGGTCGATGCTCCAACCGAGCCAAAACCGAGCCACACCAGAGCAGGTTTTGGGTTCTTAAACCCGAATGACACAAGGTCACCAGGCACAACTACTAAGGTCCTTAGACATCAGATCTCTTCAGAATGATGCTCTCACCAATATCACTCTACACTTGGGATGAAGACATTAACTCTGTGGTTACAGTGCCTTCCTCTTACAGCCCCTTTCTCTATTTATTGCCAACTGTACTGGCTTGATATCCACATATGTGCCAACTGGAATGCTCATGGCTGAGAAGAAAGGTATACAGAGGTAAAGTACACAAACTAGTATATTTCACAAAGGAGTTATTTGAGGTTGGGAAACAATTTACAGTAGTTTATCTTCTCTCTTAACTAGATTGAGAATCCTGTTAACAGGCAGGAGTTATTTAGTACCCATTATCTTTGTGTCATTACCACCCAGTCCAGGGCTAACCCACACAGGGTTCTCAAAAATTTGCTGAATGAACACCATCCCCAAAACTTTATTTTAGCATCTCATTTACTTAGCTCTTATTCCCACATTTAATTAAATGCCCAACAAGCAAATATTTAACAAAACAAAGTACTTTTCAGGCTCAATATGTTTCTTTTTTGATAAGTTAAAATCTCCTAACATGGCCACCGGATTATCATTAAAAATAAAAATGTGATGTAAGGCCCAGCTGGCATGGCTCAGTGGATTGAGCATCATCCCATGGACTGAGAGGTCCCAGTTTGATTCCCGGTCAGGGCACAAGCCCGGGTTGTGGGCTCAATCCCCAGTAGGGGGCATGCAGGAGGCAGTTGACTGATGTTTCTGTCTCTCTCTCTCTCTAAAAATTCAATAAAATATTTTTTAAAATGTGATATAAAGCCCTCGGTTTTATGTGCTTTCTCTTGTCAGGTAAGAGTGCATAGCAAAAAGAAACAAATGGAAAAGGGCAAGCAAGCTCAAGATACAGAAAGCAAACACAGCTGTAGCAGACATTGTCTTCTCGGCACGACTCTTACTACGATCTGGGGGGCCTTCTGTCCCCTGTGCACAATGGCAACTCTTAAGGAAAAACTGATTACACCAGATGCAGAAGAGGCAGCAGTCCCAATAATAAGACTTCTGTTGTGGGTGTTGGACATGTTGACATGGCAAGTGCCATCAGCTTTCTGGGAAAGTCTCTGGCTGATGAGCTTACTTTTGTGGATGTTTTGGAAGACAAACTCAAAAGAGAAATGATGGATCTGCAGCATGGGAGCGTATTTCTTAAGATACCTAAAATTGTAGCAGATAAAGACTACTCTAAGATTGTGGTGGTAACCACAGGAGTTCACCAGCAAGAGGGAGAGAGTAGTCTCAGCCTGGTGCAGAGGAATGTTAATGTCTTCAAATTCATTATTCCTCAGATCATCAAGTACAGTTCTGATTGCATCATAATTGTGGTTTCAAACCCAGTAAATATTCTCACATATGTTACCTAGAAACTAAGTGGATTACCCAAGAACTGTGTGATTAGAAGTGGATGTAATCTGGATTCTGCTAGATTTCGCTCAGCATTCATCCCAGCAGCTGCCATGGGATGGATTTTGGGAGAACATGGCAACTCATGTGTGGCTGTGAGGAGTGGAGTGAATGTGGCAGGCTTTTCTCTCCAGGAACTGAATCCAGAAATGGGAACGGACAATGATAGGGAAAATTGGAAGGCAGTGCACAGGATGGTGATTAAAAGTGCCTGTGAAGTCATTAAGCTAAAAGGATACTCCAACTGGGCTACTGGTTTAAGTGTGGCTGATCTCATTGAATCCATGTTGAAAAATCTATCCAGGATTCATTCAGTGTCAACGACGGTGAAGGGGATGTATAACACTGAGAATGAAGTCTTCCTGAGCCTTCTTGTATTCTGAATGTCTGGGGATTAACCAGTGTTATCAACTAGAAACTGAAGGATGATGAGGTTGCTGCTCAATTCAAGAAAGTACAGATACCCTACAGAACAACCAGAAGGACCTCAAAGACTTGTGACTTCAGGCTTTTAGGCTGCAGAGATTCAAAAACTACAATGTGATTAACCATGAGCCTTTAGTTCCCATCCATGTACATGGGTCACAGTTTGCTTTTATCTTCCTAAACATGTGAATCTGGGCTCACAGAATCAAAGCCCATGCTTGGGTTAATGCTTGCAGCATGAGTCCTTAATAAGTAAAATTAACTATCGTAGTGTGAAAAAAAGAGAAAGCAAATACAACTATTTTCTATATAAATTTGAACCTGCAAAGGGTGTGAGAATAATGGAATTTTTAATCAAGTTAATAAAACAGTACAACAAGAAATACATAAAGCTAGCTCCTGCACTGCATTTTAACTTCAAGCACTTTACCTTTTGTACTGAGGCTCTTTTTGAGACGCAACACTAACTGTATTGTCCAAAATTAACCAGTGGGAATGGGGACAAAGGAGCTCTGGGAAAACATGCAAAAACTAGCCATCCGAGAAGTTTGGTACAGAAAGGGCCAAGAAAATGATCAAGTGGGTGAAGGCCAGGGAATGGGTTAAGTCCTGCCTTACAACTAGTGCTTAGGACACCTATCCCCTACGACCTTTACCCCAGTGGCACTTTCTTTAAGATGTCCAAAATACAAGTAATATGTTGCTGTTTCTCATTCAATACAACAAACGTTTATAAAATAACATTGCGGGAAATATAGAAATGAGATAGCATCTGTGATAATGGATTTTATCCATACCTACATTGCAAATATTTCAAAACCCAAACTAATTATTTAACAGTACTACGGTTTCCACAGAAGGCTTCAGAAAAAGTTGTCATCATTCGGGTATCTACGTAGGGCTAACAGGTCACTGGGGGGACATGGTAACCCCAGGCTGACGGACTGCGCGAAACCGCGGGGAGCGCGTCTGGCGCGTCCACCGCAGAGCCCTCAGCCAGACGCGCTCCCCGAAGCGAACCAGACCGCACACCGGTCCCCCTCGCTCTGGCGCTGCGTCCACAGTCCAGAGCACCCAGCTGATCCCGCCCCAGAAGCACTCGGGGTCAGGCGTCCGGCCACCTCTTACCCCAGGATCATAGAGCACCACGGAACAGGACGTGCCGAAGGCCAGAAGTCCTCCGGGCCCGGGGCTCCAGGACAGGGCTCCCCGCACCCGGTTAGGGCAGCAAAACACGTGAGATGTCTGCAGCACGGATGCCACCATGTTGCTGGCTGGTCAGCAGCAGAGACCTGGGCGCGCACTTCCGCCCTCCGAGCGGAACTACTCGCGAGGCCGCCTCCCCCGCTCGCGTAATCCGCACCGCGTTTCGAGGCAGCCGGGGGCGGGGCGGAGATGGGCCCGCCCCCTCCAGCCGCGCCCCCCGCCCTGGCTCGAGTGGTCCTCGGTGCCCGACCGTGGACCTGCTCACGAACACGGCCTCCGTCCCAAGGACGAAGACCCGACCGGAGTAGCTCAGGACCTTCCAGGAAAACCCGCGGCTCAAGTACCAGGGCAGCTTCAGGAACGTCTCGCTGCCCCTCACGCCCAGACTCCCAGCAGCAGAGCTGGCCCAGGCGGGAGCCTTGGCGAACGAGTCTCGGGCCTCAGCGGCGCAGGGCCGCGGAGAGGCTCGACGAGAGGGTCCCCAGTCGGTCTCGACGCTCACAGCCCGCGCGGACCGTGTCTTCGCCCCCTCCCGCCCCTGCGAGCCCCGCGGCGCCGGCGAACAGGCGGCCACGCGGATCCGCTGGCAAGGGACGGGGTGCTGAGCCGCTCTGCGCATGTCCGCAGTCTGGGCCGGCGGAGACGGTGGCTCCCGGCCGCGCGCTGCGCGCGGCGGTAATTAGTAATTGTCCTGCTCCGGCGAGGCGAGGGTGCGTGGGGCGCGGCTTCTCCGTGGCTGTGCGGTGGTCCCCCGACCGAGGGTCATCCGCGCCCATGAGATCGCCGCTTCTCCGTACCCGGTAGGGGTTTCGAGAGAGAGGAGCACGGGCAGGTTCCGAGCCCTCCGGACCGCCTGCGGGGAACCGAACCTGCGCGCGGGGCCGCGCCGTGGGACTGCGAGGCCTCGGAGAGGTGAGTCCCGTAGGTCCGGCCGGGGGCTGCAGGAAAGGGAGCCCCGCGGGCCGTGGAGGCCGGACTTCCCAGTTTGGGCTGCACAGATGGGCTTCGGAGTCCAACGGAGGACTTTCTAAGGAAACGGTGTTATTACTCTCCTATCGGAAGGTAGGGTCGCGTTTAAAAATTAAAAGCCCTTAGAAGTAGTCGTGTGCCCTCTTTCCCTTTTTCTCCACTCGCCTCTGTCCAGGCCCTTTCTTTATGCTTTTTTCCAACAACACTCGCGGACTTGCAGGGAAGAAGGTCCACCCGCGGGTCCTCGGCCGCCTTCAGCATCCTCTGAAGAAAGGCCCTGGATCTGCCCGGCGAGCATTCCGTCTGTGCTTGTCCCAACCCATCCCGCTCCTTGCCTCTTTCTCCTGCGAATGGTTTCTTAATGGTTCTCGTTTGCCTATTAAAACTTCAGGTCCCAGAGATTGTTCTTTCGGGAGTCTCGCTTGTGGTACTTGGGTACTTCCATTTTCACTGCCCGCAGCGTGATGAGCAGCCGCTGTGCAACACCGCTGACATTGTTTGGAGCACTTCCATGCACACCGTTCGTGTAGTTTCCTCAGTTACCCTATAAATAGGTATTGCCAGCTTTTCCTGGTGCAAGGAAGAAAAGCTCAGGTAGAGGTAGGTTGCCCCATGCCCTTGCTCTCTTGCTCCTGAACCCGACTTCCTGGTCCTTTTGCTGGAAGCAGGTGAGTTTAGTAACCACTAGTCACCTGAGTCCTGATGTATCAGTCGATCTGCATAGCTGAACTATACCTTCCTCAGCTTAACTGATTTCTGCTTTTCAAGACTCAACTTGATTCCTAACTCTACAAACACTATTGTCTGGATGAGTGGTGGTCTATGTTAAAATGTTCACTGATTTATAGTAACATAAGAATGATACAGTTTTTTATGAAGTTTAATTTACCTAAGGAAGTATTATTATGCTCAACCACTGAGCCATATCAGCCAGGCACAGAATCTCTTAACACTCAACAGTTCTCTAGTTGTTTCACATGTTTTGACAATGCAAGGGTAGAACCTAGGACTCTAGTTTCTATATTTTCACAATATCTAACACTGCACTGGTCACACTAAATGATGCTCTGTAAACCTTGATTATTTGATTAGAGCTCAATATTCAGCATGAGATTTCTTAATTGAAATTATTTTTAATATGTTTTTATTGATTTTAAAGAGAGAGAGAGAGAGAGAAACATCAATGAGCAAACAACTGGGGATGGAGCCGGCAACCCAGGCATGTGCCTTGACAGGGAATTGAACCTGTGACCCCTTGGTGCACAGGACGACGCTCAGCCAACTGAGCCACACCGGCCAATGCAATTCAAATTATTTTAGAAGTGACGGCAAAATTTCTTTTCTGTCTTCTCTAGGAAGGTGCAATGGCGAGGAGTTTATCTGTCATCTTCATCCTGATCTTCACTCTGTCGGTCACAAATCCCCTTCATGAAGTAGAACCAGCAACTCAGACCACTGACAAAATTATTCCAAACTGGGAATCTGGCATTAATGTTGATTTAGCAGTTACCACACAGCGACATCATCTACAGCAACTTTTCAATCGCTATGGAGAAAATAATTCCTTGTCAGTTGAAGGGTTCAGAAAGTTGCTTCAGAATATAGGCATAGATAAGATTAAAAGAGTTCATATACACCATGACCATGAGCATCACTCTGACCATGATCATCACTCTCACCATAATCATGCTGCTTCCGGTAAAAATAATCGGAAAGCTCTTTGCCCAGACCATGACTCTGATAGTTCCAGTAAAGACCCTAGAAACAACCAGGGGAGAGGATCTCACCAATCAGAACATGCCAGTAGTAGAAGGAATGTTTTAGTCAAAGATGGTGTTGGTGCTAGCGAAGTGACCTCAACTGTATATAATGCTGTCTCTGAAGGAACTCACTTTCTAGAGACAATAGAAACTCCAAAACCTGGAAAACTTCTTCCCAAAGATGTGAGCAGTTCCACTCCACCCAGTATCACAGAAAAGAGTCGAGTGAGCCAGCCGACTAGGAGGAAAACAAATGAATCTGTGAGTGAGCCCAGAAGGGAGTTTATGTATTCCAGAAACACAAATGAAAATTCTCAGGAGGTAAGATAAAGGCTGTTCTTATTTTAATCAACATGCCTGCTTGTCTATTCTGTCGTTGCCATTCTGTCTCTAGTTGTAAGGAATGTAATTTAAAAATAAAATGGTAAGGTTATTGAAAAGGGAATTTCCACTTTCTCAGCAAGGTACTTGGCCCAAAGTGTCCCTACCATGGTTGTAATCATTTCTGATGAAATAAAATAAAATAAAAATTGGGATAATTAAAATAGTGTTGCTTGCTAAAACTGTTTTTAATACAGAATTTAAGTATAGAAAGCAGATGTTGAAGTTATTTTTGGAGAAATTCTTTAAAGGTGAATATTAATAAAAATAGAAAATGGGAGGTTGAAAATGCAGGAGTTGGAATCTATGTTTTAGAGAAAAGTGTGGTTAAGGGGCTGAAGAATTTGAGAACAGTAATACCTCCTTTTAGAGGGATTATAATGACGGTGGAGTAATTGAAATTAGAATTGCTACCAAGAATGACATACTGGACAAGTAAATGTGTGGGCAGTGAAGTTCAGAGTTCATGCTTTTTTCTAGAGTAGACTTCCAGACTGTACTCAGTTTGCCTTGCCTAAAAGATGTCAAGAACGATGAATTAGTTGTTATATGTTAATAAGCAAAATTTACATACTTCATTCAAGCCATCATGTGACTGTCCTAATTCTGAGATAATCCTACTAATGGTCATTCTCATAGCGACAGTGGTAATAAAGTTTGTTCTGAGTAGTACTAACCAAGCATTAGAGTTTAAAATAACTTTACAGAAGATGAGAAACAGGTGCTGCCACCAATTCTGGGGGACTGGAGGGAGCTTAGATTACTCAGAAGATTCTCTTCAAACTAGTCATCTAATTGTTCAAACAGCTGCCTGCCAGTACAGGTTTGTTTTATTACCAACTTTACGCTGCGCAAGAGTAACGTACATACTTTAATATTCTCTCATAGAGCTTTATTTTGCCAGGTATGTAGTCAGAACTGAGCTAAGTTTTGCAAGTATAGTCATTGCTGAAGTAGTGATGTGTTTTGGGCTTGTTTAGGCCAGGTACTAAAACAACGTATGTCCCAATCTCTAATGAACCCCATCTTGAAATTAAAGCTCATTTCCTTAATAGGTTTATACAATGAGTTAACAGGCTTGTGAATGTTCATTTATCCTCAAGCCTTTTTCATTTGAGGCTTTCTTCTTAGGCCAGTATAGAGATGTGACTTTCTACAGAGGAGTAGGCAGAGTAGTGGGATAACACTATTGTAACATAGTATCTCCCGGTGGTTTGAGAAGTTCCAAAGTACTTAAAACAGTAGTTGATTTTAATTAGTGTTAACTTAAAAAATAAAAAGAAAACATTAAGCAGCCTCAGTAAGGAATGGGTGTTATGTAATCAAACAACTTTTTTTGGATTCTCTAATGGGAATGCCTTTTGGTGATTTTCACTGCTTTGTTTTCTTTAGTGTTTCAATGCATCAAAGCTGCTTACATCTCATGGCATGGGCATCCAGGTTCCACTGAATGCAACAGAATTCAACTATCTCTGCCCAGCCATCATCAATCAAATTGATGCTAGATCGTGTCTGATTCATACAACGAGTGAAAAGAAAGCTGAAATCCCTCCAAAGACCTATTCTTTACAAATAGGTAGAATTGTGTTTTTTTATGTAAAAATATTTTCTAATAGATCATTTATGTTGTAATGTTCTCTGTATTTACAAAAACCTATTCATTTTTTCAGCATAATTTCAAATAGACCATCTTAATTGTTTTCTGCCTTGAATGTGAAAAAAGTTAGCCTTACCTTTAAAAAAAAGGGGGGGGGGGGTCTTAGATTGTAGATTGTCTTTGTTAGCCTTATCTTTGGGGGAAAATAAGTAAAACATAGATTGTAACTTGCCTGAGGTCATCCCACAGGAAGTGTCAGGGTTCTCTGAAATTCAAGTTTTTTATATAATATATAGTCAGGCTGTTTGGGGAAAAAGGATCAGAGTTACTCTCTACTGTTGAGGAGTGTAATTCTGGTCTGTTATTATTAATAAGTGAAACTAGGATAAGCTGTGCTATAGTATAGATTTTCAGTGCTCAAAACTTATAATTGCTTTGTTTACTAAGGAAATTATTGAGTTCTCAATTTCCTTTTTTTCTCTTTCATTTCCTTTTTTATCTTTTTTTTTTTTTTTTTTTTTTTTACTTTTTCTTCTTCTCTTTCATAATCTTGATGTTATAGGAGTCTGAAAGCTCAGTTCAAATGAGCTAGAATTCATCCTTGTCTATCATTTTTTCCTCCTTTTTTCACTACCAGCTGAAGAATTTTCCACTAGGTTTATGCTCTATACAGGGAGAGTTCAGTCACATTGTTCATTTGAGCCCATTTGTTAGCTATTGCTCTGTTACCACTGCCCTACTCCACTGAGTTTGTATTTCTTTAAGACTTTCCTACCTTTACAAGTTGCTTTATGCTACTCCAAAGTCTCTGCTTTAAAGTTTATCAATTGTATTTTTTTTTTCTTTGCTCTTTTGTTTGACAGCCTGGGTTGGTGGCTTTATAGCCATTTCCATCATCAGTTTCCTGTCTTTGCTGGGTGTTATCTTAGTGCCTCTCATGAATCGGGTGTTTTTTAAGTTTCTCCTGAGTTTCCTTGTGGCATTGGCTGTTGGAACATTGAGTGGTGATGCATTTTTACACCTTCTTCCACATGTAAGTATAATAGTAATTTGTCCTATAAGTGTATTGTATTATGTACTAGAATTCTTTGTGTTGATATGTATAAAGGTTAGAAATTTCATTTAGAGGAGTTGATTTTAAAATATATTTGGCAGCTAGAAGCTGCATTTTTGTTCTTGATCTTTTTTTTTTAGAGAGAGAGAAACATTATTGTGAGAGAAACATCAATTGGCTGCCTCCGGCACGAGCCCTAATCAGGAATCAAACTCACCACCTTTTGGTGTATGGGATGATGCTCCAACCAACTGAGCCATACCAGCTAGGGCTGTGCTTGATCATAATACTTTTTTTTTTCTTTTTAAAGGGAATTAATTAAATATAACTTTTTGGAACCCAGTTAATAAAAGGAGACAGATTCTGCCCTAGCCTGTTTGGCTTAGCAGTTAGTGTCAGCCCATGGATCGAAGGGTCAAGGGCTCGATTCTCAGTCAAGGGCACATACCTGGGTTGCAGGTTCGATCCCCGGCCCCAGTTGAGATCATGCGGATTTGTCTCACATCGATGTTTCTCTCTCTCTCTCTGCCCCTCCTTTCCATTCGTTCTAAAAATCAATGGAAAAATATCCTCAGATGAGGATTAATAACAACAAAAAAGGAGACAGATTCTACTCAGATATTCGTACTCTGACAGACTGCAACAGTGTGAATTATCTGCTTACATGTTAGTATAATTGCCACAGAAATAAAAAATGTGACTCTAGTCCTGGCCGGTTTGGCTCAGCGGTTAGAGCATCGGCCTGTGGACCAGAGAGTCCCAGGTTTGGTTCCCGCTAAGGGCACGTACCTTGGTTGTAGTTTGTCCATGGCCCCAGTTGGGGTCGTGTGGGTGGCAACTCGATGTGTCTCTCTCTCACGTCGATGTTTCTCTCTCTCTCTCTTCCTCCTTCCTTCCCTCCTACCTGCTCTAGCTGAAGATAAATGCAAAAATGTCCTCAGGTGAGGATAAAAAAAAAAGTGTGACTCTATCTACCCAAGAAACTTAAGGGTTTTTCTTCAGAGTTGAATTTATGTGTATATTTAGAGGTTTACACTTTGTGACATGAGTGAATTCTTACATAAAGTTTGGCCCTGGCCGGTTTGGCGCAGCGGTTGGAGCCTCGGTCTGCGGTACTGAGAGACCCGGGTTCGGTTCCCGCTAAGGGCACGTACCTCGGTTGCAGTTTGTCCCTGGCCCTGGTTGGTCGTGCAGGTGGCAGCCACTCGATGTGTCCCTTCACATCGATGTTTCTCTCTCTCTCTCTCTTCCTCTTTCTCCCTCCCGCTCTATCTGAACAAAAAATGGAAAAATGTCCTCGGGTGAGGATTAAAAAAAAAGAAAGTTTGGTAAAGTAAGTTTCCTTTTCCATTAAATATTTGGGATTAGGTGCACAGCATAAAATATTTGGATCTCATTTTCTAAATTCCGCTTAGAGGTTTGCAGGTAAGTTGGGGGAGGGAGGATTATTCCTAGAGCACTACATGTCTCATCATGCTTTATCCAGTAGTGAAAGAGAACTATTTCTGCTGTAACAAACTCCCTGACCATCAAATGGCAGATGTTCAGGAATACCTGCTTTACCAAGTACAATGTACATGAAGTGTACCGTGTGACACCACCACCCATCTCTGTGTTTGAGCCACACCTGATTTCCTAACATGCAGTAACAGTAATTCCTACTGTACTCCGCTGCAGGCCACTGAGGCAGTGCCTCTGGATCAGGTACCTGCCAGGGCTCATTATACAAATTGGGCTTCTCTAAGCACACCGATGACAGTGGTATGAGCTTTCCAGCTAGGAGTGTAAGCAGTAAACACTATAGTCCTGTTAAGTCTGGAAGTTCCCTGTTATTTGTGGCCACGGTAACTTGTCAGACATTGAAAATATTCACTACCGCCCTGGCCAGTTTGGCTCAGTGGTTAGAGCGTCGGCCTGCGGTCCGGAGAGACTCGGGTTCGGTTCCCACTAAGGGCACGTACTTCGGTTGCAGTTTGTCCCCGGCCCTGGTTGGTCGTGCGGGTGGCAGCCACTCGATGTGTCCCTTCACATCGTTGTTTCTCTCTCTCTCTCCCTTCCTCTCTCTCCCTCCCACTCTATCTACAAAAAATGGAAAAATATCCTCGGGTGAGGATAAAAAAAAGAAGAAAAAAAAAAAGGAAATATTCACTACCTATATATTATGAGGATCATTGGGGAATGTGTCTATCTTGACACTAAACAGATCCATTCTGTTAAGTGCCATAATACATTATATGCATTAAGCTCTAGATAGCTGGCAGCTTATTGAGCATTTTATTTTTAATATCCTAAACTTCCCCTCATTCTGACTACCCCATTAATTGGCTAATTCTGAATTATTTTAAATTTAACCTAATTTTAGCCAGTTTTTCTAACAATTGAAACTAATGAATTCTTAGAATATATGTTGTTTTGCCTTTAGTCTCATGCAAGTCACCACCATGGTCACAGCCATGAAGAAACAGCAATAGAAATGAAGAGAGGACCACTGTTCAGTTATCTGTCTTCTCAAAACATAGAAGAAAGTACCTATTTTGATTCCACATGGAAGGGTCTAACAGCTCTGGGAGGCTTGTATTTCATGTTTCTTGTTGAACATGTACTCACATTGATCAAGCAATTTAAAGATAAGAAGAAAAAGGTAAGAAAAAGTATACTGAGTACTTACTATGCATCAGACATTTATTTAGAGTAGTATTCTAACTAGACTGTTAGCAGGGCTTGTCCAGAGTATATGATCTTTGTTTGAGAGGGTTTGAGTATTCTTGAGATACTTTTTCTCTGGGAGGCATTATTGGAGAGCAATTCTGTATCTTGTAAACCTAGAGTTCTCGATCTTTAGAATTCCCTTCGAACTCATGAGAGAGTAAGAAAGTCAAGGATAAACATTTATAATAAATGACCAAAAAAGGTGCAACTGGTTCCTTGAGGATCAGAAGATTCATGATTATGGCCTTCATGGTGGCAATGGTTTCATGGGTATATATTTATCCCCAAACTCTCTGAGTTGTATACATTAAATATGTAAAGCTTTTTATAGGTCAGTCGTACCCCCAGTAAAGTGGTTTAAGAAAACAGTATGGATACACCCTCAATATTTATTAGTAGTTAGGATTATGTGATTAACTTCAAATTATTCACCCAATTGCTGGTTATTGTGTTTTATTTTAAAGGCTATGTGACTTTCACAGATATGACCTTTGCAAATTGTCTCTAGAAAATAGTATGAAACCAAACAGTAGGCTCTTTATTTCTGGTAAAAATATCTTTGAGCTACCTGTAGTTATCTATCTTTTCTTACCTAATGTGACCACACAGGTAAGCCAAAAGACTGTCCTGACAAAACAGACTTTAAGACAGAATATTACTGCCCAGCCGGTGTGGCTCAGTGGATTGAGCATCCTCCCATGGACTGAGAGATCCTGGTTCAATTCCCAGTTGGGGCACATGCCTGGGTTTCGGGCTTGATCCCCAGTAGGGCGCATGCAGGAGGCAGCTGATAAATGTTTCTCTCTGACATCAATGTTTCTATCTCTCTGTCCCTTCCCCTCTCTCTGAAAAGTTAATAAAAACATATTTTTAAAAAATTAAAATTAAAAATGACATATACATGTATAGCCTGGCTGATTTTGCTCAGTGGTTAGAGCGTCTGCCCTTGGACCAAAGGATCATGGGTTTGATTCCCAGTCAAGGGTATGTACCTTGGTTGTAGGTTCAATCCCCACCCAGGTTGGGGTCTGGGGTTGTGCAGGAGGCAACCAATCAATGTCTCTCTGTCCCTCCCTCTCTTCCCCTCTTTCTAAAAATCAATGGACAAAAATATCTTTGGGTGAGGATTAAATTTTTTTTAAATGTACATATCTTGGACATTTTATTTATTGTTTGTTTGTTTGCTTTATTAATCCTCACCTGAGAATATTTTTTCCATTGACATTTAGATAGAATGGAGTGGCAGGAAGGATGGAGGGAGAGAGAGACATTGATGTAAGAGGTACACATTTATTGGCCGCCTCCCACACAACCCAGACCAGGGCCAGGGATTGAACCTGCAACCTAGGTACTTGCCCTTGACCAGAATCAAATCCATGACCCTTTGGTCGCAGGTGGACACTCTAATTGTTTACCCAAACTGGCCAGGGCCATATCTTAGACATTTAATTTAACTTAAAATGTGTGTACCCTCCTATTCTGGTCATTTGATGTCAACCAAGATTATCTTTGAGTTGAGTTCTATGTGATGATTTTTATTTCTACAGCCATGCTGCTTCATCTACAATTTTCAGTTTCGGTTTCTCTAAAGTGGAGCTAGTTGTTATACACTTGTAAAGATATTTTGAGTGCAGAATCTAGATTTCAGAAATTCAAAAAATTTTATACAATAACCACTTTACATAATTTGATAGCCTTTTTTTTTTTTTAAAGCAACTTGCCTTTGAATCTTGCAAATGCATTCAACTTAAGTTTTCATAGAAGTAACTATTCTCACCATCATCACATAGTTTGAGCAATAGGTAGATTGTGTAGTTACAATAACAATTATAACTAGTATAAGGACATTTAAATAACATAATTGATTCTCACTGAGCATAGAGCTCACTGTGGGAAACAAGTGCATGTATGAACAGGAGAATAAGGAGCCTTCTGCTCAGTCCTGTGAATATTTGCCCTCGGAGTTTACATTCACTAAAATTTCAAATTGCACTTTTTTTTTTCTTTTTCTTTTGTTTTGTTTTTATTTGTTTGTATATATACTCTTTTTGTGGGTTATTTATCCTTTCAAATCACAAATCTGGAATCTTCTCTTCACTGGACCTGAATTTAGAGAGAAGAAGTGAAATAAGAATAGCTTTTCATTCTTACTCCAGGAAGTTGTCACCTGTATGTTCCTATTGTCCCAATTACTTCACTTAGACTATTGTGAGGAAATATCCTACTTTTTTACATTCTCTGGAATTTTCCTTTCACACTCAGCTTTCTGAAAAGGATCTCTTTTTTATTTTTAGAATAAAGTATCAAAATTAAACATGCTCATTAGAAAAGTTTTGAAAAATTTTTGAGAAAAATAGAATATCATTTTCCTGTGGTGCACCACTCTAATACAACCATTACTTAAATTTTCATGGGATCTTCCCAGGCTTTTTGACACCATTTTTTATTTTTCAATTACAGTTGACTTTTAGTATTATTTTATGATAGATTCAGGTCTACAACATAGTAGTTAGACAACTGTATAGTTTATGAAGTTGGTATGATCATTCTTTTTTTTTTTAATATATTTTTACTGATTTTATAGAGAGAGCGGTAGAAACATTGATGGGAGAGAGAAACATCAATTGGCTGCCTCCTTCACATCTGCTACTGGGGATCTAGCCTGAAACCCAAGTTTGTACCCTGACTGGGAATCGAACTGGGACCTCTCAGTCCATGGGACAATGTTCGATCCACTGAGCCACACCAGCCAGGCGGTATGATAATTCTTGTACCCACCTGGCATCATACATAGTTATTACAATGTTATTGACAATATGCCCTATACTGTACTTTAAGTCCTCATGACCGTTTTGTAACTACCAGTTTGTACTTCTTAATCCCTTCACATTTTCACCTGTCCCCACCCCCAAACCCATCTGGAACTATTCCTACCTTAAAAATACAAAAGATCGTTTTTAGTTTTGCAGGGTAGAGGGATGGAGGTTAGTTGTTTTGTTCTACCTTTTTTCTGTTTCAAATTCCATAATGTATTGGACATTATAATTTCAATTTAGTTTTTAAATTTCACTTAACGATAACTCTTGCTTACTCTGGCACTCTTTAATATGATAGACTATGACTTAATACAGAACAGTATTTTCCTAACTGTAGGTTGTAATTTATTAGTGAATGTGAAATCAGTCTTGTGTCATGACCAATGTTTTTAACACAACAGTAATACTACAATATATTACATATATTACAATGTATATGATACATATATTTCTGGGGATTTTAGTCAAAGTTTGATCATCTCTGTTCTAAACTAAAATATTTTTTCTAGAATGTAAGCTCTTAAGAGCCAGGACTTCTTTGTCTTGTTTACTGCTAGATCTCCAGTGCCTAAAAAAGTAACTGGCACATAAGAGATGATTGAAAAATAGTTGTTGAATGTATAGGAAGCATTAAACAGCAAGTAAACATAATTTCCAGATGAAGGCATCCCAAGGAGTTTTGCAAACATTGTCCTCTTCCTTTATAGAATACATTGAATATCTTTTTTTCAAGGACATCCAGATCTTAGTTTTACTTACTTAACAGTTTTTAATCTCATTTAGTTCCTCAAAAAGAAAAAAACCTATTCATTATATGGTAAGGGTTGAAAGCTCTTCAGACCCATAACAGGACAATCTAAAATCTCTATATTCAAATTAAGGTTATATCTCATACTTTGTATAGGTAATTAGACACTTAGAATAATTCAATGTCAAACTTTCTTCCTACCAGTAAAGGTTATTGCTCGTGCTGGAAACCTGAGAATCATCTGTTACATCTCCCTCCTCCTCATATTCAATCTAGTTTTTAATTTTTTTTTTATTTTATTGATTTTAGAGAGAGATAGAAACATTGATGAAAGAGAACATCGACTGGTCACCTCCTGCATGCCCCCCACTGGAGATTTGGTCCACAGCTTGGGCATGTGCCCTGACCAGGAATTGAACTGGCAACCTCTTGGTGCATGGGTTGATGCTCAACCACTGAGCCACACCCAGCCGGGCTCAATCTAGTTTTATTAAATATATCTAGAGTTTTTTCATTTCTCTCTATCTCCTTGCTATTCTAATCCATACCATCTTTATCTCCCACTTGGGTGACAGTAGTTGCCTCCTAACTGACCTGTCAACATTATTTTGTCTTCTCCTAATCCAGGCAGAGTGATATGTTTACACGAAAATCTGATGAGGTTGGACTCCGCTACTTAAAATTCTTCCATTAGTGATTTCTCATTGCTTTTAGGACAAAGCCATAACTCTTAACAGGTTTGCATTGTCTGGTCTCCTCCAGCTGCCCAGCCTTATCTCTAGCCACCCTGTCTCTGACTTAATAGCCCCCACCACCTTGTCTTTCTATTAAAGACAGGGCTGGCCCCTTCTTGACCCTTCTACATGCTATTCTTCTTGCCTGGAACACTGCCTCTCTTACCCTTCCCCAGCAAACCCCTGTTCATCTTTAGGTCTTGGTATAAATAACACTTTCTCAAGGAATCCTGTCGTGGGACTTGCTATGGTCTTGTTGTTATACACTCTCATAGCACTCTATTTTTTCTTTGTAAATGTATCAAAAATTGCAATAAAAGAATTGTATAATCATTATCTATGTAAAGCCTCCCTCCCTGTAGGTGATAAGCTCCATGAGAACAGAGATCCTTTGTATTTTATTTCACATTGTATGGCCAGCACTTAGCATAGGGAACATTATAGGCCCTTAATACTTAAGGAGTAAAAGAATTTATTAAGATCTGAAAGTTCTAGAGAGAGTCATTGCCCACAAGAAAGAAAGCATTGAGTGATTTAAAAATACCCTGAATTTGTTTTTATTCACAAATATTTAAATATTTTCTCTGTTTGAAGTATTGTGTTAGGGGTAAGTTTAAAGATTTGTTTGTGTGCTTGCCTTTAAAAATTCTTACAACCTGTTGATGTAAGAACATCCAAAGCTGTAGAAATGTTTATGAGTTTATTAGAATTTATTTGAGCCAAAACAGGACATGCCTAGAAGCAAAATCTCAATAGACTGAGAACAATGCTTTCCAGAATCACAGTTTGCAGTTTCTTTTATGCATTTGGAATTAAGGAGGGAATGTAAGGAAGATTATATAAAGTGAGAGAAAGCTAGGCAGGAAAATTTTCATGATTGGATTGCAAGATAGTAACAAGATTATGTGTTCACTTGAGCATGGTTCTGGTTCCATTCCAAGGGGTATGAAAAAGAAGCATTTCAAAAGTGTATTAACATAGATGTACAAAAACAATGGCTTGCTGAAGGCAAAGATAACCTTTCATTATCGGTCTGGGGCATGACTACCCACCATGACCTGCCTAGTTAGAAATTTATGATCAGATCACTCTGTGAGGTTACTTTCAGTCACTGCACTTGTCTATTTATTATAGAGCCCCTTTTTTATCCGCAAACTTAAGAATATACAGATATTTTATACACTGTTAAAACTAGAATGAAATCTTAGGTTTGGTAGTGATTTTTTATGTCATATTTAAAGGTACTACAAATAAGAAATACAATTTTTTGTGTGACCTTTTCAATATTTTGAGTATTCTATGTAAGTAGATAATACCCAGGCACCATTGTTCAAACAGTGACCTATATGCTTGGGCTAAGAGATAGGAACATTATCTCAAGTATAGTGGCTAAAACACCTAATTATAAATTTAAGACTAACTAATAGAGATTTGTTTAAAAAGAGAAAGTTTGTTAATGGTGTTTTATTACAGGAAAAATATGTCAGTTGTAACAAATATATAGTGTTACAGTGTAGTTTTGGGATGTAAAATGTATGGGAAATAGGGGTTTTCAGCATACAAAGGAGAGAGAAAACCAAGCATTTGGTTAGCAGATCACTAAATGCCTGTAGAGAATGCCTCTAGCTGGTTCTAAATTGATAACCTGAGGCAGAGCTCAATTTTAATGTGTATGTGAGTCACCTGGAGATCTAGTTAAACTCCCCATCTGATTCACTAGGTCTGGGTGTGGCCTGAGACTGTGCATTTCTAACAAGCTCCCAGGGAATGCTGTGCTGCTTCTGCAGGACCACAGAGTAGATGCGCTAGAGGACACTCAGAAAGATGAATGTGATTTTTCTACATTTCATATTAGTGAGGCATTGATTCGTCATCTTTTGAACAGTCACTATGGCTGGGACACACTGCTAGGTGCCAGGCAAGTTAAGTGCAGGCCCTGCGCTTAGGTAGCTTTTATTCCATTGAAGGTCTGTTACTCTGCAGTCTTTTTCAGTATCTATTGCTTAAGTGTTTATTTAAAGCTGTATGCATAAGCAAATCAACTATTTTAAAGTATTGCTTTTCCTTGCTATTTTAGAATCAGAAAAAACCTGAAAATGATGATGACATGGAGATTAAGAAGCGGTTGTCCAAGTATGAATCTCAACTTTCAACAAATGAGGATAAAATAGACACAGATGATCGTAAGTCCTTGTGAATCTGAGGGCTGGAGGAAATTCATTACTCTTCTTGGACTATATGGAAGAAATGAGACCATGGCCCCCTTTTCTTTTTAACTCTGATACTTTTTAGTTGTCAGAGAGTAGGTTGTTTCTATGTATATTTATATTTTTTTAATAAATTTTTATATTTTGAGGTAATTTCAGACTTATAGAAATCTTTCAAGAATAATACAAGGAATTCCTATATCCCTTTCCTATATTCCACAGTTATTTTACCTACATTTATCATTCTTTCTTGTGTACACATATGTACACATTTTCCTCTAGATCATTTGAGAGTAAGTTACAGACATGGTGTTCCTCTACCCCTAAATACTTCAGCATGTTTCTTAAGAAAAAGAACATTCTCTTAACCAGAATTCAGTTATTGAAATCAGGGAATTAATACTGATACAGTGCCATTATCTAGTCTGTAGACCTTACTCATTTTTCTTTTTTTGTTTCTTTGTGTTTTGTTTTGTTTTGTTTTTATCAGTTTTAGAGTGAGAGAAACAGAAACATCAATGTGTTGTTTAACTTATTTATGCATTCATTGGTTGATTCTTATACGTGCCCCAACTGGGGATCAAATCCTCAACCTTGGCGGAACAGGACAATGCTCTAACCCACTGATCTACCTGGCTAGGGCACTACTGTTTTTCTAATTGTCTTAATTCCTCTATCCTCCCCTATCTCCCTAAAGAAAAAAGTGATCTAGAGTACAATCTAGGTCAGGTGTTGAGTCTAATGTTTTCTTAAGAGATTGATAAGTTTTGGCAGCAATACCTCAAAGTGGTATGATAGCCTTTTCAGTCACATGATGTGCTACCTGACATGAATCTGTCACCTATGGATGGTGTTAATTTTGATAACTTGACTAAGGTTCTATCTGTCATGCCTTTTCACTATAAAGTTCCTATTTTTTCTGTAACTTGACTGTTAGCTTGGCATTTCTTATTGGACAAGTCAGTTAAACCAGCCCAGCTAGTGTGGCTCAGTGGTTGAGCGTCAACCCATGCACCAAGAGGTTGCCTGTTCGATTCCCTGTCGGGGCACATGCCCAGGTTGCAGGCCAGTCCCCAGTGGGGGCATGCAGGAGGCAGTTGATCAGTGTTCTCTGTCATCGATATTTCTATCTCTCTTTCCCTTCCTCTCTCTCTGAAATCAATAAAGAAAAATATTTTAAAATAATTTTTTAAACCAAACTTCTCACCAACTTCAAGATTCTAACCTGCCCTCCACTTTCCCCCAGTGTTCTCTCTGTCCAGCCTGCTGACAACCTTTTAATCCTGTGAGTATACCAAGTTTGTCTCAGAGCCTTGTATTCACTGTTCCTTCTTGAAAGCCTCTTCTCCTAAATCTTCACATCAATTCCTTACTCTATTGTTTAGGTCTCAACTCAGATATCTCCTCCTCAGAGGCCTTCCCTTATCACCCAAATACAAAGGTATTCCTGTCATTCTCTATCATATTACTCTCTTCTGTTTTCTTCCCCTGCTTTCCAGTGCCTTAAATTACTTTATTTATACCTGTAGGTCCTTGTTTTTTTTGTTGTTTTTTTTTTTATTTTTTATCCTCACCCAAGGATATTTTTCCATTTTTTGTACAGATAGAGTGGGAGGGAGAGAGAGGAAGGGAGAGAGAGTGAGAAACATCGATGTGAAGGGACACATCGAGTGGCTGCCACCCGCACGACCAACCAGGGCCGGGGACAAACTGCAACCGAAGTACGTGCCCTTAGCGGGAACCGAACCCGGGTCTCTCCGGACCGCAGGCCGACGCTCTAACCGCTGAGCCAAACTGGCCAGGGCTGTAGGTCCTTGTTAACCAGCTTTTCCCCCATAAGAACATAAGTTTCTTGAAGACAGAGATATTCTCATGCTCCATTCTGTCACCAGTGCCTGGCAGGGTGCCCGGCCCAGAGTAGGTGCTCAATAGATAGTTGCTGACTGAGGAGAGAGAAAAACTTTACTGTTGCTACTGCCTATTTTTTCTGTCCACTCTCTGTTTTCTAGCATGCTGTTTTTCTCTGAAGAGCAAGTCAAATGCTCTTGCTCCTTTCTGCATCTATTGTCTCTAACCTTTTTATTTTATTTTATTTTTTTTTTTTTTATTTTTTTTTTTTTATCCTCATCCGAGGACACTTTTCCATTTTTTGTTCAGATAGAGTGGGAGGGAGTGTGAGAGAGAGAGAGAGAGAGAGAGAAACATCAACGTGAAAGGGACACATCGAGTGGCTGCCACCCACACGACCAACCAGGCCCAGGGACAAACTGCAACTGAAGTACGTGCCCTTAGCGGGATCCGAACCCGGGTCTCTCTGGACCGCAAGCCAAAGCTCTAACCGCTGAGCCAAACAGGCCAGGGCGATTCTCTCTAACCTTTTTAATGGACTCCAGTGAAATATATAACAATGAGATGAAATAGCTTCTTTACGACTGGACCACAGTGTCAGGAATGCTTCCAGGAAAGGCGATACCAGTGTATAGGACAAAGAAAAAATAAAACCTTATTGTTGCAATTTACTTCTCTTTGTATAAATAGATAATAAATGGTGATGATGGTATTTCAGATTCTTCTGTTTTTCCTTGAATTTTGCCCTCAAAAAAGAGGAAGTCAGACAACAGAATTGTGTATGTTTATTTTCAATTTAAGTATTTTCCTTAAATATTTTTCTAAAGTTTGTGCTTCTTTTATTTATTTTATTTTTTTAATCCTCACCTGAGGATATTTTCCATTTATCTTCAGATAGAGTAGGAGAAAAGGAGGGGGAGAGAGAGAGAGAGAGAGATTGATATGAAAGAGACACATCAACTGGTTGTCTTCTGCACGACCCCGACCAGGGTCAGGAACAACCACAACCCAGGTATGTGCCCTTGGCTAGAATCAAACCTGCGTCTCACTGGTCTGCAGGCCAGTGTTCTAACCGCTGGGCCAAACTGGCCAGGGCTATGTTTCTTTTATAATCAGAAAACAATTCATCTTTAAAAATGTAAGGAGGCAAAAGAAATTAAGGGAGGGTCAAAAAAAAAATTTATTTCTTTATTCCCTAAAAAAAAAGAAAGAAAATAAGGGAGGGTTTTGGGGGTAGTTATTGAAGGTTAACATTTAAAATCTATTCTTAATATGTTAGACTATTTAATTTCCAAAATTCATTAAAACCTATTAATGTTTTTCATCAACAATACTCTACTGTTTAGTTCTTCAGGCATATGGGAGAAGGTTGCTCCACTTTAAGATCTTTTTTGACTTTGCAGTGAGAATGTTTGAAATGTCTCCAAGCACATTAACAAAGTCTTCTGACCGTCCCAATGTCCTTTTTGTTTATACCCAGGACCTGAAAGCTGTTTACGAGCAGACTTGCAAGAGCCCTCCCACTTCGATTCTCAGCAGCCAGCAATCTTGGAAGAAGAAGAGGTCATGATAGCTCATGCTCATCCACAAGAAGTCTATAATGAATATGTACCCAGAGGGTGCAAGAATAAATGCCATTCTCATTTCCATGACACACTGGGCCAATCAGATGATCTCATTCATCACCATCATGACTACCATCATATTCTTCATCACCACCACCACCAAAACCACCACCCCCACAGTCACAGTCAGCGCTACTCTCGAGAGGAGCTGAAAGATGCTGGCATCGCCACATTGGCGTGGATGGTGATAATGGGTGATGGCCTGCACAATTTCAGCGACGGTCTAGCAATTGGTATACATCTCCATATTTGCCCCTTAATAGTTGATTAAAATGTTGTTTCTTCTTCAGCTATTTTGACAGTGAAATACTTGATAAAGTAAAAAGAACTATGCCTAGCCCATTGCCTAGACTGTAACTACCAAAAGTTGTTTTAATTAGCAAGGTCTTATGATCCGGCTCCCGTGTGTTCGAAGCATTGTGTTTTTCCCCCTAAACATTCAGGTTCTCTTACCTGCAATATAAATAGTATTAAGGGTAAAGAATCTGTCCTATCAGCTTCTCTGTCATGCTGTAAAGGAATCTGTATATCTGATAAGTTCCATTACCAATCTTTATCCAAAGTAGAACTATAGAGTTTTTACTATTAAACTGTTATACCACAATTAGGATACAATAGAATACATATGAATTTTAGTAATGTAGTGCTGAAAGGAACCATGGAAATAATTATTAGATTAGGCAGCTGAAGCCCGGCAAAATGGGCCACTTGCCCAAGGAGACAGTGTTGTTTGAGATGAACTCAGGCCTTGACTCCCTGGGAGCCTGGTGCTCTTCCTCCTCTATGTACTGTGCACAGCATAAGCAACAAAGGAGAATGTTCAAATGCTGAGTCATGGCTTATACGTGACCAGTTGTATAATATGTTAGCTTTAAAAGGTTAGCTATTTGTTTTAGACTCTTTTTATGAGACAGTGAAAGAATGAATATAAACAAGTCTGATTACATAGTGAATTCCTCTGAGGCCAGTAAAACAATTTGTACTCTAGATAGCTGAGTTTTTTTTCCAAACCTTTTAAATCAGTTTATTTTATATTTTTAAATAAGTGTGTGATGCAGTAGCAATTACTTCTCAGGTTTACATAAGATCATCTAATCACTGTTAAGGCATAGTGGAACCTTCCCTTCTTAATCATACCAACTTGTGCTCCATTGGGAAATTTAAACCTAATTGAGTATAATCTGAGATTACTTACAAAGAAGATACAGAATGCAGTTGGGAAAGTTCTGTTTATTCACAACCAGAATATAGTTTATTTTTTTACCTCATTTTGTTTGCTGGTAAGATTTTTTTTTTTAAACACACCCATAAATAAGGTAGTCAATCTTTTTCTGATTGATTTTTTGCCCAGGTGCTGCTTTCACTGAGGGTTTATCGAGCGGTTTAAGTACTTCTGTTGCTGTGTTTTGTCACGAGTTGCCTCATGAATTAGGTAAGAAAACCATATAAAGGGTATTTTCCAGGTAGCTAAATTGTCCGAGTGTCTTTTGCTAATGATAGTTCCAGCAAGCTTCCTCATAACTTTAATGCCTTCTCATAAGTCTGCTAACCTAGCTAGCTTTCTTTTCTTAATGAATATAAGCTGACCCTATCAAGTACAATTACAAAATTGCCTATTTGGGGTTGCCAAAGAGGTACCTGAGCCCCCTTTCTCATTTTCTTCTATTAAATACCTTCTTATACCATCATACTGTTAACCTCGGTGATTATTTCTTCATGCACACAATGTGAATTCAGTCACAAGAATCAAATGAGTCATATTCCATGAACAGAGAGAATCTCATTGGAGCTGAAGAAAGAAACCTTCCCAGAGTTGTTCTGGATTCCAGTTCATGTCTTGTTTTTTTCCTTATAAACACATATTTGCACACACCCATGACACCATTTTCACTTTTGTTTCTTGGCATGTGTTCTGCCATTCAGAAGGTCTCCCATCTGCCTGCTCAATGCTTATCATCAACATCTGGTTTATGTTCTCAGTTCTGGATCCTTCATGCTCCATGAAGCCTTAACTGTTCCCATCTTAATTTATCTCATTTTCTCCTTTTATAGCTAGAACATTAGACTCTTTGGCTCTTAATTATAAATTGCCTTTTATCATTTGCTGATTATTTCATGTCTGTTTTCCACCCTCCTTCTCTTTTTGGCCAATTATGAGCTCCTTGAAGACAGTGTAAGACCATAATAATAGCAGATTTGTGGTATTTATCACTCATTAACAAAGTGGGAATCTTAAGAAAAACTTTGTTTTTTTGTTTGTTTGTTTTATTTATTTATTTATTTATTTATTTTTATCCTCACCCGTGGACATTTTTCCATTTTTTGCACAGATAGAGTGGGAGGGAGAGAGAGGAAGAGAGAGGGAGAGAGAAACATTGATGTGAAAGAGACACATCTAGTGGCTGCCACCCGCATGACCAACCAGGGCCGGGGACAAACTGCAACCGAGGTACATGCCCTTAGCGGGAACCGAACCCGGGTCTCTCTGGACCGCAGGCTGATGCTCTAACCACTGAGCCAAACCGGCCAGGGCTTAAGAAAAACTTTGGATAAAACTTTGGATAAAAATATCTTGTTTAGCCCTGGCTGGTGTTGCTCAGTGGTTAGAGTGTTGGCCCATGCACTGAAGAGTTGCAGGTTCAATCCACAGGTCAAGGGCATTTACCTGGGTTGCAGGTTCAGTCCGCAGCCCCAATCAGGGCACTTGAGGGACACAACCAATCGATGTGTCTCTCTCACACTGATCTTTCTCTCTCTGTTTCTCCCTATCCCCCTTACCTCCTTTCCTCTCTCCCTCTCTTCCTTTCTCCCTTCCATTCTCAAAAAAAAAAATCAATGGAAAAAATATCCTCAGGTGAGGATTAAAAAATATAAATTTTTTAAAAATCTTGTTTATAGAGCTGTTAGAGTGATTTACACTGTTGCTTTTTTCCCCCCTCTTAAAAATTAGAGAATTTCTGCCCTGGCCAGTGTTGCTCAGCGGTTAGAGCGTCGGCCTGCGGACCAGAGAGACCCGGGTTCAGTTCCCGCTAAGGGCATGTACTTGGTTGCAGTTTGTCCCTGGCCACAGTTGGGGTCATGTGGGTGGCAGCCAGTCAATGTGTCTCTCTCACATCAATGTTTCTCTCTCTCTCTCTCCCTTCCGCTCTATCTAAAGTTAAATGCAAAAAATGTCCTTAGGTGAGGGTTAAAAAAAAAGAGAATTTTTTAAATTTTGAGTCTCTTGGGTATGTATTTTTAAAATGATTTTTCAGTTACTTAATCCCCTTTTTTGTTTTCTGTTAAAGGTGACTTTGCTGTTTTACTAAAGGCTGGCATGACTGTTAAGCAGGCTGTTCTTTATAATGCTTTGTCAGCCATGCTGGCATATCTTGGAATGGCAACAGGAATTTTCATTGGTCATTATGCTGAAAATGTTTCTATGTGGATATTTGCACTTACTGCTGGTTTATTCATGTATGTTGCTCTGGTTGATATGGTAAGTTTTCAAGATGTCAAATTACAGTATTGACTAACAATAAAATAGAGAAAATATTTAGTGAAACTTTGTTTTTTAAAAGGCTTTATATTAAATGCAGTAGTAATAAGAAATTCTATATTCAACAAGGTAGCATATAAAGAAAGTATAGTTCCTTTACAGTTTATCTTTTTGGATTGTTGATCACAAGCACATCTTAATCCTGCCTGCCTAATGTGTGTAAAGATGCAGAGAAATATCCACCCCCTTCTACTCTTCATTTTGAGAGTAGAATCTCAGCAATCATGCTTTGAATTGTGTATAAATTTGTAGGAAACCTAGCACAAGCCACATATTATTAGCATGCTGTATGTACTTAGAATGCTTAGGAGTTTCTTATTAATGGACAAAGGAGTCAGATTTCTTTGTCATCAAAGTCCAAATAACAATCCCACAAATCTTACTGCTAAATTTTATTTTATATAGTATAAGGTTTCCATATATCTGAACTCAGGTAAGCCACATGTTATATTCAGTTCAGATACAGGCATGAAGCAGGAGCAAACTGGACCAATATCAGTTTTACTTGCCAAGCAGATTGAAAATAATCATTGTTAATTAAACTGCTAGGAAATGCTGTGTGACATTAGCTAGAATCAGTATGTATGTGGTCATGTTTTAAGGATTTGACTCAGTATATCCAGCTATGAATAAACTATCCTGAAAAGGCTTATAAAAAACTAATCTGTAGTTCTGAAACCTTAAACATTGCTCTTTTCAAAAAAAAAAAAAAAACACACAAAAAAAATTGCTCTTTTCTTTTTTCTCTTAAGGTACCTGAGATGCTGCACAATGATGCCAGTGACCATGGATGTAGCCGCTGGGGATATTTCCTTTTACAGAATGCTGGGATGCTTTTGGGATTTGGAATTATGTTGCTTATTTCCATATTTGAACATAAAATTGTGTTTCGTATAAATTTCTAATTAGGGTATCTAAATAGAAGAGTATCTTTAAAAAATTGCTGTCTGTAGTTTGAATAGGTCATAAGGAGATGAGAGTATACGCTGTGATGTGCAGCATTTAAGAGTAGTGGATTTTGTGATTTTTGTGTTGAATATTGCCATTTGTAATGCTTATAAGGTCAGTTATGGTGGTAACCTAAAGGTACATTTTAATATTTAAGTTATTCTATTTTGGGAATATAAACTAGATGTGCAATTTACCAGTTTTACCAGTTTATTGTATAAACAAGAGATTTGGCATGACATGTTCTGTATATTTCAAGAAAAATGTCTTTAATGTTTCTCCAGAACTAATTTAATGCAGTAATTCCCATGCTGGATTTCAGGCCCCCGAAGAACTGCTGGTGTTTAGGAGTAAAAATACACACGAAGCCTAAGCCACCAATGAAGTTGTACAGAATTTAAGCTAAGAAATAAGAAGAAAAAAATATGTAAAAATTAAGAAGGCATACATTTCTTACCAAAAAAAATCACAAAAGTGGTTATAAAATAGAAGAAAATATTTAGATTTAAATTAAAAAGCAATGTTAGTCAAGTATAGAGTACATTCATACACATTTTTTTTCAGAGTATTAATGTTCTCATACAACCACAGTGAGCACTTTTTACTAATTTCGTTGTACATTTAACTTTGTATAATGGAAACATCTAAATATAATTAATGAATTCAAGCACTATATTGCTTGACCAAGAAATTTGAATTTAAAAATATTTGTGTGGAGATATACCAGATAAATATGAGTAAGGTTATGTATTACCAGCAGACTTAGATATCACCAAGTTATGTATTGCCCAAACTTATGATTGGATGGTTTTCTGGTTTATCAAATGTCAACGTATTAGAACTTTGAGATAAGGACATTAAAACCATACTGAGTATAGTTCAACTTCTGGATTCAGGAAGTACTTTGATATCTTTCAGTGCTTCAGTGTTGTCATTATAAGCAATTATCATGTTTATATATAGTATCTTAGACATACTAGGGCTGTCTGTGACATTCTCTATATGTTGCTTTTCTACAAAATAAAATCCCCATGTCAGCTTGATATTAGAAGTCTGATATTTTTTTGACCATCCTAACAAGTGTACAGTTCAGCAGTTTTAAGTATATTCACATGTTTGTACAGTGGATCTCCAGAATCTTTTCACCTCATAGAACTGAAACTCTACACCCATTAAACAACTTACTTCCTCCTCCCATGGCCCCTGTAGCCACCATTCTACTTTCCAGTTCTGTGAATTTGAAATATCAGATTTTCTTTCTCTTTATTGATTTTTTTTTTTTTTAGAGGGAGAGAGAGATAGAAACATCTATGAGAGAGGACATCGATTGGCCACCTCCTGCACGTCTTCACTGGGGATTTGGCCCACAACCTGGGCATGTGCCCTGACCAGGAATCGAATCGGCGACCTCTTGGTGCATGGTTGAATGCTCAACCACTGAGCCACACCAGCTGGGCCAGATTTTCTTTAATACAATCCAGATTGTAGTATACTTATCAATTTATTTATATTATTGTATTGGGTGGCCTTGTTCAATTTAAAATTTTTTATCACAAAGGACACCTCAAAAAATTCTAATCCACAGTTTGTTATCCTAACTTTTTTTTAATAACCAGAGCCTTAAGCTAAAGAAGCATTAATACCCTATATTCTAAAGAGAATCAGAAATAATTTGACAAGACCCTATACCCCTTCTATAGCCTACTGAGAGACAATTGGACCAGCATTTTATTCCCCAAATCAAATGAAAGGGATGGGTTTGGGTAAGAAGAGAATTACTTGGGTTGGGAATGCCTGAAAGGAGGAGATACAGCATCTCTGGCTAAATGATTAGTCTGCTGCAGAAGCCCACAGACCTGCCCTAGTACCACTGCCAGATCAGTGCAAGGAAAGGAAGTTCTGGAATAGCTGGAAATGTTCCTCAAGTCTGGGGAATGCAGACTTGTACCTACTCCTTTCACAGATTCTGAAGGTGGAAGGTGTGCTGTACCAGCCCACAAAACAGGATGAATAGACATAATAGTTCCCACTCCAGTTTTAATCCATTAGTGGATATGTGGAAGATTTGAGTAGTTAGTTCCCATGGCTCTGGGGCGGAGGTGGGGGGGGGGGGAGATTAGAGGAAAATGCAGATAAAAATATGGACCAAAAGCTGATACTTTGGGATGAGGGGCAGACCCAGGCTGACAGAACAAGAAAAGGCATAAATATCTTCAAAAGGAGGCATACAAATGTTCACTCAGAAAAATGTAGTCAATTACTCTTAAAATCACATCAAAATTCTCCCCCCTTCTCCAAAACAAAGCATTGTTTGCTGTGCTTTGTTTTACCAAAACTTCAAGCAACACAAATTCCTAGTTTATCAAAATAGTTTCTGAGATTAGGAAAAAGCCATTCATTGTGTTCATTGAGGTCACTGTAACCTTGATATAAAGCCATGTTGAGAAGCCCTGGCTGGTTTGGCTCAGAGGTTGGAGCATCAGCCCACCAACCGGAGAGTCCCGGGTTCGGTTCCTGCTAGGGGCATATACCTCAGTTGCAGTTTGTCCCCGGCCCCAGCTGGGATCGTATGGGTGGCAACCACTCGATGTGTCTCTCATATCAATGTTTCCCTCTCTCTCTTCCTCCCTCTCTCCCTCCCGCTCTATCTGAAGAATAATGCAAAAAATGTCCTCAAGTGAGGATAAAAAAATAAAATAAAACCATGCTGAGAAAGACAATCTACCTTGGATCTTCAGACTCCCTATACATTTTTGCTAGCTATGTCAGGAACGTAAGACCCTGACCATTCTCGGCTATTTATCAATGAACAACCTTGAAGAATGAGGTCTGAGACAAAGATCAGGCCTTGTGTAAGAGGTGAATTTCCCAAGCTGGACTGCTACACAGACTCAACCAATGTTGCATCCATCTGAGAACTTTCACTTTGCTTCTGTGAGACCTGGGGTGTCAAGAGGTACTGATGTAAATGATGCTCACACTACTTGCTATGCTGTGAGCTATGAATTCCATGTGTCCTAGGAGTCTAGTCTTCTGCCATTATCCACAAAACAGTAACGCTAACTTTCAGCTTCAAGTTGGATAAAACCACAGAACCTCATAAAATCACAGAATACAAATGAAAAGCAAAAAATGAATATAGCCCTGGCTGGTTTGGCTCAGCAGTTGAAAGTCGGCCTGCGGTCCAGAGAGACCCAGGTTTGGTTCCCGCTAAGGGCACGTACCTCGGTTGCAGTTTGTCCCAGCCCTGGTTGGGTCATGCGGGTGGCAACCATTCGATGTGTCCCTTTCACGTCGATGTTTCTCTCTCTCTCTCTCTCTCTCTCTCTCTCTCTCTCTCTCTCTCCTCTTCTCTCTCCCTCCCTCTCTATCTGAACAAAAAATGAAAAAATGTCCTTGAGTGAGGATAAAAAAACAAAAATGAATATATATATATATATATATATATATATATATATACCCTAAATTCTTGTTTCTAGCAAACCAAACTCAACAGTACATAATATGTCATGATTGCCCTGGCTGGTGTGGCTCAGTTGGTTAGGAGACATCCCATGCACTGAAAGGTTGCCATTTTGATTCCCAGTCAGGGCACATGCCTGGGTTGTGGGCTTGATGTTTTTCTCTCACATTGATGTTTCTCTCTCTCTCTCCCTCTCCTTTCCTCTCTAAGAAATCAATAAAAATATTTTTTAAGTAAATAAAAATATGTTAGGATAAAGCAAGGTGTTCTAGGAATGCAAGAATTGTTCATCAGAAAACCCATTACTGTAATGTACCATGTCAACAGATTAAAAAGAAAAAAATCATAATTGAATCAGAAATTTAATAAAATAATTTATGATTAAAGAAAAACATTTTAGCATACTAAAAATAGAAAATTTTAAGAATTCAGAAAGTCTATTAAAAACTTGTCTTGAATATTTTCATCCTATGAAGTCAAGGATTAAAGAAAAGCGGAAGAGGGAAGGGAAAATGTGCACAGGGAGGAACTAATGTAGACCAGAAAGAGAAACTACAACTCCAAAAATGGAGTGGATCTTGAACCTCCCATATAAGTAATATAAAAAGTATAATGAAAATTAAAGGAGGTAGCCAATTGCCACAATTCCATAACCATCACCATAAGCACTATGTCATTAATAGCTAGAAAGGATTTTTTTCCTTAAAAAATTTTTTTGGTAAAATATACATAAAATTTACTATTTTGACCATTATTAAATGTACAGTTTAGTGACCTTACATACACTCTCATATGTGCAACCATCACCACCATCTGTCTCTAGAACTTATTCATCATCTCATACTGAATCTCTGTCCCAATGAACAATAATTTCTCTTTCTCCCCTACCCCAGTCCCTGATAACCACAATTTTACTTTTTGTCTCTATGTATTTAACTATTCTAGATGCATCATACAAGTAGAATCATACAATATCTGTCCCTTTGTATATGGCTTATTTACTTGGTATAATGTCTGTAGGTTTCATCCATGTTGTAGCATGTGTCAGAATCTCCTTCCTATTTAAGGCTGAATAATATTCCATTATATGTACATACCACATTCTATTTATCCATTCATCCACTGATGATAAAGGGTTGCTTCCACCTTTTGGCTATTGTGAGTAATACTGCTATGAACATGGGTATGCAGATATCTGTTTGAGTCTCTGCTTCAGTTCTTTAGGGTGTATACCCAGAAGGGGAATTGCTGAGTCATATATAATTATATGTTTAATATTTTGAGGAACTGCCATACCGTTTGCCACAGCGACTGCACCATTTTAAACTCCCACTGCTGTGTGGTTTTTTTAAAAGCCAAGGATAAAGATATTTTCTTGGGGGCAAGAATTATATAATTAAATTAATTATTTCTTAAGTCTAGTTTAAATGTAAAACTCTATAATTCTGTTACAACTAATTTAATAAGATTTTTGAACTGCTTTACAAAATTAATAATTATTTATAAAATTGTTTCTGGGAGAAAATACCTCATAAGATATTTTTGTGTTGGCTTAGAAAGTTTTTTATACTTGGGGATGCCAATACTGGGAATCTTTAGAATGTATTTAGAGCAGCGCAGTAAACCAGATATAATGGAACCAGTCTGCCGCCTTGTGGAATTTTAATGCAACTTCCAATTTTACAAATTGAGAGGACGACAGTAATTTAGAAATGGTGCCAGTGGTGTTCAACTATTTTTTTCCAATATCAACTTAAAGAACCAGTGTTATTCAACTTATCTATGCAAGCTCTATATGAGGACAACCAAAATACTTCTAATGGACACAGATATTGAAATAAATGTAGAGGTATTTCTGTTCTTGGCTAGAAGTAATACACAGAAGACATGAATTGAGTGATCATGGGAAAAGATTCAAATTGCTTTTCATCATATCAAAGATTACATACTGCAGGATTTCTCACTCATGAGAAAAATTAAATTTAAAAATATAATTGTCTACAACACCGATGTGTCTTGAAAACACTATGCTATGTCAAATAAGCCAGCCGCAAACAAACAAAAATTTTATTGGTTCTATTTTACTTTTTACTTTCATTATATCTTAGATGAAAACATCTGGCAAATGAGAAGGGGTTGCAAAGTAAGAATAATAGCATTTATTAAGGTCTGTTGCCCTGGCCAGTTTGGCTCAGCGGTTACAGCATCGGCCTGCGGTCCGGAGAGACCCGGGTTCGGTTCCTGCTAAGGGCATGTACTTCGGTTGCAGTTTGTCCCCGGCCCTGGTTGGTCGTGTGGGTGGCAGCCACTCGATGTGTCCCTTCACGTCGATGTTTCTCTCTCTCTCTCCCTTCCTCTCTCTCCCTCCCACTCTATCTGTACAAAAAATGGAAAAATATCCTCGGGTGAGGATAAAAAAAATAATAATAATAAAAAAAAAAAAATTTAAGGTCTGTTGTAGGCCTTTACACCAGTGATTTCAACTGGTGTGCCACTAGAATTTTTAAAACATGCAAAACCTGTCTATTTAGTCAGGGGCACTGACTTATTTTCCCTTAGA